TTGCACTTTGCATAAATTTCACTGCAACCGGGAGGTTCGCATCCTAAAATTCGAACATAGAACACTCTCTTACCCGTCAGAAATGCTATGAATAAAACTTGTGAAAAGTTTAGAATTATTTTTTATGTAGGGAACATTATTTTCTAATATCCACTGCACAAGAAGGAAATGAGTCCTGTCGGACTAAAATCCAAATGTAGATATAATGTACGCTTTTCAGCAGCTCTAGTTTCAAAATATAGTCAACGTCGGGTTATAGTTTAAATAATTAAACTAATATATATCGCGTTAAAAAGCCGTTAAAAGTGCGTTACCGTAGTGGAAACCATGGAAGACACTTTCTTAGGTACGTGTGTACGTTAGGTGGGACAGCAGCAATACGGACTTAAAGATGTGTCTGGCCCTTGCTCCATGTTTTAAGTATTTCTTTATAATTTTTATAAATAATATATTGTCGCAAAAGTTTGAACTAAGCGAATACAACATTAATACACAGCTGCATGCTGCTGCTAATATAGTTCGCGTTTTAAACCGTCACGTAAACTACAATTGATAATAATTTAAGTTTATCTTTGTTTTTTGTTGTAGAATGCATTATAATCCAATTTATGATGTTAAAAAAACGCCTCAAAATCAAACTTTTGGTTACTTGGCTGGATTCCACATTAGACGTTTATTACAACCGAAGCGATTACTGTCTAGACAATAATTTCTCGTGTATTAGAGATACGCCGGGATGTTTCGGGAGGGTATTTTTGTAAATGAGCTTCTTGTTTATTGTATACGGTACTCGCGGTTATGAATATAAAGTAAGTAATTTTGTATGGCCTTAAAGTCTCATGAAAATATGTTAAAATTGCATAGCATAACAAATTTTGTAACAATTCGCTGTTTGTGTCGAATAATTCTATATAAGATATTTTAAAATATCTTATAATGAAAGCAATATTTCACATCACAACTTTGTACACTACTTTACTTAAAAATTGGTTACACAGTAATGGTAAACGCGGGAAATGACAAGAGCTTAAATAATACCTATTTTTATTTATTAAAAACAACAAAAGATAAAACTTACGTACTAACTTACGCGGCCTTGTGGCTAAGTAGCGATCTCTTCCAGGCAACCTAAAGTACAGGAGAATAAAAAAACGCTTAATAAGTGTAAGGAATAATAAACAAAAAGCAAAGGTTCACGGTAAGCAACACAGCAAGTAAGAGAGAAAGTAATTTTAGAGTTCGAAAGATAATATTTATAAGAAATAGTCTAAACCTAACTTACCCGAATATAGAATTAAGCAGAAAATGTGTTTTAAACTAAACAAATTTGTATTGCGTTCCGCACGTATTTGGCCGTTTATAAAAGTTTCATACCATATTTTCAGTTATAAAGATAAGATTAAACCCAGTAAATGTTCGTGAACACGAAAAATCAGACGAAAAAAAGATTTAAAAAACGCTTGTTACTTGAAAAACTCTGACATTTTAAAGCGTAAAAAATGCTCTAGTTCGCACGGAGAACAATCTCAGGTCTTTATTCTCTGTGGAAATATTCTAAATACGCCGCTCTCTGAGCATTATCTGTGGTGATACGATTGTTGGGCGCGGGGCTTCATTTCCGCGTCACGAGATATTCTCTAATCGACGATACAGAAACCGCGGAAAGTGATTTTAGCCTGACCATAAACCATAATTGGTTTATTCATTAGCACTTGGTTATTGTCTATGGCATGTATGGTTTATTACTACCACTACTTTCCTAGTCTTTCCAAGTAATATATATATAAGACCGTCCAATATTTCCCGTCTTAGCCTTCAGTTTCTAAAGCCCTATCTTTAAGTTGAGACAGCTACTAGGTATTTATTAATTAAATTATTACCTTTAATGGTTTAGACGCTAATATATGCGCTATAACATTATTTACCAATTTATTATAAATCCAACAGATAAAAATAAATAAAACACTTTAAGCCGTGGTCACAGGAAGACGGCTGCGGCAAAGCAGCTCGGGCCGTAGAAAAAATAATTTATAAATAAGTAATATGTTTCGCGTTTAAAACCGTTAAAGTGCTTTATTTAAATGTGTACTACTCGCGTAAACTATAGACAGTATGTATTTTGTTTTAACATTTATACACATGAAGGCACTATATAATTTAAAAATTGAAAAAATTTTCGACTCGGGCAGGACTTGTACCGACATCGTCAGCGTGCTGTTGGTCAAATTTTTTTCAACTTATTGATACATGCACCTCTCGCGCAATTATTTTTCAATTTATTTTCGATTTTTAAATTACCACCATTACCAACGAGCGCGTCATAGCTTAATACCAGCGAACTCGTACGGGCGTCGACTGATATCGATTTCAACCGTTGTTTAATGATGTTAGCGTCGCACCGGCTTCCGTGCCAGCCTTTAATTATGACGCGAGTGCTGGGACCCAGTTGCGTTCGCATCAACGAACTTTGCGAAACCATTAATCGTAGATCCGGTTCTATCTGTCGTGTGTAGTTAACAATTTTAAAACGTTAAAGAAGATTGGATTGGTAAACAAACATATTTTAAACTACCTAAGCTGAATCCTTATGTATAGTGTATTTTTTCTTACTTGGCATTTTGGTAAACAAACACACAATTACATAAAATCGTAATTCAAAACAATCTGTACATTGATTTACACTAAAACATTTTGAGACACTGCACACTTGACATATATTAAGCTATTTTAAATAAAACACTTTAACTTTTTAACTTCGGCCCGACATTTTCAAACAATCATTTTCAAATAAGTTTAACTAATATGTCGCGTTTTAAACCGTTAAAATGATTTATTCAAATATGTACTACTCGCGTAAACTATAGACAGTATATAAGCTAATGAACTTACTCAAATTCAAAATTCCATGCTATAATTATTATATTTTAAAAATCCCAAAAATTTTATGTAATAATATTAATTACGTGGTTTAAAAAAATATTGTCTTAATAAGCGAAGATAAATTGAAAAAATGTTGGACTCGGGCAGGACTTGAACCGACATTGTCAGCGTTCCGTCCTGTTGCTCTAACCAATTGAGCTACCGAGTCCTACACTTCATCGATAATTATTCACCTTATTGCTACACGCATCTCTCGCGCAATGTTATATTGACTTAAAAAATTAAAAAATAAGTCGTCATAAAAGTGATTTTGAATATTGAGGTATAAAAGGGTCACTAGGTCTTTTATGTCAAGTTAGAAAAAACAAACTACACTAACTTATATGTACTTGTATGTAAGCACAGCGATGCAAGATCAAATTATAAATCTAAATTCAAATTCAAATTATTTATTCCACATAGTGATGTGCTGAGTGCAGCTGTTGTTGCAACGACAAAATTAGTGTAACGCCGATTTTCGGTGATACCCTATTGATGACACTTAGAGTGACAGCCAGAAATAAATAGTTTAAAGTAGAAAAAGAAAATGGTAGAATCACAGAAATAAACTGTATAGTAGTTTATTTTAAATATGTACTTAAAAACACTCAGCTAGCATTTAAAATTGAAACTAAACCTATAAAACGGTATATTTACACTAAATACAACTAAAAATTAGAAATTTTTCATTAAAACTTCAATATTTGATTTGTTTAAATGAAACCACGCCCTAACATAAACCATTAAAATGTTTTATTTAACATGGTCATCTTAATAAATTCCTTTAATAAGTTTTGTAAGACTTTTTTCAATTTCCCCTCGTTCATAAAGACTCTTATTACATGCCCTATTCATCTCGTCTTTTCAATGGATTCAATTAATAACTGAATCGAATCAAATTATGCTTTCAGTACGCACACGAGAGCCGTAGTATTATAATTAAGTATTTTTGTGCTAAACTGACTTTTATTATGATAAAAGACTGAAAATGGCGAAAAGTAACCATATAACATCGAAAGGAGATGCGCCGCCGTCCTATTTTGGCTTACGATACGACTGAAGCCGAAATGCGATTAAACAACAATCTGTGAACAGTTGTTCTAGACCCGAACGGAATTTGAATAATCCAACCGGCTACCACCCATTAAATATTCGAATTACCTTTTTAGTCTATGTAACACAATAATATTGATTTGTTGGACCCGAGGAGAATCGAACCCACGGCCCATTGATAGCCATACATTTCTACCATTAGACTAACGAGGTCGTCAAAAAAGCTAATAACTTAACTTTTTGTGTATAAACAAATCCTACAAGCGCCAGCTAGGCTTAGTCTGCGAAATGATCCAAGCTTTCAGAGATTATCGTTTGATTACTTTCCACTTTATAGTTTGCTAAAAATATATGCATGGAAATACATCGCGCGCAAACACTTTGCTTAGAACTTAGTAGTTGGATACGCTGCGTCTCTTGTTTGACCTATATGCAGTGTAAACAGACGTAGGATTTGCATGATAATAATGTTTACAAAGACCACCATTTAGCATAGTGAGCGGGCACTCAGCATACGTGGGGTGAAAGCTTAACGGGTAACTCTTCGGGACTTATTCTGTCCTAGTACTTTATAATCTAATTTATGCTTATACTACTCGTATTTATAGTTTTGACTACTTAGCGATTTTGTATTGTCAAAATATTGCTAAGCTCTATTTCTCTGACGAGATAACGAATAATTGTTTTAACACTTTTAATGGTTTAAGTTAACTTATGTAAAATTTATTGTAACTGCGGTTAGACGTCTCGGATGTTTTGCAGTAGTCGTGGTCACGAGGGGAAAAAGATAAAAGGGTTATATCGCCAAAAATTAAATTTGCTACGCTAGCGCCATCTGTTACGTCGTATTTGGTATTCAGTGAACTAGCTGGGTCCCTATAGAACTGATCACGGTATCCTTTCATTTCTCGATGTTCTGTTTATTCTAGCAATAATGTTCGATATCTCTCGCAGAAAAAACATCACGGAAAAAATTGAGTAATTACAAACACACTATATACTAACCTAATAATACATATTTGTTTTAGATCGCGATCCCGATCACGGTCGAGGTCAGTGACCCCGAGTGGTACTCCGCCACCGATACCACCAGTGCCACCAGCTCCACCACCTTCACATACACTTCATCCTGATAACGCATTAGGTACATACATACCTAGAAATATTTACTTAATCCTATAAAACGAAAACTAAACATATTATCTTTCGGTTTAGGACGCGGTGCATTAAGTGTTGCTGGTAGACAGCTAAGTGATCATAGCAACAATAGAGAATCATCACTAGACGATTCGGGCGTGGTTGATGATCATGATGACGGGGAACACACGTCTGATGATCAAGCACCTCATTCACTGCCCCGGAGACATTTGATGCCGCCAGCGCCCCATCCACCTCCCATCACCGTACCACAGACAAAACCAGTTAGTATAAACATAATTAGGTCAACGAAACTTGGAAAATTGAAAATTATAAGACATTCTAAAATAATATTCTTCTTAACTCGCAGGAAACTAAAAATCCAGAACCAAAGAAGAAGAACGACGCAAAACCGGAAACGGATATTGATAAAATAAAGAAAGATAAATCTAGTATACAAGAAAGGTACCCGCTAAATCCAGACTACCTCAACCAGATCGTGGTATTAGGTAAACATTTAATCTTGTATTATCTTAATCTCTTTTCACTTGTAATACTGCTACCAAATCTATAGAACTTGGTTAAAAGCTGTTTTTATGCTCCTGTGTTATGATGATTACACTGTCCAATATACGATGATAACTGTGACAATTGACAATAGGGATAATAGAATACTGTCTATAGTTTACGTCAGTAGTACACATTTAAATAAAACACTTTAGCGGTTTTAAATGCGATATATTGGGTTAACTTATTTAAAAATGATTTTTTAACTTCGGCCCGATGTTTCGGATGCTTTGCAGCAGCCGTGGTCACGGTGAGACTAAAGATGGAGGATGGTATTTGGCGAAACTGACCGGATCCTTACAGAATTGACTAACATTGTCTTCGCGTTTGCCATGTCAATAAACAGCATACCGGCAAAGTTAAAATATCATTTTCAAATAAGTTTAACTAATTTATTGCGTTTCAAACAGTTAAAGTGTTTTATTTAAATAAGGATAATCGTATCTTATACTTAAAGTAGTAGATCACCGAATGAGAATGAGAATGTGTTATTGTCATATTTACTGAGAAGGTTAAAAAAATAAATTTTATCACCGTTTCTCGTTTTAATTTTATCATCATTAATATATAAATCGTTTGCAAGACTATTCACTTAATAAATATTATTAATTGTATTCGTATTATTTTTCGATCATTTAATAAAAGAGTATAACTTCATAGGTGCGCACTGTCAGATTTATCATCCTATATTAGTTATAGTGTCGGGTTGATGTTCCTAATATTTGGTAGCAGTATCAAATAATTTTCTATGATCAATTGGCACGGCTTAAACACTCGAAAGCACAATTTTTAAAAGGACACAATGAGAGCTTTGCAAACACTCAAGAGGATGATCAGGGATATAACTTTTATAAACTATATTTTACGATAAGTTTAGTTTCATTCAAGGTAATTTACTTGCATGTCACAAAGACTTTCTTCTACTTCAAAGTTTCTTAGGGCATCTATTAGGTTTTGTTCTTATTGCTTGAACTCTCTTTGAATACCTCTGCATACAAACTCATGTACAGACCCCTGAATAACTATTACTTAGGAATAAATCTCTAATTAGTCACTTTTATTTGTATCTGCAATCAGATGATATTTTCTTTGGACTTACGAAGCACCGTGTAAGATATTATTTAGTTATTATACGAATTTCTACATTACGTCGTTTGATTTTGGATAGCATCTTATACATAAATCCATGACCAAACGGCATCTTTGGTGGCTTATAAATTTATACCAACAATATATGGTGACAGTACTTTGCAAGCTACCAAAGTTCTAGACTATCTAGACTGCAAATTAACAGCTACACAATTACGATACAGCCATGTTTTTGACATTTGAAATATTAAACTTAATTAGGGAAAATATTTCATAAAATACGAGGCGGTCTGTCTTTGCATGCATCACATGCTCATACGAGGATCATAAATCATTCGATTATACATTTTGTGAAATATTATCCCCAACATTCTTTACCTATTCTGATTTTATTAGTGGTCCAGAGTTGAATTAAGATAATATTTTGCCCTCGAATTGTACGCTGTTAGATTGATTGGCGCTATTAAAAACAAGAATGGTTGTCTAGTGGCTGGTAATATTCACCATTAGCTTCACATTTCAATGGGCCGGATGTCTCATTGGACACTTAACAGACACTTTTGCAATTTCGCTTCTACCCTCATTAATATCGTCAGGGGCGGACTGGCCATACAAGCACGCGCCCGACCTCCCGCAAGCGGAGACGACGAAAATCAATGAGCTCAGTTTATTGGCAGCCACGCACAAATGTCATATGGGCAATTACGAGCCAAATTGCACTTACTTCACAGGTTAGTAAACACGACGCCAATGCTTCTGCCCCCCAGTCCACCCCTGTTCCTAACGGGAAGACTGCAGGGTCAAATTGCAATTGGTCCATGGATGTTCGGTGTTACGCGGGTCGCATTCAAGTTATTTTTCACGTTGAAAGTTCAGAACCCACTTTGATGCGATTCTGTTATGATCTAGTCTGAGCTCTCAAATCGATAGTATTTGACGAAATTGGATGTTGTGCATTCTCCTGCGCTTTTCCTCTATCCTTCTGCATGCTCTTTTTGACACTTACTAGATTCGTATAAGCTTTGCATTGTATAATGATATGCTTCACAAAGCTTCGCTCTTGTAATCTTTCCTGTGTGTGGTGTGTTGCTTGGGCCTCTTCCTTCGACACTGAATTCTAACTTACTCCGTTTTGGTCACAGATGAGCTCGTGGATAGAAACTGCGAGTGTTGCGTCACTTGTTGTATTGACTATGAAGGTTGGCTGCAATTTCAAAATGGCTTGTATGGTATTGTGAAAGACCCTTTATTCGAGTTGTTCATTACAACTTGTATAATTCTAAATACGCTCTTTCTTGCTTTAGAACACCATGGAATGAGTGAGAATGTTAGACAAGCTTTAGATATAGGAAATAAGGTGAGAAATATTTTCAAATATTGTTTTTATCACAGACTAGCATTAACAAGGTTCACTCCGTCCCTAGAAACATATAATTCGGTTGCGCTGTTGACTTTTTTCGGCCTTAGCCATTTATATATCCGTAGCTTGAAACCGGAATGCCATTTCTTTTAAGCTGCTGGTTCCTGACTAAGACGGAATTTCGATGTTCCTAAAACTTGTATAATATCCTGGATTGTGTGTAATAGTGTCTAATGTGGTCAAAAAAATCTGATATCTCTTTACGAATAAGCTAGCGCTAGTAGTGGTCGTCAACAGATAGATCTCAGTTTAAGTCAAAAAATTCACATAACGTGATAATCATATATTTTTTTAAATATGAAAATTCTTTGTCCACAGGTGTTTACTTCTATTTTTACTTTAGAGTGTATAATGAAGGTAATGGCTATGAGCAAAGACTATTTTGCCTGTGGTTGGAATATTTTCGATTTGATTATTGTGTCTGCTAGTTTGCTAGATCTCATATTTGAATTGGTCGATGGGTTATCTGTGTTGAGAGGATTACGCTTGGTAAGTATTTAACATTTTTGGCATTTTAATAAATTATTCATCAGGTTATTTACTAAAATTATTCTTTACAGTTACGAGTATTAAAATTAGCTCAATCATGGACTACAATGAAAGTGTTGTTGAGTATAATAATATCGACAATCGGTGCTCTTGGTAACTTAACGTTCGTGTTAGTTATAGTTATTTACATATTTGCTGTGATCGGTATGCAGTTGTTCTCCAAATCGTATACACCAGATAAGTTTGACCCAGATCCGGTGCCAAGGTAATACCGGGTTTTATTGTTTTATTCAAATTTAAAAATAAAACTAGTTATTGTCAGTTCAGTCTCTAAATGACCAAAGATTATTGCAAAAATGGATAATGAAAAGTAAATATTAAAACAGAGTTATTTCTCAAGTTTCAAAATAATATAGTTCAGATTATTTTAAAATGTGCGACGTTGTTTTGTGATTTTATGCTTAAATTTTTTGTACCTAGGTGGAATTTTAACGACTTCTTTCATTCATTCATGATGATTTTTCGTATACTCTGTGGTGAATGGATTGAGCCTCTGTGGGACTGTATGCGAGCAGAGCAAGCAAGTGGAGCTGAAAGTTGTTTCTTCATTTTCCTACCCGCACTTGTTATGGGCAATTTTATGGTACTCAATCTCTTTCTTGCCTTGTTGCTCAACAGTTTTAATAGCGAAGAGCTTAAAAATAGGAAAGAGGTAAACTTTGAAATTTAATAATTATAATATTTTAAGTATCCAAATGTTTTAAGTACTTTTTTCATTACAGGAAGTAGGAGAGGATTCAAAATTAGCTAAAAGTTTCGATAGATTACGTTCTATAGTAAGAAAGAAAGGCTTTCTTATATCTAAAAGTAAAGAGACTGAAAAGAAATCTAAATTAGAGGAACTAGTTAACGAATTTATGTCACAACATCGCGCAATGAAAGAGAAAAAAACATCAATTCCTAGTGAACAGAGGTTTTCAGGGTCAATTCAAGAAACAATTTTGTTTCCCCATGACAATATCTATAGTCATAGCTATCAAGAGGCACTAAATAGGTAACTAAAAAATATGAACATTTTAATTTGACACTGCTGGGCACTTTTCTTTAGGACATTAGATTAACAGTTTAATTAAGAGTTTAATCGCAGCTTCAGCGTGGAAAAGAGAACTTTAACTATTGCCCGCACCAGACTAGAGCTGTCACTTGGCGCCCAGCTTAACATGCTGTTTAAAAGGAAAATACCCAGGACGTGTAGGAAGAGCCTTTTAGGCTTTAGAATTTATTATTATTAAGCTGTTATTAAAAAATCCTAAAACTAACCCAACCTAACCAGTGTCCATTATCTACAGCAAAGTTCACTAACAATAAATTAACAATAACCTAAACTAATACTTCCAGGCCAATATCAGTAGGATCTGATTTCGCGTATCCGCATTTATATCAAATTGGTAATAACCACGGTAGTCAAGAGACACTAAAAGATGTCCGTGATTTAGCTGTTGAACACAAAATAACAAGCATACGAGAGGACTCTAAAGAAAATCTTGATGATACAACAGACCAAGTGGCAGCACAGAGACTACTAAATCAAATGTCATCCGGGTACCACACTCAGCCTTCTGATTCACGAGGTAAAACTGATATAGCAAGATTAGAAATACTTACAAAATTAAATTTAATACTTGAATAAAACATTTTTAATAGTAAACTTCGACTCGTTCCTCTATAAGGATCCCCGGTATCTTTTTTTAAAATAAGTTTTTACTGCATTTTGCGTTACCGATAGAAGGCCAGGTGTTCCATCAGCTGCATATTTCACCCATTCCCCTATTTTCTCTATGCAGATGACTTTGGGTTAAGTTAATGATAACTTTAATTTGTATTATTTTTGTAGATGATAATGAGCACTATGAAATGGCTCAAATATCGTGTAAGACAACACCGGAGAAGTCGAAACGTTACGAAATAAAGTCTTCGCGAGACACGATAAAAAAACCAGACGACGAGGACATGAAGCATCCATGGCAGACGCTAGTGTCGTACGTGGATGAATTGACTGTTGGTGGAAGGAAAAATTCACAAGGACAATACATAGATCCCATGGGAAAGTTTCCAGGGTTCGGAAAACGTAAAGAGGCTAAGGAACCGGAGAATTGTTTTCCACGACATTGTTACAAAGCGTGAGTAGAAACCAAAAAAGTCAATTTTCTGAATAAGAATTGAAATTCATTTAAATTAAGTTTAACATATTATATAGTGCAAGTATTGAAAGATTACAAATCCTCGCTGTAAAATATCCGTATCGTCGCATCGTACCTGAAAATAAATTTACTAATGTATGTAGTGTTTTGAACCGTCAAAAATGTTGTTTTCAACGGTAACCTTTTGGAAACTAAAATGTGGGAATATTGAACAAGGGCCTATTTACTTTTTTAACACTTTTTAATTGATCTTACTAAAATGTACTGTTAAACAATTTTCAGATGTTCATGTTGGGATGCTTGCGTACGAACTAAGTTAGGCCAAAAATGGATGTTCATCCGTACGTACATACTCCGATACGTGGACACCCCTGCCTTTGAATGGTTCGTGTTGGTACTAATATTCGCCTCCAGCGTCACACTGTGCTTCGAAGACATCCACTTAGAAAAAAATATACCCCTCAAAAAGATCCTGTACTGGACTAACCTCAGTTTCTGCATGATCTTTGTGATAGAGATGTTTTTTAAATGGATAGCGTTGGGCTTCTATAAATACTTCACGAGTTTCTGGACTCTGTTGGATTTTACCATAGTTTTTGTAAGTATTCAATAAATTATGGTCTATTACGGCCAGTTTCGCCAAATACCAACAACAAAAACACTTTAACGGTTTAAAACGCGATGTATTAGTTAAACTTATTTGAAAATGATTTTTAAAGTTCGGCCTGACGTTTCGATTTTATTATTATTATTATTACTAACTTATTTTTAAATTGTGTAAGGCTTTCACGGCCATCGTTCAGCATATCATTGTCTTTCGAGCTATTCAGCCGATGTGAGCGAGAAGAGGTTCTCGACGTTTCGCCATCACGTGTGTAGACGGCATCACTTCTTTTTAGTCCATTGTAACTATGGGGAGACGTTTCGGTTGCTTTGGAGCAGCCATGGTCGAGACTGTAGTCAAATTAAGTTACTTATTAAGATGTGGTCTTCAAACCACAGATAATACTTACTCTAATGCAACATCTCGATCATTCCAGGTGTCCGTGTTCAGTTTGCTAATAGAGGAGAATGAGAATCTGAAAGTTCTAAGGTCTTTGAGAACGTTAAGAGCTTTGCGTCCGCTTAGAGCTATATCACGGTGGCAAGGCATGAGGATAGTCGTGAACGCGCTGATGTATGCAATACCGAGTATCTTCAATGTGCTGCTGGTCTGCTTGGTGTTTTGGTTGATATTCTCCATCATGGGGGTACAGTTTTTTGGTGGGAAGTTTTTTAAGTGTGTGGATGAAGACGGCGAGTTGTTACCATTAGAGGTATAAATAATATCAATTATATTTTACTTATTATAACTCTTACAAATATTTAATATAATAACAACAATTAATCGCACGTGCTCGCTTGTGCTCTATTGCGAGCATTTACAAAATGTATAAAAAGTTAAAAATGGCTATTACACTTGTATTCCCAAATACCGTCATATTTAAAGGCTAACCGTAGATTTTGACGTTCTACTCGTAAATACATTCTGGAAAGTTATTGCAAAATTGATTTAAAAAAATATTTTTATCGACATGTTTTTTTATAACGTTTAATGACCTGGATTGGCCACCGATAAAGTCATGTTTTTCAAAACATTTTTTTATAACACCGCATTACTTTATTGCTATATTAAACACTATTCGAATTCATGATTTAGTCATTTCAATTTCAAATTAACAATCGTGAAAAACTCATGTATAAACAACAGGCTGATATTTTAAATATTTTCCAAATAGAAAATTATAAGATTTTAACAAAGAACGTATTATTTTTTCAGATAGTCAACGATAAGTGGGAGTGTTACTATAATAATTTTTCATGGATAAACTCTAAGATATCCTTCGACCACGTCGGTATAGCGTATTTGGCGTTATTTCAAGTGGCAACTTTCGAGGGATGGATGGAGGTGATGGCTGATGCTGTAGACGCTAGAGGTGTAGACTTACAACCAGCGAGAGAAGCAAATATATACGCGTATATTTATTTCATCATCTTCATCGTGTGCGGTTCATTCTTCACACTCAATCTGTTCATTGGAGTTATTATAGATAATTTTAATATGCTCAAGAAAAAGGCAAGTACATGTAACAAGATATCTTAATTTTTTTTTAATGATAGACGAGGGCAGACAAGCTTGATGATAGGTCAAATACCCCAGCTGTCATTTACACAAGATGCGCCGTCGACCTATTTTGGCTTTGGATATTCGGAAATCCACAGACTGAAACCGAAACACGATTAAGCTTCGCGGCTTTTTCATCTGTGGACGGCGGTTCGTGACCCGGACGGAATTTCTATATTCCACCCATATTATATCTATTATTCTTCCCGACAAAGTCCAGCATTAAAATAAAACACTTTAACGGTTTAAAACGCGATATATTAGTTAAACTTATTTGAAAATGATTTTTAACGTCGGCCCGACGTTTCGGATGCTTTGCAACAGCCATGGTCAAAAAATCATTTTCAAATAAGTTTAACTAATATATCGCGTTTTAAACCGTTTAAGTGTTTTATTTAAATGTGTACTACTCGCGTAAACAGAACAGACAGAAGTACAGCATGTTTCAGAAAAAATATAAATTGAAGAATTACAAACATATTGGACCTGGTGGGGAGCCAACCCACGACCCGATGATCATTAGTCATATATTGCTACCATTAGTCGAACGAGCCAGTCAAAATTTAATTAAAAATAAGACTTTAACAGTTTAAAAATCTATATATATGGTAAAGGGAGAGGAATGTTGTATATTGTGAAATGTCATTGTTACATTAAAGAGCAAATCGCATCAAGCTATGTTTTACTACAACCGTGTTTGGTAATTATTGGCACGGCTGCTTCAAAGCATCCGAAACGCTGGACTGTAGTTAAAATAATTTCCAAATAAGTGAAACTAATACATATCGCGTTTTAAACCGGTAAAGTCTTAAATACCGTCTGTAGTTTACGCGAGTAGAGATTTAAATAAAACACTTTAACGGTTTAACACGCGATATATATTTGTTGAGCTTATTTGAATATTCTTTTAACTTATATATTTAAATGGTACTTGCGTAAGATTATTTTAATTAAAGATTATTTTGTTATTATATGTTACATATGATTACAGTACGAGGGGGGCGTGTTGGAAATGTTTTTGACGGAGAGCCAAAAGCATTACTACACGGCGATGAAGAAACTCGGCAGGAAGAAGCCGCAGAAAGTCATAAAGCGGCCGAGGAATCAATTTTTAGCGATGTTTTACGACTTGTCGAACTCTCGTAGATTTGAAATAGCGATATTTGTACTTATATTCTTAAACATGCTCACGATGGGCATAGAACATTACGACCAACCGCATTCAGTTTTCTTCGTGCTGGAAGTTAGTAATGCGTTTTTTACTACAGTGTTCGGATTAGGTAAGGCAATGTATTTAATAAAACATTTTAACGGGTTAAAACGGGAACTGTCTTAGTTAATAATAATAAAATCTCTTTATTCAACATTAATTTATTACGATGCTGGATAATTTATATTATTATAAAGAAAAGATATGCCAGAGAGGTTCTTGCGTCCTCCTCTCTTAACTGTAAAACTCCTCTGTTAGACCTCCTATATTATAATATTTTAGTAAGTGACCTTAGCGGGAATCATTAGTAAGTAATGTGTTCAGTGGCTATTGCAATTATTGGCGTAAATGGGGGGTCAAATTCTTACGCCCAGCGGCAAGGTGTCCTGGTAGTTGGCAGTGGTCATGGGGTACTTACGATGGTTTATTTAAAATCAAGTCAAATCTGCTATGCTAGTAAACGAGCCACACTAACATTCTAAATCCACGTGTTAATCCGTTTGATTTATTGCATTCCATTGTAGATACCGCTTGCCTAAAAATTTCCAATCTCTTGTTTCAGAGGCAATAGTGAAAATTATAGGCCTTAGGTATCATTACTTCACGGTACCGTGGAATGTATTCGACTTTCTTCTAGTTTTGGCTTCGATATTGGGAATTTTAATGGAGGACATAATGATTGACTTGCCGATATCGCCCACGCTCCTTCGAGTTGTCAGAGTTTTTCGCATAGGAAGAATTTTAAGACTGATTAAAGTAAGAAATATGATTTATAGATAGCAAACCGTATGTTTGAAAACTAAAAATCTTTCACATGTTATTGCATATAAGCCTTATAAGGCACAACTGGTACTGTCTCTGAGTACATGCCAACATACATTTAGATTCCTATAAAATTTTATTTATTTCCCTAGATAATAAGAATATTAGTTTAAAAATCTAAAATAAATTGCTTGAAAAAATAACTCAATTGGTAGAGCAACAGCACGGAACGCTGACTATGCCGGCTCAAGTCCTGCCCGAGTCGAATTTTTTTCAATTCATTTTCGATTTTTAAATTATATACTTAGTGCCGTCATGTGAATAATATTAAAGTTTTCAAAGAATATTAGTTTTAAGTTATCATAAGAGACAGGACTGTTTAGTTTCCTAAGTAAATAAAGAGAATTATTGTTATTAATAAGTAAAAAAAAACAAAGGTACTATTCGCGTAAAATACAGAAAATACTAATTGTAACTTAGTGACACGGTAGCTCAATTGGTTAGAGCAGCAAGGAACGCTGTGGGTGCCGGTTCGAGTTCCGCTTGTGGCCTCGATTTTATTAAATAGGTATAAACAGACTTTTAACTTTCCTTCTTTTAGTATAAATACACTTGATATTGGCTCATTAAAGTAAACACACGGCGTTTCATGCTGCTCTAAAAAATTGAGCTACCGTGTCACTAACTTACACTTAAGTATTATCTGTATTTTACGCAAGTAGTCCCACGTTTAAATATAACAGTTTAACAGCTTTGAAACACGAAATATATTATGTATTTAATTTATCCTAACAACGATCCAACGATTGCTTGGCGTCAGCCGTGATCATTAGGGGACTAAGTTAACTACTATATATCGCGTTTTAAACCGTTCAAAGTGTTATACTTCTCTTCCAGGCCGCTAAGGGTATTAGGAAACTACTTTTCGCTCTGGTCGTGTCTCTGCCGGCCCTTTTTAACATCGGTGCCTTGTTATCGCTGATAACGTTCATCTACGCTATCATTGGCATGTCTGTGTTTGGCCACGTGAAGGAGCAAGGCGCTTTGGATGATATTGTCAATTTCCAAACGTTTGGAAGGAGTATGCAATTACTTTTTCGGTAAGCAAGAATTTTAAATGGGGCAGACACGTTGTTGTGTCTAGAGCAGTAAAGGCAACTAGTTGATCAAATTTCTGGACCCTAACTAAAAGCATAGTAATTTATGTTTCCTAGGAATCGAACTAATACTAATGGAATGAGAGGCCTTCGTTCAAATATATTTGAAGTACACATACAATGGTAGAGGTTTTAGGAAAGATAATAAGGCACAACAACAAAAGTCGTTATATTTATATTTTTTATTTAATAATATAAATATAACGACTATATTTTTATAGGGTAATCCCTATAAAAATATTTCCTTCGTTGAATATATTATAATACAAACAAATTACTGTTAATAAGTAGTTTCATGTGTAGATTATATAGATAGACCTCATACCTCTAGTCAAGTTTCAAACTTACCATCTTATTAGACCGAGTAAATCTAAAGGTTAAAATTCTATATATTTATAATTATAAATATAAATGCATATTCATATTCACAATGGTGCAACAGTCTTATTATTATTATCATGTCGATAGTCAATAAAATTATATACACCGTTTCAGTCTTACTCTCACAAGATGGCGTTAATAATCATACTTTTTTTGGATACAGATTATGCTAAAATAATTCCAACATTTTTATTTTCATGTTTTAAGTTTGATTTTTCTTCTAAAGCTTACAGTTCATTTCCTTTTACAGCTTAATGACATCAGCTGGATGGAATGACGTGCTGGAATCATTAATGATTCAGCCACCAGACTGTGAACTTGGAGACCACGGCCACACGAACGGAAACTGCGGAAGCCCCCTTTTAGCGATCACATATTTCACTTCGTTCATAATAATTAGTTATATGATTGTGATAAATATGTATATAGCGATAATTCTAGAGAATTTTAATCAAGCTCACCAAGAAGAGGAGATCGGTATAGTGGAGGATGACCTTGAAATGTTTTACATTAGATGGTCCAAGTAAGTCCTTCGAATTACCTCGATCCAATTTCAACAAGAGCAACAATAATTCAATGACACGGTGTCTCAATGGCACGTTATGACGGTGTCGGTTCGCGACCTCTTGTCACATAATTTTTTTAATGTCTTACTTTTTTACATCAAATCATTTATTCGATATACAATTATCCGAATACTTATGCATTAGATATATTATGTGGAGGAACATCACTCAGATTTTGTTATATCTGAAAAAAATCACAACGCCTATTTTTAATGTACTTGCAGCTTGAAAAGCTCAGAAATCTGTATAGCTGGACGCTGTGCCATCTAATTATTTTTTTATTATTAAATAACAGTATTGTTATGTATATCAATAATTTTGTTTCAGATATGACCCCCACGCAACCCAGTTTATCAGTTTTGCTCAACTGTCAGATTTTATAGCATCTCTAGATCCCCCTCTAGGCATTTCAAAGCCTAATACGGTAGCGCTAGTCAGTTTTAATCTACCGATAGCAAGAGGCAATAAGATACATTGTTTAGATATATTACACGCTCTGGTGAAGCACGTGCTAGGTCACGTGGAGGAAACAGACACATTCAGACAGCTGCAGGAGCAAATGGATATTAAGTTCAAGAAGCAGTTCCCGACGAGGAAGGAATTGGAGATTGTCTCTTCTACGCGAATATGGAAGAGGGAAGATAAAGCGGCGCGCACGGTGCAGCGGTCGTGGCGGGATTATCAGAAGTCAGTATTTTTTGTAGACAAGAACAAACAAGTATAGAGTTCACTTGATTGAAGATAATGCTCTAGCCATATAACATTCAAAGTGTCAACTATTTTGGCTTTGGACATATGGAAAACGACAGACTGAATCCGAAGTTCCAGTACCAGTTTTACCATTTCACGGCTTATCCAACAGTGCTATGTTGATTTGTGACCTGGACGGAATTTCGATATTCTTTCCACCTATTCCATATCCTGTTTATGTTCCAGGTCCACTCGTTCTAATTTTAAATATTCATAAATACTGAGATCCGTTTTCTTTCTTGCAAAATATTAAGATCTGAGACCCTTATACAAACATTAAACCCGTATGTTCCAGGCGGAAGAATCGCAGTCCTTCGCAAGAGGAGGAGAGCACCAAATGGTCTCCAGGTGGTGGTTGGGGTGGTCGCCTCAGTGCCTTGCTTCACGTGCGACGTGGATCCCATGCTTCTAGCAGAAAGTCTTCAAGAGCGTCAGATGCGTCTGATATCAGCGAGATCGGTGGAGCGTGGCTCAATCTCCCTCTCTTACTGCTACCTGGCGCTCCACCTGGTGACCAGGTAAAATGTCGATATTTAAATGAAAATTTAATAAACTTTCTATCGACAAATGGCATGTAAATTAAGCTTTTAGATGTATAAGCTTAGTTCAGAGCCATTTTTTTAGGTAAATAGAAATTTCGCATGGTAAAAATACCTAAATTGAATACAATTGGACTTTGAGCTCATTAGCTGCTAGGGTCATTCATACTCTCTCATCTTTAGGCTAGCGGGTCAGAAGGCCCTCCCCCGCGACGCAGATCAGCGTATGGTTTGCCACTATTTCTTCGTCATCAGGACGCCGTTGACGAAGATGGTGGCCCGAAACGAGCAGGTTCATATGTAATGATTCGCTTTTTGTGTCTTTCCTTATCGTAGATCGATGCGAGTTTATTCTTTCTACATCTGGTTGATGGAAAGCGTTAAGAATTTCATTAAGTACATAAAAAAATATTACAGCTAGAATTGCTCGCATCCTTGTTAGCAAACATATACTTTATGTATTTAGCTTTTTGTCGCCCAATGACGGTAGTGCAAAATTCTTTTTGAATACCCTTGATCTGTCTTTATGTTGCATGTGCTTCTGTTTTATGCTTATCCGTAAAGCCAAAAGCTATTCGGAGATGGGAACATATTTATATAAAAATATCCATCACTATCTATTCCTATTCGGGCAGCTTAAATTATTTCTTTATTCCTCTTTTCAATTGCCACAACTCAATCTTTGATTTGTGAAAATTGGTTTCATATTGATGGCTCGCTGATTATTGTTTGTTGTTTTTCTTTAACCGTCTTTATAGTTTGGATGCTCTGATTCGCAGGTTCACTTCGGGTAACCTCTCGACGCAACTCAGCAAGACGGGCGACCACGCCAGCTATGACCCCCTCGCCTCACGCGAACAGCTCCGTTAGTATCTTAGTCACTGAAGCGTCACCGGACGCAGTTCCACCGCCCTCCGCGCCTCCCACCGTCGTCAAAGTTCTAGTGCATAGAGAGAGTGACGAGCAGCCCAGCTGATCGACGCCCGTTGAGCCGCCCCGGCTCCTCCCTAGCTAGCCACGGTCGCCAATGAACACATAGTGAGTGTCAAAAATCGAATATTGTGTTCAGACACGGGTAACTCAGTGATATAATTTTACGGTTAGATTATTATTTCGGATCGATAGTTTAGTGATGTTAACGTATTTTAAAATCTAATCCTACATTTGAAGGACACGAAACTTCCGTAACGCAATAATAGTTAATCGCTCGACAGATTGCTTATAGATAGATATTGAATTTTAATTAATTGTTTTTCGGCTTCGATAGATGTGCTGATTCAGTCACGGGGATATTTCGCCATATATAGATGACAGTTATTTGTTACTGTAAATATACATTTTAAGCTGTGGCCGAAATTAATGTTACGTATTAGCTTGTTTTCGTCGTGCTTAATGGCTACGAGATTTATACCGTTCAAATCAGGTAGTAGTTAAACCACAGAATTGCCTTATAAATAGTTATAAAGGTTATAATGCATTTGCATGTTTAGAGGTACAGTTTTGACATTATTGACAACTCCCCCCTACCCGCGCCTTTAGTCACAGTAGGCTAAGTTCTACCTTCGCTGGCAGCTGCGTATCCTACTACCTACTGGTTCTGGGCCGAATAATCGACAGTCCATATAATCGATATTTACTTGGAAGCAATACTCAATGACATTCGCGGTTTTTATCACTGTTCTTTTTTCTTGTTTTTTCACTTCACTTAACAATTTTGTTTTCCACTTTGCTCCGACTTCAATAAAAGGAGATTTTCAATTTTATCGTTTATATTCTTATTTTTTGCTGTTTTTACGCGGGTTACTTCTTCATTTATGAACCGATTTTTTTTTAACGATTTTTCCAAGGTGATCTCATAATAAGGATATCAATAAGTCATATGAATTTAAATAAATCACTTTAACGGTTTAAAACGCGATATTTTTAGAAGATATATTAGGCTGTCTCTCTCTTCCCGTGACCACGGCTGCTGCAAAGCATCCGAAACGTCGGGCCGAAGTTAAAAATCATTTTCAAATAAGTTTAACTAATATATCGCGTTTTAAACCGTTAAAGTGCTTTATTTAAATGTGTACTACTCGCGTAAACAATAGACAAGTCATATGAATTAAAATAAAATTTAAAAATAACACTTTAATTACTTGCTATAGGCCATTGGTAGAATATTTGGTACTGCAGCGGCAGCGAAGCCGAATCTTTAAAATGTTGTAAAAGGATGATAATTGATTAAGAATCAAATCGCACAAATTACGTTTTCATAGAGTTAATAGTTAGAATTCATATTACGAGTACGCTTAGACTTTAAGCTCCCCGCAAACACGCTACCAACTTTTTATAGAAAAAAACGAGTGATTCAGAGTGAATATGTATCAATTTATATTGTTTCTTTCTATGTTAATAACCGCTTATCTTATTTCCGCAAGATAATCATATTATTTCAGTATGTCTCAGTAGAAACCCATTCTATTGTTTCAGTGTGAAAGGTTGCAAGTTTGATAGCGCGAATGATTGATAGTATATCGTGTACATTTTAATTTTTCGTATCACTAGGAAGTCTTCTACAACTGTTTCTGACCTGAGACCTGAGACCGTATACTTGACAATATTCCAAGTAGGCTGAACAATATTGAGACGAATATTTTGTCAATTTTCACTTCTGCCACGGTCATATTTGGCTTTGAGTAACGTAACTAGAGCTTTCAGCTTTATTCCCGTCCAGATGTTTTGTTAATCGTCTAGAATTGTTGATTTTATAAATGTTTAAAACAAAAATTACACTTTAAGAGTTATATTAAAATTAAAAGATTTATGTCACGGTCAGAGTTCGAACCTACTATACCTACTCTAGAGCTGTTGTACTTCGAACTTCAAGTCCTGTTGAACCGTGTCTTACAATGTCTCACTTTAAAAATAACTCCTAAAATGTATATAGGCTTTCATGTGCATTCACATGTAAAAATTATAATCATTTAAGCGTCAACGATAAGATTTTTATTTCCTTTATAGTCTTTTAGAATTACGCAAAAAATAGACAGATTTCTGATTTTGAGCCTAGTTGAATCTTGCTGCCCAAAAGGCTTGATCTAAACTATATAAGAACGTTTACAAAAACAAATAAGCTAAGCTTTTTACACTTGCATGCTATTTCAATATCTAATATTTATTAATTTTCTCTAAATATAGTGAATAGGGCAGCTATTGTCATAATAATAGAAAGATAATATACAAATTATTTAGACATGTTTAAATCGCTCGCTTAGATATAGTTTCAAACTGTCATGCTTAGCAATTTAATTTCGACGAATTTAAAAGCAAAATTATCTTACCACAGAGCTTGGACAAATAGTTCCACAGATGTTATCTACAAGCTATCTAAAACTTCTTTCCATTTTGCCCAAAAACTTTGTGATTGTATTCCATATTGAATTTCCTTAGATGACTTAAGTAAATTTCCTAATTTGTTATGTATATAAATTATTATTAAAAAGGTACGCAATATTTTTTCATATTTTAAGTAGAATATTAAACGATTAGATTACTTTTTATCTCTATTATGTACAATGTACATTTAACTTACTGTAGTTAGCGAAATTACATTGTAATCATATGTTAACCATGACATGTGATCATTTTAATATAATGTATGATATGTAAATAAATTGTTTAGGTGGAACCCGCGAAATATAATTTTCTTCCGAGGTACAAATATTAATTAACCATGTTGAAGAGTATGATTAAACAAAAGCAGTAATTGATGTATTTTCATTTCTCCCTGTCACATACACAAATAAGATAACATAATTTTATTTATACTGTTCAATTAATGTAATTGCAAAACAAGGCTGTTGTTTATGATTTTCGTTAAGTTATCTAATGGAGCTGGCTTCAAAAGACAAATAAAAAGTCCTGTGTTTACTTCCACCGATGCTATCCATACTAATATTGTAAATGCGAAAGGAACTCTGTCTGTCTGTCTGTTCACTCTTTCACGCCAAAGTGAGAGTGGAAGTTAGAGTAGGAGTGATGTGAGGTGGTAATGTTGCGGCAAAGTAGCACTTACAACATAGATTGGCTGCGATAAATACGCAATAACATAAATTAATAAACAGCCTAAATAATTAAAAATTCTACCCCAAGTCACTATTCCACGCGAACGAAGTCGCGGGCACAGCTAGTAAGTAAATAAAACAGAGAAATCAAAATACACATGTCAATGTAAGGAAATAAAACATTAAACATGCAACAGAATAATTTATATTTGAGTTTATTTATTCTACAGTTGAATACATATGATAATTTTGCTATTATACAAAAATTAAACAACAAATGACTATTAAGAAGTATTCATACAGTCCTAACTACTTGGTTGAGACTCTTGTACGGCGATTCCATGAAAAGTTGATACCGTAGCTCTTGGGTTTGTAAGCTTTTTCGGTCTTAGGACAATCTAAGTACCACACCCAACCATTTTTTTCGCAATGTTCAATTGCTTCATTGGGTGAAGCAAACTGGAGTTTTAGGTTTGATAGGGGGTCTCCAGTAGAAGTCCAGCCCATGAGAGGGTTTTCCCAGCGCTGTCTAGTGTCAAATTCCATTTCCCAATGATGTATGTTGTTAGTGCCGCTCTGCATTGCATTCTTGGGTGGTTGGTAGATACGAACTCTGCGCTGTCTAATGTGCTCCTCTGGCACACCAGTTATTGGTGACAGGTCAACCTTTGAAGAAGAAATAACTATCTTAACTATAATACAAAAAATAACTTGTCTTTCATTAGAGTATCAAATCAAAAATGGAGCGATTACATAAAAGCATACACAATTAAGCTTTGATTCTGTTTAAATGTTCATTTATATAAATAAACATTCCACTGCTAGGCATGTGTTTAAAGAAGCATGTCAAGCTAAGAACCATCATGGTATTCCCTTGGGAGGAAAAAAGTTAGCAGACAATGTGTACTGATCTTGCCATCTTATAGTGATGTCCCCAATGGAAAATCATAATCATGATACCTATGTAAAGTTTTAGCAAGGCTTCACTATGCTAATATAAATAACTGAGACCAACTGTTAAATATCATTTTCAAGATGGGGAAGTGAAAGATACTGGTAGCCGAGTGGGGCTAGTTCAGTTAAACCTGCCTTGTAATAGTTAGTCAAATGCAATAATCAAGTCATCAAGCAAGCAGTTGATAGAAATGTAAGGTAAAATTAATGAGTGGCATTCTTAAATAGACTACAATAAGTAACTAACACAACTCATACCTTGGTAGGGACACAAATTTGTGAATCGTAAACTTGTTTCTCTTTAGCTTCTTCTGGTAAAGCTATGACGGTTTCAGTGTCAATTTTAGGCGCCTCCTTACGGCTAGATGGGTCTTTCGACGCATAGCGAGAACTGCCTGTAGAAAAGGCAGGAAGAGACCTGAAAATCCACAATCAGTTATCCCAGGCGCAAACGAGAGCTAGATAGAAGCACATACGTTGTAGTACAATTGAACAATTACCGCGATATTTGAGACTTCGAAAGTCTAGCTGTGGTTGAAATCGCCTTAAACATGGTCCTACGGCTTTACTGATTTAATTGTTTGCGTGATTATTCAACAATACCTATTTTCAGCGAGTTTTTCTTCGGATTTTTTGGTGAAATGACAGATGACAATTAACCTCTTGACAGCTATGACATTATACGTCATATTTTGACAACTGACAAATCATCGCCAAATTGAACGATTTGGAAAACAAAAGTCAAAAAGCTTTTCGTCGAGGTGAACAAGAATTTCGCCGATTGATAATTTTATGTTTAATTGCGATATTATTTCGATAATTTCACCATAAATCTTTTATGTGTCGCAACTGCTTTTTATTAACGTGAATTATGTTGTGCAATTACTTCTCGAGCCTAAGAAAACTGTGTGCAGCTGGGTACTTGTAAGGGTATGTAGCTATTTAGGTAGAAGTTTTTTCTATTTTAATTCACGTATTAAGTTTCAAGGGTAAAATTACGGAACATATATACATGTGTATTTGCTATTATAAACAATAGCAAATACACATATTCAATAATCATTAAATAAGTAAAGTTATTTCAATTTTATTTAACTTTGTTACAGATTGCCGTAAAAACAATTATGTCGTGTTAGAAACAGGTAGACCCTACAGGGGTCTGGCGTAGCCGGCCTCTGTTCTTTTGCTCATATCTAGTACCCTAGTGTCATATCTACATTGTACCTGTAAAAAAATCGTGTAACACAAATCCAATAAGATTATATGAAGTAATAATTATATTTTAAAATGAGTAAGACACTTGAAGCTGATTGCACAAAAAAGTGTAAGTCTAGAAGCCATGGCCAGATAATTACTAGTGCTATAACCAAGAGATCAGTTAGTGATGCATCCCTTGCTAGCTTTATCAAAGCAACATGTGCCAATTTTACTAAAGCCTTTGATTTTGAGGTAAGCTCAATTCTTTGTTAGTTCTGAATCATAATTTAGTTAAAGTTTAACTATGCAATATCAATTACAAAAAAGGAACCTATGTGTGCTGTATGTAAATAAACAAATCAGACAGATTAATGTGCTTAATCATTTAAAAAATCACTATTTATCATTTTGTTATTTTCAATTTTTTCTTAACTGTTTACAATTGACACTTTTGAATGTTTCTAGGGCCGCACAGCTCTACATATGGCTGCTTCCCGAGGGCGAAATAATCTAATGAAATGGCTTATCAACCACTCTTCAGAAGCGTTTGTCAATGCTAAGGATAGGGAGTCGGGCTATACACCACTTCACAGAAGCATCTTCTATGGACAAATACATACAACTGTTGCTTTGATGAAAATAGGTAAAGGATAAAAAATTTCATATCAGTCTGAGAAAAGTTTGTATGTAAACCGTATAACACTCCAGACCATAGAAGAATTTTTCTAATAGCGTTTGCATTAAGCAAAGAAAAGTTATTGGAAGGTGGTACCTTTGTTTATCATGGGGACGCTTTCAGGTATATACCCAGACATTTTGGACAAAGATGATTATAAGGCACTCGAACATGCAATGCTAGATCGTCAATATATATGCAAGGTGGGAAATGACATGCCGAGTGATGTCTATGTCTGGGGCAGCAATTCTAATTATACCCTTGGTACTGGGTCCCAACAGCCAAAAAATATGCCAGATCTGCTAACCTGCTTTAGTAGAAACAACGAGGATATGAAACAGGTGAGTCTCCTAACACCAGTGTTAAAATTAAAAACAAAGATGAACAGGCAAAAATGTATTCACTGCTATTTTTATTTTCTCATATAGCATTGATTGGATAGTGTATTTATGTGACTTAAGAAGACCAGAACATTACATAGGGCCAAAGGACCTTTTATAGAGTGAAATAAATATAGGAGACTAAAAATCCTACCAATATACATCCTTTTGCTATTTTTTAAGCAATAAAATATGCACTTTGCTTATCTCAAACCAAAATGAACACTTAAATAAAGTTTTAATTCTGTGTTTCAAAGTTTTACCTCCTTTGTAAATTTCATTTAATTTAGGAGACAACTTGACATAACTCCAATAAAAAATAAGACACTTGTCACATGTAACAATGTTACAGTTTAGTTATTAAAACAATTTGAAAATTAAAATGCACTCAGTTGGCTTACCGCGTACCTGTCTTGGCTTCACAAACTTATTATTTTTGATACTCGGCGGTATCGGGTTACTAGTTTGCGTTTGGTGCGCGATTAACACCGATTTCTTCAGAGACGTAAACTACACAGTGACTAAAAGTTCTTCCGTATCGAGTATCGCTAATTTCGTCAATCTTAAACTATGGTTTACCCCTATGACTTCCATTTTAATACCCGTCGCATGCGTCGCAATGTTGACTTCCTGTTGTGGCCTCCTGGGAGCTGGTTGCAGGACCAAGTGTGCCATAAAGTCTTATATATTCCTTGTGACAGCGCTGTGCCTTAGTACCTTCTGGTTTTTATTCATTTTCGGAGTCCATAACATACATTCAGACAATCAAAGAACCAGGAATTTATTGCGATCTTCTCTACGAACTTATTATGGAAGGGAAAACGAATTCGTAACTTTTATCTGGGATTACATCATGGTAGAGTACAAATGTTGCGGTATTAATAACTACAAAGATTTCTTCGATTCCGCATGGCAGAAGAGCAATATGGATAAATTGTACCCTGTTCAGTGTTGCGTGTTAGAAAATAAAACCGGCTTGATACCAGTGTCGAAAGATTGCACTCAGAGCTTAGACGTTCAAGCGTATGCGCATTTAGGATGTTTTGATGCTCTGCGCCGATCTATAAAGGACAATAAGCCGCTGATTATATTCTACATATTTCTGTTCCTTATCACGTACGCGATTTTAGTGTTCTTCGCATACTGCATCATTCGCGGTGAACCGCTATTAGCTGCGATGGGGGAATCCGTCATGTTTCAGAAGCAGGATAACGGTCTGACGGAAAATATGCTGCCGTCCCATTCGTCTCTCGACAACATGATATTCGTTGAGGAACCGCCGAAGAAGGTTGTTCGAGTCGTATCAGCGATAAATCCGTCGCAAACTTATAAGTTTACGCCGAACGCGTTCAGTGGACACTATCCGCCTAGTATACGAAGTCATACTATGCAATAAAATCTTATGCTATACAGGACCTATTTTATTTTACAGATAGCTTGCTACTAGCTAATATATATATATATATATATATCGGTATCAATGAATTAAAATAGTTGTATGTAGACATGTGTAAATACATCTGTACAAACTTAGTAGCACTGGGGAGACGAGTTCCGATAGTATCACCGATAGATTTTATGAACAGGGATATTGATGAGCGGATTCGAATTCTGGACCTCTCTTATTTGATCACGTTTAATCTCACAACTTCTTAACGTAAATAAAGTAATAGGTTTTTTAATCATATTTTTTCAACGAAACAGGTAGATCACGAAATTAGTAACTTAATAAAACAGTACATTTTAATATTGTGATTTATTGCAGTGTGTAACTGATACGGTAATGACCACGAACACATGGCGTGATCGTAAATTGTTTGAATTTAATGCGAGAATTTATCAATTTTGCAGTTGAACGTATTTTCAAAGAAAGTATAAATACAATTAGTATACAAACATGCACAAATTAAATCTTTATAATTTGTGGTCATTTTGTAAAGCTACTTTCGAGCGAACTTCGTTATGAAAACTCAAATAGCATATACAATGGTATTTTGGATAATAATCTACATTGGATATTATATAATAAAAAAAAAGGTATAATTTGACCTCAAATTATCAATTTGAAGTCAAATTATATTTAAAATATAGTTTTAACGAAGTCCAAATTATTAATACCTTTTCGAATGTTTTTTTTAATTGCTTTTACATCGAGGTACTCGGCAGCACATGGAAACGTAGAGCTATTTTTTATTAACTCTACGAACAATTTACGAAGTCTTGAGAAGCCGTGACGTCTCTAGCTCACGGAAATACGATGTTTCGGGACATCTTAAAAATGTAACTTTCCGGTTTAATCACTACTTTTTCCTCTTCAGGTATGTCTGGGCAAGTTCCACAGTGTTTGGCTCAGTGGATCCGGCTCGGTCTGGTGTGCGGGTCAACCGAACCGAGCTGGCGGGTCGTCTGCCACAGCGCTTCGCCCCAGTCAGCTACGGTTACCGGAGCCCTGCCGGCAAGTCGCTTTGACGCTGTCATCTACTGTTTTCTTGCTGCAGAGTGGTACGGTACGAAGATTCTTCGTTTATTAACTTTCGTCTTACCTATAAAAGTTTTGATTTATTTATTTTATTTTATTTAGAAAGGAAAAAAGTCTAAATTATAATCATATTATCTTTGGAAATAAACTATTACATAATTTTACCTGTGAAATGTTTTCCGATAGAAATGTATGTGAGTATAAACGAAATTATATAGCACGTTTCGCTTTTTTTAATCACTTAAAAAGCATTTTTTCTTCAAACATAAATAAAATACTACTTTTTTCAACTCAGTCACAAATTTTCATTTTTTATATGCTTTCAGACACTTTATATCGTGATATTAAAATAAAACACATTAACGGTTTAAAACGCGATATATTAGTTAGATTTATTTGAAAATTATTTTTAAGTTCGGCCGTTTTGACGTTTTGAAGCTAAAAAATAAATTTCAAATAAGTTTAACTAATATATCGCGTTTTATACCGTTAATGTGTTTTATTCGTTTTATTTCAACGTATACTACTCGCGTGAACTATAGACAGTATCATGATATTGTTTTGCAGATGCTTCAATACACGTTCAACAGCTCGGAAAACACAGCTCCAACGTCGAAGGTTGCAACCACAAAGTACCAAATCTCGCACCCCATAGGTGTATGCGCAGGTCGATCTCACGCCGTTCTGTGGAATGCGAAGAGCGTCTTCACGTGGGGTCTCAATGTGGGTCAATTGGGACATCAGGCTGAAGATAAAATCGTTCCAACACCAAAGAGGGTAAAGTTTTATATTATTTATAAAAATAATAAATATAACATTAATTTCTCTTATTAGCACTGTTGTTGGCAGTAGCTGTTATTTGAATGTCTTAAAGATAATATATTTGTTCCGAACCAAGAAAATGAAAATCCCAGAATAATCTTAATGCATTGTCAATTTTATCTGTCTGCTTACTAAAATTGTCTGTACATATTTAAATAATACACTTTAACGGTTTAAGACCCGATATATATTAGGTAGGCTTTAAAAACAAAATAACTACAGCCCGGCGTTTCGGATGCTTGCCAGTTAAAATAATTTCCAAAGTTTAATTAATATTTATACAAATAAACAAACTCAACCAATTTCGATAACTGTTTTTTTAAAGTTCATTTTGTTAAGGTCGCTATATCAATGAACAGCAAGGAGGAGACCAAGTTTGAGCTGGTGGATGCGTCTGACGCTGCAACTGTAGTCACCACCAGCAGGGGCGATGTTTATCTTCTACACAAGTTTATTTGCAAGAAAATTGCCGTTAAGTATGTCAATGTAAACTTTACTTTTAGTATTTTAAAGAGAATAATGCTGATTTATTATTAGTGTTTTTGAACGACGCGTCATCGGCGCGTGCGCAGGTGGTCACTGTGATCAAATTTATACTAGAACGTATATCATCCAATTGTCCTTAAACATGATCTCTGGACAATTTAATTTAGTACTCGTAATTAATTACAGGCAAATCAACTTGCACCAGGTGTGTGTTGAGGCAAAAGTGAGCGAGACGGGAAATTATTCCCGTGTCACCGTTTTGCTTCTTACCAATGTTGGCCAACTGATGATTTGGCAGGATACTACCAATCGACTCACGAGGTAAATGCATAATTAAGCCTATGTTTTCAAAAGTTAAACTCTTTAATTACATTTTTAATGATTTTTATTTAATTTCAAAGCATACGACATTGAACCTTAATACACTAATGTTATTGAGATTACATTGCGCGGGAGGTACATATTATGTATACCAATAGTTTGAAAAAATTCGGCAATGCCGTTCTACGTCTAACAGTTGAGCTACTGTGTCCAGTAGCTCAATTGTTAGCACGGATGCACGGAATATATATAGAAATGGATGCCGTTTCAAGTCTGTCCTAAATTGAATAAGGCTTTCGCGGCCAGTTTGCAAAGATTCTTGGGTTTTTAGTCATAGTTTTCGCTTTGTCGTCAAAACAACTTCTAAAAATGTCATCTATGTTTTATGATGCCATACATAACATTGTCAGTTATATATATAAATTATAAAACCATTCCTATTTTCCTTTCCTGGATAATAGGGTAACACACTTCTGTGTCTGTTTCTCTTTTGTCTGTCTCTGTTTTTCAGATATTTGGCTAGACCCTGCCGGATCTATTATTAATTTAGTTTAACATGCAAGGGACTTCAAACTTTTCCTTTGTATTAATTACATATCTTTTATAAATAAAACGTTTTCTCTCTAGATGTGTATTTGGTGTCAACCATCAAGTGAAAATAACACAAATGGCCCTAACACACGACGCGCTCTACATCACAACCAAATACGGCGAGGCGTTCATTGGCTACATCTCGCGGAAAGCCACGCCCCCGCCGCAGCAACCAATCAAGCGCGAGAAAGAGAAGGACAATGGCAAATCGGCTCTCGTCAAGTTTCTGGAAAAGGACGACTGCACACCTGTGAAGATCGTGAAGATACCGAATATACATAGGGCCGTAGCTATTTCCGTGGACAATGAGGGGCTTAACTTTGCTTGCATACAGGTATATATTTTTACTAGCTGTGCCAGCGACTTCGTCCGCGAGAATCGTTATTTTGGGCATCCCAATTAGGTTTTGTAAACCCCGTCATCTTTATAAACTTGCTAAAAAAAAGCTGTTGCCCACGACGTCCGCGTCAGTCGCGTCCCTTCCCGTCGTTCTTTCAAGTTAAATTTAAAAGATAGCTTCGTGGACTTTTTTTTAGATCATTTAAAGAGAAGTAATTTTTTCATACACATTTTTAGTTATCTTGAACGATGTTTTATAGCCTATATCCTTCCTCGATAAATGATCTAACCAAAAAAAAATATTTTTTAAATTCCAACCCGAAGATTAGCGCGTTTAAACAAACAACAAACTCTTCAGCTTTATATATCAGTATAGATTATACTCTTGATAATTATGACTTTAAGTGCTGTCCCTGGGTTACGTCAGACAGTACTTAGAGTTTTAAACCGTGGTTCAGTTCTGTTACGACTCAGCCAGTTTACCCAAACACCAAATACAAAAAAAGATGCCGCTAGTATAGCAATTTTAACTTTGACATTACGGACGTCTCTAACTTCAGTCTTACTGTGACCACGTCGAGTCACAGTTAAAATAAATCAAGTGCACGTTTTAAACAGTTAAAAATGTTTTATTTCAGAATAAACCAACCTGTGGCCTTACATCGGTACCAGAATTGTCTCCGTCATGTTTATCAAAGCACATGGAGACGCTTCTAGAAACCGCTGCTGATGATGATATATTACACGATGTGACGTTTAAGGTCTGTATATCTAATGCTTAGTTTTTGAATGACTAGACCAGATTTGATAAAAAAATTGAGATTTTTTGATTTTGAACTATTTTAAGTAACATTACAGTGGTGCCAAAAAATAAAAATTCTATATTAAATGCTTTGACTGAGAATCCAATCCCAACATAAATTAAATGTTTATTAATAAAGCACTCTTCTAATTTATTTTGCATGAAACTTATTAAACCCGTTTTGTAATATTGATGTTACTTTAGGTTGGACCCAAACTCTTCCCAGCGCACATTTTCATAATAGCTTCAAGCAGTGAATTGTTATACAAGCTATACCAAGATGCTTCCCTCATTAACAAGAAGCCCATAATACCCCTTGAAAACGTTCATCCAGAAGTTTTTGAGCAGATTTTAAAGTATATGTACACAGGGAGTTGTGCTGTAACCGAGTTGGGAGCGTGTAGCTTAAAGATAAGGAAGGAAGATATAATTAGTGCTAAGAAAGAAAGGGATGAAGATGCTGTGAATGAAATTATTGGTAAGATCATATATAAATAGAACCCGATTATAAATCAAGGTATGGGTTCATTTATTTTGTATTTCTTATAACTACCTGACTTTTCGGATGCTTTGCAGCAGTTGTGGTTACAAAAAGGTTGGGAGTTTAATTGTCATATTTTGCAATCGAAGCCGTTAAAAGTGTTTTATTTAATATTATGATAGATGTTGTAATTTCTAGAAAACCCTGCAGAAATTTCTGCATTTGAAGTGTACAAGAATCAAGATAAGAAGAAGAATAACAGACGTCGGACGAACAGTAATGACACCAGTGCTAATGCACCAACACAGAGGAATATTTACTGTGATCCAGTAAAAACAGTACAGGCCTCCGCTAAAAGATTGCAAGTTTTGGGCTTGCATAAGCTACTGGATAAATACTAGTAAGTATACACTTTGAACAGATAACTTAAACTTTTCAAACTCAAACTATAGTTTATTAACATACATAATCACCATAGGACATCAATCTGCTGTTAAAATGCATTCAAATAGTCAGGTCGTAAGTACAAAGTTAACTAATATACTTTGCATTGTAAACCGGTAAATGAGTTTTATTTAATAAGTTCTATTAAATTAAATTTAGAGAGCTAAAATTATTATTTTTTTGATACCACAGAAAATACTAATAGTATTTTCTTACTATAAATTTAGTGGCATTATTTAAATGATTTTATATTTATGTTATGACTTTATTTAATCTTGTCCTCTGGCCTATAAATTATAACTGCTCAAACTTGTAAATATAAGGTAATATATAGATATATCTTTGTTACAGTTACAAAAATGGTACAGTGCGCTTGCGCGATAGTGCTGAACACATCAAAAACACCCAAACTTGGGACCGTGAATTATTCTCCGACCTAGTTGATACTAATGTGTGTTCCAAAGATGGCATTCTTATTTCTGCTCATAAATGCATTTTGGCTGCTAGACTCGAGTACTTTTATGGAATGTTTATGCATTCATGGACTGAGGTATGTATTAAAGGTTGAATGATCAGTTTATGGGAACTGTAACCATTTTACCCAATTAAAGTAACGTTGTGCAGCTTTTTAGGTAGGTTAGGGTCTTCTCAAGCTCTAGTATTGTTGCTTAGGCCCCTTGTTTTGGATGCCTGTACCTGGGTATTGTTACCTGTATATACATATAATATAACTACATAATATATCTAAACTTGAATCTTAATTTCAGAGCAAAAAGTTATCAACTGTTACCATTCCAATAAACCATGGTATACTACTCCCCGTTATCAACTTCCTGTACACTGACTTGTGCCCGGAAATAGATCGATCAGACAGTATCGACTTTATTTGCAGCATGCTCATAGTCTCAGACCAACTGTTTATCGGGCGTCTAAGAGAAATGTGTGAAGTTGCTCTTGCCAATTTGGTTACCATGAAAAACTGTGCCGAACTATGCCAATTTGCCCACACATACAATGCTATGCAACTCAAGCAATACTGCATGGAGTATATCTCCCTTAATATAGCTAACATCCTTGAAATCAGAGCATTAGATCATTTGGAGGAGGAATTATTGGAAGACATAAGCAAGTATTACTGCAAATTCAATCCCATAATGTCTTCACGGGTCATAACACCTTTCTCAATTGCGCCAAGTGACGAAACAATTGAAGAATCATTGAAGAACAATCAGATAGATTTAGATTATGTTGACGAAGATTTTATTAAAGATACAAGTATGGTCGAACTTACAAGTAAATCCAACAAGAAGTCAAAGCCTAAGAAAATTGAGTATACAGAGAGTGAGAAAGCTAGAATGAGATATGAATCTGTTAGTTCAGTGAATTCACTAGATCTGAATGAGTCATCTGGTGATATAACTCTATCGCTTAAAGAAATATCAAAAGAGAGCGACAAGTCAGTAGAAGCCACAAAGTGGACACAGGTATTGTCACCTCAGCAGAAAGTGGTTAAGGCTCGCCTTAAAGCTATATCTGCAGCCAAGGACATAATGAATGAACCACCTGCAAACTCTTTCACTAAACTAACAAAGAGTGTAACATCACCAACGGCAGACATACCAAGCACCTCTTGCTCCACCTCACCTAAAGAATCTACTGTAACAGAGCTTGTCAACAGAAATTCTCATTGCAACCTTGTTATTAATCATGTTGGCCCAAAATTATCCCAAAAACAGAGAAAAAAGATGGCCGCTGGAGACTGTTTAGCACCGCAAACACTTGATTCTTATTTAGCTAACAAGTTAACCATTGGGTCTCCACCTGACAAGCCCAAAAACCCTTGGAAAATATGTGAAGCTCCAATTGCTTGTAGCAGCCCAATGAGACCAAAGGCTCTTGAATTTAATCAGATATTGGCAGATCAGAAAAAGCAAAAAGATGACTCCTCAAGAATTATGACAAAATCACTTACATTGACACAGGTACTATATAGTTATACTTTAATAAGAAAATATGTGTAGTAGTGTAAAGTAAACATAATAATATTCTAGATTTTTAAAATACTTATAATGCAGGTCATTAATTGTACATTTAAAATTATTCTGCTTTCAGCTTGAAGATAAAGCTATCGAGGAATTAGAAAGATTCTACAACATCCATGAAATTGACGATGAAAGCATAACAGTTAGACGCATTGAGCTTCAAGTGTCTTCACCACAGTGGATTCACACTGCCCCAAAGTGATATAGACGTGCTATTTTATATTTACTATATTATAATTTAATATTGACTAAATGATATTAATATGAAATATACTATCTTCAACTTATTGTTTATTTATTTCAACCAATCTACAATCCCATGTAAATAAGAAATAACAACATTGATTTTGGAGTAGAGCACTGAATTAAGTAATTAATTTGAATCTAAGTTGTTTCAGAAAATAAAATAAAAAATTAGACTTGACTCACACAGATTAAATATACCAGAAAGAGTAGTTCCTTGATCTGGGCTCGAGCTAATTCCAACTTTGTTGTGCCAAAACATGGCAATTGTGTCGTTACAAAATTTTAATTACATATTTACACTCTTCGGATTAATGTGGTTAATTGTAGGTAAAAAATAAAATACCTGTAATTCCAGAGTAAAAAAAATTGTGTCAAGTGTGTTTAAACCACATGACCTCGATTAGTACTACTAAATTTGGGAAATAAAATATATGAATAAATTAATTTGAAATTAGGTACCCTAAAGGATATATAAGGTACAACGTTAATAAAAACGTATAATAAAACAAGCCTGACAGTAATAAATAACTATTTTTTATTTATTCACAAAATTAACTACTTACATAATAACTACAGTGGGGGATATGTTTTTAAGAGCTGATTCAATTGTTTGTGGGTCAACTTCTTTTCACCAGGAACAAGGATACCTTTTTTTCCCATTTCTCTTTGAACTTTAGCTCGCTGGTTGTATTCGTTATAACAATTTTGGAAGGCAGATACCTCTTTTAAGCACTGTTGTTGATCAAACTCGGATTTTTTAAAGCAAGCAAATAGGACAGCCATCTCTTGCATGCAGGCGGCTTCCTTCGTTTTGTCGCCTTTTCCCGAGACTTCTTTTTTCAACTTCAATGGTAAAAGCATTTGGAATGGCACAGGTTCTCTTTGATACCTCCTTGCATTGGTCCTTCTTGGAGCTAAGATTGGAAAATAAAGTCTCATTTTTACTAGAATTAATTCACTAAGCTGACAAAATTGTAAATTGAGTAATTGTTCCTATTTATTTATGAAATGAAGCAGAGGTTATGTTGGGAGTTAAATTTTAAATGTTTATTATGACAGTTGACAGGTCTTATGTAATATGACATTAATACTTGTCGGTTGATAATATTTATATTCTACGTTCCTTAATTTGCTTAGTTGAGTCTGTAGTAAATCTATTCTTTGGTCGAGAAATACTCCTATCATAAACTCGTGATGGTGAATAAAACCGTTTCCTAATTACTTTTGCTTGCCTAAAACTAAAGTAGAACCACTGTAATTTCTTATAATATCATTTATTTGCATAGGTTAATAAGTACACCTAAGACCTGCCCTCCCCCCAGCACATTGTATGGTAGAAACACATTAACACGTAGATAACGAAAAAATGAGAACTTTTACAATTATAATATAACTCACTTACCGTGAGTTCGCGAAGTATCCTAAAAACAAAGAAATAGTCTCATTGCCGTGTCATTCTCTCTTGCTTATAAAAAAATAAATTCCTACAATTTTGGAAAATTGTACATAGTGCCATCTGTACCTAATGTTGTTAATGTGTGACTGAACATACGACGACGACAAAAAATTATAATTGTTGTATATATTTCGCCTCATAGTTGTTATAACAAAGTTGCAGAAGTGACAACGATACCTTGCAATATTTGGGATTGAATATTGATTAGATTTTATTCAAACTAAATATAGAAGAAATGATTTGAGCTTTATTAAACAAATATAAAAACAGCGCTTATATTAAACAAACTCTTCATTACTGTATTAACATTAAATTAATACTTGATAACATTTTTAGTTGAGTTGTTCAGTGGGGTTAGTGACTTCGGGGGTAAGGGATGGTTTCTCGATGTTAATGTTCTCGGCGTCAACTTCAGGCTCGTTGTCGACGATGATGACTGGGTCTGGCTTAATCTCGGCTTGTTCACCATCATCGATGATGACTGGGGCGGGGTTGATGTCAACCTGTTCAGGGTTGTTGATCTGGTCGACTGAAACTGCGTCAGATTCTGAGTCAACGTTGACTACGACCTGAACAAGGGGACCCTTGAAGTTGAAGGGGTTGAATCCCGCTGGGAAACCTTCTGGCACGAGGGCGGGGTTAGTGTCAATTTCAGCTGGCTCTTCAACAAGTGCTGGTCCAACTACGGCGTTGTCGGGGTTCTCAATGATCGCTGGTCCCATGGAAATATCTTCTGAGGGCTTTTCGATGATGGCGGGTCCCATAGAAATGTCTTCTGAGGGATTTTCAATGATGGCTGGTCCCATAGAAATATCTTCTGAGGGTTTTTCGATGATGGCTGGTCCCATGGAAATGTCTTCTGATGGTTTTTCAATGATAGCGGGCCCGACGGAGACATCGGTTGTTGGTGGCTTGATGTTTAGAGCTTTCAAGAGCATTTGCCAGAAGGCGCTTTCCATGTTAGGGTGGGTGCTTGGGTTGTTGATGGCGTTTATGATGTTTCCAATGTCACCGATGTTGAACCGCTGTTGGGGCGCTGCGGACGCAGCCGCGACGAGAGCGAAGACAATCAAGAATTTCATGTTTTTTTCTGTAGAAAAAGAAAATAGTTTTAATAAAATGTGTATAATAGAGATACTTATAATAGTTAATTATGACTCAACAAGGAATTCACTACTAAAATCTATTCAGTTGTGTAAGTTTGTAAATCCACAGGCTGAACACTAAAACCCAAATGTAGACTCCACTTCACGATTTTGGCCATCTGTGAACGATGATTGTGACTCGTACGATAATATGTTGTATTCCAAACTACGATCGTAACCCTTGATGTATCTAAACTCAGCTTACGTAAACAAATGTCACAAAGTTATAAACTCCTGACCGGTTGGGATTCGAACCCACAACCTATAGCTGACCCTTGTCATACTTTACCACAGAGCACGTCCAAATTATTTAGATAATTACAAGAACTAGTAAATTAAATAATTGATGTCGTATAAAATTACTTACATTAGTTTTCAGCTACGAATACATCGATTGATCCGAAGTCCAGAATATATACAATTTTTTTATCATTACAACATGTATATAATACGGAACTAGGCATTTTCGTATGTTTTTAAGGTTGATTTACAGCGGATTAGGAATATTGGTGTTCATAAATCAGTGATAAAAGCAATAGTTGATATATTTTTCTTGCCCTTTATTACGCGTCTTAAACATTTTAATGGGGCTTTGTGTCTTCTTGGTAAATATTGCTTTATTACTTCTTTGAAAAAATATAAAACTGATAATGCCTAAGAGTAAACAAGTTCAAGCGAAACTTTATTAACTGTCAATGTGGGAAAAGTCCCCTTTAAAGGCTGTAATTACGCTCCCGTTACAGCTTCATACATAAGACAGCACAATAATATTGTAAGTTAGAGAGTTAAGATATTAATAAATCACTTGTAACGGGATAAAACGCGAAACACAGGTCCGTGACCAAGGCTGCTGCATTCGAAACGTCGGGCAATAGTTAAAATAAATTGTAAAGTTAAGCAATATTTTTCTCGTTTAAAACCGTTGAAAGTGTTTTATTTAATTGCGTACCATTCTCACGACTGTAGTTTACAGTATGAAGTTAAGATTTAGGTAAAACTAACTAACTAAACTAGCTAAATAATAACTATAAGACTTTCGCCGCCATTTTGCGGAGTTATTTATGCTATTTTAAGCTGTTGTGTCTTCGTTTATTCGAGTAAAAACTTCCTGATGATGTCCTTTCTTCATTGCAAAACTCGAATTAAAATAAAGAAACATTAAACTTATCTACAACTTACTTGAAATTTATCAGACGCATTTTTGATCTACTGGGATATGTAGACACATAATAAATAAGTCAAAACAATATCTTTTTATTCGATGATATGTTTTAACTACCTACCCATACTCCAGGTATATGAGGTTCAGAATGTCTGTAATCTTTTTTTTTGACATCCGATTTCAATTAAACAAACCTTTATACTGCCATGTATATCTAATCTACTGTTGAAAAGTGCAGTGTTTTAGGAGACAATGCTTACACAGACAGACAGATAGAAATACATTTTCTAGTCACTATTTATATCTTTAAATATTATAATTTAAATGACATGTGATGTACCTACATACTTACTGTAAATGTATATTCATATTTTCCACACAACACTCTCATAAAACCTAATAAATTTCTATTAATCTACTTAGATAAACAAAAACTAGCAAGCACACGTGTCTAATATCTATTGTATCCATAAACATACCAATGATTGCAATAAAATTTAGACTCATATTAAAGACTTGGTGAGTCAGCGACTAAGTACACGTAGGATAATTATTTTGAATATCAATTTTTGTTTTTGCAAAGCCAACTCTATACATTTGAGCTGCTACCCACGACGTTGTCCGCGCCCCATCGTTTTTGCAAGTTATTCTTAAAAGATAGACATATACTTTTTTTAGATCATTTAAAGAGGAATAATTCCTTCATACATATTTTTTGAGTATCTTGGACCGTTTTCGCAGCGTACGCAATGCGACATTTCCCGCTGTTTGTAGCGAATTTTTTAATTTGAACCAGTAGTTCAAACAAACAAGCAGACAAACTCTTCAGCTTTACGTATTAGTATATATATTATCAGTATTTATAGAAAATCCTTGAATAATTTATGGCTTTATGATAAAAGCTTATCAGAGGAGCTATAAATTGAATATCAACACGTAGGCTGGCTTGTCATCACATGGATAAGGTAACTAAAACAGAAGAATCCTCTATAAAAGACGTTACGCCAGCCATTTCACTTGATAACGATCTCCTTATGGTTACCAATGCATTTGCGCTATGAACTTCGGTCACACTAAGCAAGAGAGCAAGCTAGTGATACCTCTAAACCTCTAACTTTCGTGTTTAAACGTTTCCAACCCCATATGCCCAAAAACGCTATGTGTTTAGGAAACACATAGCGTTTTTGGGCACACATAGGTTTGAATACACATTAACGCTTAAACTCGTTATAAACTTTAAAGTAGATGTTTAACTTATTTGCTTTACATAATTAACGGTATGTATGTATATACGCTGACGAGGCAGTTTTATTAAATACTGAAATGTGTCAGTACTTTTTTGGGTTTTCTTAAATTAAAAGATGTAACGAAATGTTAAGGATTTTTTTTAATAAATACAGATTCATTACCAGCTGATTTGTGACTTCACTTACCTATTTTCCTGGTTAACACATATAAGAAGAATATAATTCAAAGTCTACATGCCTTACTAGCTCTACGCTAAACTTTAGCCAAAAAGATTAAAATTTCTTTAGGCATAAAAACATTAGTCAGAACACTTAGTAAAGGTATACAGGCAAGAACTCAGTATTTATTAATGAATCCATTCCAGTTACTCTCGAATGGATTAAGATAATAAAACATGATTTGTTTACAATTAAGTATTAATTATTATGGTACTTATTATTTTTTAAGCCAACGTCACTCTAATCACAAATATTATCTAAAATAATGATAACGCCACCGATCATTTGACACGACTACCGTGCTGATTAATTAAATAAATAAACATTAAAGAAAGTATAACAAACACAAAACATACCTTTATTGTTATTTCGAATCATTATAATTGGTAATTAAACAAAGAATAACATGAAATTCCTTTACTTTAATCACGGTTTTTAGCAAATGACATTTAACTCTTGTAAAACACATATTTAGCATTCTTTAATATTATACTAGCTATGCTAGCCACTATGTCCGCATCAAATACTTATTTCGGCCATTATAATTTTTATTTTTGCAAACAGCTTTTAATAGAATGACATGTACTGTCGTGGACATTTTTTTACATTATCTAATGAAGAATTTTTCAGTTTGAACCAATAGTTTCTGCGATTAGCGCATTCAAACAAACAAACACAACAAAAGAATATCTTCAGCTTTATAATATTAGTATAGATTTTTCCATATTACGCCTTATTTACTTAATCTATAAGTGATGTTAACTCAGAAGGATTCAGTTGAACAATGGAATCGAAAATTTTAATCTCTATCTATTACTTTTTGAGATACAATACAATATATTATTTCTGTACACTAATTTTGTACAGCTGATGCGTTGGTTTATTACTTTAAACGTGCTAATCTCAGGAACTACTGCTTTGGAATGAAAATAAAGATTGTTTTGATCGGAGCATTTATCAAGAAAGGAATTTTGAAAAAAATCGGCAAAAATATTTACGTTTGAGGGCTTCCGTTGACAAAAGTAAGAAATAATTATTCCTCGTTAAATAATAAAAAAAGAGTCCGCGATAGTATAAGTAAGTAAATAGTGAGAACCGTTTTTATCGTAATCAAATTGTGGTCAAAATATTTCATATGGTGAAATAGCGTTTGCCAAGTCAGAGTAAAAACGAAGTAAAAACAAACAAATTACATTAAGTTAATAATTATCACTTTATTTCCAAATGAGAAATAACATTTAGCACTGTGCAGAAGACTTGATATTTTAGGCTTAGTTGAGGTCTTCGGGGAGGTTAGCGATTTCCGGGGTCAGGGATGGGGCTTCCACGTTAATGTTCTCAGCGTCAACTTCGGGTTCGTTGTCAACCACGACGACTGGGTCTGGCTTGATCTCACCATCATCGATGATCACGGGGTCTGGTTTCAGGGCACCCTCTTCTGGGTTGTTGATTTGGTCAACGGTGACATCATCAGAAGCGGAGTCAACGTTCACGACGACCTGGACGAGGGGTCCCTTGAAGTTGAAGGGGTTGGGCTTGACGATAGCGGGGTCGGTGGAGATGTTTTCTTGTTCTTCAACCAGAGCTGGGTTGAGGTCGATGGGGACGGGTTCTTCTATGATAGCGGGGGAGTTGTCGATGGGGACGGGTTCTTCTACGATAGCGGGGGAGTTGTCAATTGGGAGACCACCGAGGAGCTCTTGAAGCATCTGATTGAGGGCGGCGGCGGTAGCTGGGTCGGTGCTGGGGCTGTTGATGGCGTTGATGATTTCCTCGAGCTCAGAGGGGGAAGTCCTTTTAAGGGGAACTGCTGTTGCAGCCGCGACCAAAGCGAGCACGATTAGGAATTTCATTTTGTTGCCTTCTGTAAAAAAATATTAAACAAAGTGATTTGAAAATCTGAGAAATGAACTAAGTACGAAGGCAAACCAGATTTTAATTTAGGATTTAATTTAATTATTTATTTAGATACTTACGTAGTTTTCAGTTGGAACTAATGAGAAATCATTAAGGAATATTGCATTATATACAAAACTTTATCTTACGGTCAATAAAATTGAGACTGATAGCAGATGTGTGTTTTTTTGTGATTTTTTAACTATAAAAATCATTCATTTTCCTCCTTAATTTCTGTCAATATATAAATGACGGTAATAATTTGATTTAAAAAATTTACTTCACTAATTTACTAATATAATTTTATAATATTATGTTACAGTCCCTATAACAGTGGCGTTTGTTGAATGCCCTATTTCATAATAGAATAATTGGTATGGGCCAGTGGTAATATACAACGAAAATAGCACCACATAATAGTGTGTATGTTGTCCGTACAAATAAAGTTGGGTATATGCACTAGAAAATCTAAATGTTATTTATTTGACCTTAACATTAGGACATACGTACCTAATTAGATTATATAATTATTATCTATAAGACACGGGCGGGACTTAAACCTGGTCTTTGGGCGCCTCGCATAAATAATATTTAGTTAAATGTCAGCGTATATACCTTTAATTAATAGAAATTTCAACATTATTAATTAGAACTTCAATTCACGCAAATAATATTCGAAAAAATGCACAACGTTATTATTCTTTATTCCCTGGAGGAATGCACTGATAGACAAAGTCAGGGAAAAAAGTGAAAAAGAATAAGAGAATAAGATGACTCTGGAGACGTTCAAATGTTTCAGGGCTTTTTTGAAAGTACCATATTAGCTTAATGGTTTGTTTTGTTCACAGAGGGCGTACGATTCCCCGCGTCACATCTACAGCGTCTAATATGGGCGTCGTCACTGCTTTAGTAAACAAAAAAGGTGTATCTTCTTCCTACTGAGGGCAATTACCATTTTCATTATTATCGTATAACGCCGATAATTAGCCGCAACATAAATAAAAATTTATCTAAGAATGTCTTAATCAGATTTGTAGATTCAATTCGTCGAAGTGGGGGCACCAAACTTTGCAGGGTCTTCGGAGTGGTATCCCTTGCCAAAGTACTTACTTCCGGTAAGCGAGGTTTACCAGCAGACAGGTCAAAACACCAACCTCTTAAAAGAGAGACTCAAGACTTTGTCTTTTCAAATTTTCATTAGTTTTAATTATATTTTTACATTATTAGTACTGTATAAGTATGTTTTTAAATTATTGTAAACAATGAGTTGTATATTATATGCGATGTTTATGACTAAAGTTGGTATTAGTTAAGTTTAGTATAATGCGTGTTGTGTCTCAAGAACCGCGTTCAAACGTTACGCCCAGTGAATGTTTTAGAAGTTACTTTCTCGGTGTTATTTTTGTTTTTTATAGGTACATATTTTCTTTTAGGATGTGCATTTTATTATTCTTATATTATATTATTCTAGTCCAGGGTCTTTGTTCTATCTTCATCCTTTTCAAAGTCGCATTCTGGTACTGGTAGTAACTACATGCCTAACAAAACGTTATCGATAACAGTTGATAAAAGTAAGCTCCCTTTGCGATAATATAATTGATATATTTATAGGGTGGGTTTATAATTTGTTTACAACGGCTTTAAAACTGCTTAAGATAATAACTTTCAAGGTCTATAAATTCACAAATGCGAATTAGCGTAATCTTAAAACGCTTTGATGTTACCGATCAACTGCTGATGAAACTAGTTAATAATTTTAATACATATTACAAAGTAGAGGATGGGTTTGTCAAAAGGTTACGTAACTTGATTCATGTGATTGTGTTGTCGAGAGCGAAACGTTCTAACCACTATATTATGAATAAAAAATACGCCTAGAATTGTATTGTATGCAGAGTAATTTCGTAGATTTTGCGTAGCAACAATTTTGTATTTAATAAAACAATTCAACGGTTTAAAACGCCATTTATATTAGTTAAACTTATTTAAAAAATACTGTAACTACGGCCCAACGTTTCGGATAATAAATATAGTTAATAAGTTTAGCTAATATAAATCAAATATATAACTTTATTCAAATGTGTACTACTCGCGTAAACTACAGAAAGCATTTAATCATTTCGTAATGCCAAGCTTAATCATAGCAGGAATCCAAACATAAAGCAGTTTTACCATATAGGCACCGTAATACACTTTGAGGGTATTAGAAAGGAGGCTCCAGCGCCCTGGGCGGTTCCTGGCTACAGGGCCCGATTTATCCCGTTCTTTGGGTGGTACTCAAAATGCGGTACAACCTAACGCCGCTACAGACATTAAAAACAATTGAGACTTGATTAATATACACCCTATATTCCTAAAAATAATTCATACATTGCAGTTTTTAATAAAAATGTTGACCAGTACACAAACATTACAATACATTATTATTGATTATGATTTATACTACACGTTAAATAAGGAAGTGTCTTTCAGTAGTATCGGAAGTCAAGTACTAGGTGACATTACATACTATCTCAGTTACAAATACAATCTGTAGAATACAATTATCAGTCTAAATCGACTAAGTACTTTTGTTTTTAAAGCATATATACTGACTTATGTCATTGATAGGTTTAAACTACATTTTCTTCACCTGTACCTGTGTGTCACTAGATTTTTCATGGCGAGTCGATATTGCAATTTGATTTGATATCGACCTTATTGGCAGACGAATAAACACAAAAGAGTTCACTAATCGCTTAATATGACTTCTTGTAAAGATATGAGCGTAGGAAATATTTTGACACACAAAGCTTTGTAAACAGCCTTGTATAGTCAAAATACAAGAGATCTGAGGTAATAATAAATTAGACAAATGCCTTGTTTCCACGGGTTTACAACTCTGGATACTAACTGCACAACGGTGGCGGTCCATGCGACAAAATAATTAAGTATATCATAGTAATAATGCGTTGTTGACCTATTCGATATTGAACATCAGGTTATTCGTACAGACACGAAAATATTTATTCGAATTCCACTACTTTGAAAGTTTATTGTATCATTTAGTTTGTTTTTCTCGATACTAAGATTATGGCCTTCATAGATTCGAGTTAGTTAAAATCGCATTTTAAAACGTTAAAGTGTTTTATTAACAAATGAACAAGGCGATATTGTCTTTAGTTTACACTACAGACAATATTTCTTTGTTAAACTCAAATGCGGGTCCAGAGTGCAAAGCTCCAGTTGAAGACCCAACTGTATGTGTAATAATCTGGTTTGACAGTTTCTCCTACAAGAAATGAGACCATTACACAAATAAATAATTGATATCAATCAACAAGATATTATATGGACGCCGCGCTTGGCTGTGCTCGTCAATCATTAAAAAAAACTTTAGGCAAACAAGCCAATATTTGCAGGTAACAATGCTACGTCACTTACCTAAATCCATCATAAATTAAAAATAGATAAATGTTACAATTAATTAGACAGGGATGAATATATTATGACGGCTGTCAATGTTGTAATATGCTGTTATCCATTTCGATTCAAAATTTGTCGCAATTTTCAAATATATTTCCTTATTGTAAAAGATTAAAGCTCATAATCGCTTATTGCCCGTTTTACACCGATGAGATGCAAATTTCGGACAATCTTGATAAGCGATAAGTTGTTAGTATATAATAACACAGTATTAGTGGGAATCATTATAGTTAATCACACAGTGGCAAGATATACAGGTAATGCGAAAAGTTATCCTTTGCAAGATAATCTTTTTTTATTGATAATAAAGCATACAAAACTTATTTATTGAGCTGTATTTTTTTTTATATTACAACTCTGAATAAATAACACATTTTATTTTTTAAAACGCAATTCGCATTACAGATATGAAGTTCCTAATAATTGCTGCTCTTGTTGCCGTTGCGGCTGCACGCCCATCAGCCGACGGTCTCCTGACTCCTGAATCTGCAGGACCCGTTGTTATTGAAGAAGTTAACAAGGATCCCGCCCTAGTAGACGAAACCGAGAACATTAACACCAACCCAGCTCTAGTTGACGAAACCGAGAACATCAACACCAACCCAGCTCTAGTTGACGAAACCGAGAACATCAACACAGACCCCGCCCTAGTTGATGAAACCGAGAACATCAACACTGACCCAGCTCTAGTTGACGAGACCGAAAACATCAACACAGACCCCGCCCTAGTTGATGAAACCGAGAACATCAACACTGACCCAGCTCTAGTTGACGAGACCGAGAACATCAACACAGACCCCGCCCTAGTTGATGAAACCGAGAACATCAACACTGACCCAGCTCTAGTTGACGAGACCGAGAACATCAACACCGACCCCGCCCTAGTTGATGAAACCGAGAACATCAACACCGACCCCGCCCTAGTTGATGAAACCGAGAACATCAACACCGACCCCGCTCTAGTTGATGAAACTGAGAACATCAACACCGACCCCGCCCTAGTTGATGAAACCGAAAACATCAACATTGACCCCGCCATCGTCCCAGAAGAGATTGACACCAACCCCGCCATCGTCCCAGAAGAAATTGACAGCGACCCTGCCATCGTCCCAGAAGAGATTGACACCAACCCCGCCCTCGTACCAGAAAACATTGACACTAACCCAGCCGTCGTCCCTCCAGCCGCCGCTGGTTCCCCTCTCGTTCAAGTTATTGTGAACATCAAGTCATCCAAGCCAGCCAGCAAACCCCAACCCATTGAGAACAACCCCGCCATTGTACCAGAGGAGAACCCAGCTTCAGTGCCAGAGGACATTGACATTACCCCAGCTTTAGTGCCAGAAGAAATCAACGTCAACAAGCCCGACATCAAGCCCGAGATCAAACCTCAACCCGCTGACATCAGCAAGCCCACCCTCCCCAGCGATCCAGCTTCGGACCTCTCTGATGACCTTAACTAAAAACACAATTGTGAGATCTTAGCAACTTTGTTATCTTACCACTTCATGAATTTTTATAAAATAAATCTTGAACTTTAAAAACAGTTTATTTCATTATTACAAATAGCTATAGGCCATCAGAAGAAACTAAGAGTCACAGTTGCAAAGAAATCGAACCCAAATCCCTACTTAAGATCTTATTCGGATACATATTGTGTAAAAGCCGATATTTATTAACCATAATAATTTTATTTCATTGTTTTATGACAATTAGTTAAAAAGACGTCTACGTGACTGATAATAATATCTAAACACAACAAGTCTCGCCCGTTTATTTGTTTTATTAAGAGAATATTGTTAAAAATGTTAACGCATTATGAAATTATATCAGAACTTCTCTCGAAGGTAAAGGTATGCTTTTTAAGTAAAGTAATTTAAAATAAATACTACAGAGAGTTTATGTTTGATTATTTCCAAAAATCTTTAATCCCCAAGACACAATAAAACTGTAGACCTTTTGGAGTGCAAAATAATCGGTCATTAAAGGTTGCTGCCTGAAAAAAACGACGAAAGCGCGCAGCGGAACATTTAAAAATAATATAGATCGAATCTGATCATCAATGTTAATTAATTTAACAAAAATCCAATTAGTCAAATCAAATCAATTCATCAGATCAGAATCAGAAAAAAAATGAATTCATTCACGAAATAGCTTTGCGAAGTGATATCTAATAGTCCATATAAATTCTTATATTTTAGATATTAAAGCTATTTCTGAAGCTTGAAGTGCTTTGCAAGAATCAATATCTAACTATTCCGTGAAATACATTTTATATTTATTTTGTGAGCACTACGCAATAAGATTTTTAACTGTATACAGTAAAGCCAAAATTGTCATTACTAATGCCATTGATATTATATTATATTTATAGTAGTCCGTGGGCACCCTTTTGGCTGAGATGCGCTCTTGTACAACTCTACGGCAGAAATCACATTTTTCTTACCTATAAGACAAATGGCAGTAGGTGTACTGAATATATATATAATGAATTCCTAGAAGTAGTTGATTCGTTTTCACGTCGTATTATTTACGAATGTTTAACAATAACACTACTTGGAATTGTTTTAAAGTTGGGTTTTGGGAACAGCAGATCTTCTCCGATAATTCTCAATTTCAATAGAAGTTATTTTAGAACTCTGCTAATTTTATCTATGGCTCCCTTCACCCATGCTAGGTAGGCGGGCTGACGTTGGACTGCGTCCGGTTCCTAGTATGCTACAAGGGAATACTCAACTTGTTCTTACATAGGAATTTCTTGACTTGATGCAATTCCTCATTCAATAGGGTAGCAACACAGAGCTGACTCCGACAGAACAAAGTCGGCTGGGGTGGTGATGTGAGTCACAGTTCAAGTCTATGTGTGTAAGTTGTTTGCTTTAGAGACAGTGTATACTTTACCTATTTTATCATGTCGTGGATGGCTTTAACGATTTGTAATTTTTGTATCATTGCCATAATAACTTGAATACTCGGCTTCTATTTTTTTCGTATAAAAAACATTTGTCTTTTTTGTTTTTTCAATAAACTTGCACAATCACGAACGCTTTCGATTTCATTTCGTTTTATGCTAATCCCAACACAGCATCTCGAAGGACCAGGTATTTGAAATTACCTCAAGAATAGAGTCTATAAAAATTTCGTCAGTTCAATTCTAATTCACTTTGCTTTGGCTTTGATTTTCAGGTTTAATTTAACTAGCGGACAAAATTAAAGATAATTCCGGGATGAATGGTAATTATTATGAGAGCATTTGAAGGTAACATCATTGTAGTTATTTGTTAAATATTGCCAATAATATTACGAACTACTTACGAAAGTTTGTTTTTGTTTGAACGCGCTAATATCAGAAACTACGGGTTAGAATTGAAAAATCTTTTTGTGTGGTTAGAACATTTATCGAGGAAGGCTATTGGCTATATAACGTCACACTGTGACTAAAAGAAGAGAAATTACAGCCAGAAATGAGAACAAAATGGGGGACATTTTCATCTCTGTGGGTTTTAGATGCGTACGCTGCGAAAACGGTTCAAGACACCCAAAAATGTGTATGAAGGAATGATTTTAAAAAACTGGCCGTGACATTATATGTTTATCTTTTAAGATTAACTCCCAAGAACGACGGGACCCGAACGACGAGAAACCGACGAGAGACCGATGTCGTGGCAGCTTAAATTTATAAAGATGTTTGATTTGGAAAAACAAATTTGGATGCCCAAAATAATTATTCTACATGGACGAAGTCATCGGCTAGCCTATTACGTGGACTGTAATTTATTCATTATTGTCTTCTTTTAAATGTAGAATAAAATTAAATGACAATGGCGATGTGTCTTCGTAAGGCGCTAAGTTCTTCTGGGTACAATGACAGTTAGTAGACTACATAATGTGCATACATTCATATTGACAATGCATCTTGTCATCATATGGCTGGGGTATTTAATCTACCGTCAGGTGAACCCTATATTTGTCCGTCCTCTTCAGTCATAAAAAAAACTTTCGGCAAACGGGCTTATATGGGCAGATAGAAAGCACAATGTCATGTCACTTACTTAATCCCTCTAATTACACTTTGAATTATGAAAAGATAAATGTTACGATTAATTTTAAATACATTAATTGGCTACGGATATATTAGGATGACTGTCAATATTTTAATAATAATCTAATATGCTGTAATCCACTAGGATTCAAAATTTGACGCAATTTTCAAATGTATCTTCTTATTGTATAATATTAAAGTTCATAATTGCTTAGAGTCCCTTTTACATCGATGAGATGCAAATTTCGGGTAATCTTGGTAAGTGATAAGTTGTTAGTATATAATAACACAGTATTGGGGAGAATCTTTATAGTTAATCACACAGTGACAAGTTATACAGGTAATGCGAAAAGTTATCCTTTGCAAGATAATCTTTTTTTATTAATAATAAAGCATAGAAAAAGAATTAATTAAGCTTATTTTACAACACTTTATTTTTTAAAACCCAATTCGCATTCCAGATATGAAGTTCCTAATTATCGCTGCCCTTGTCGCCATAGCGGCTGCCCGCCCATCAACCGGCGGTCTCCTGACTCCTGAATCTGCAGGACCTGTTGTTATTGAGGAAGGAATTAACAAGGAACCCTCCCTAGTCGATGACACTGAGAACATCAACACCAACCCAGCTCTAGTTGACGAAACCGAAAACATTAATACCAACCCAGCCCTAATTGACGAGACCGAGAACATCAACACCAACCCCGCTCTAGTTGATGAATCTGAAAACATCAACACCGACCCCGCTCTAGTTGACGAGACCGAGAACATCAACACCAACCCCGCCCTAGTTGATGAAACCGAGAACATTAACACTGACCCCGCCCTAATTGATGAATCTGAGAACATCAATACCGACCCCGCTCTAGTTGACGAGACCGAGAATATCAACACCGACCCCGCTCTAGTTGACGAGACCGAGAACATCAACACCGACCCCGCCCTAGTTGATGAAACCGAGAACATCAACACCGACCCCGCCCTAGTTGATGAAACCGAGAACATCAACACCGACCCCGCCCTAGTTGATGAAACCGAGAACATCAACACCGACCCCGCCCTAGTTGATGAAACCGAGAACATCAACACCGACCCCGCCATCGTCCCAGAAGAGATTGACACCAACCCCGCTATCGTCCCAGAAGAAATTGACAGCGACCCCGCCATCGTCCCAGAAGAGATTGACACCAACCCCGCCCTCGTCCCAGAAAACATTGACACTAACCCAGCCGTCGTCCCTCCAGCTGCCGCTGGTTCCCCTCTTGTTCAAGTTATTGTGAACATCAAGTCATCCAAGCCAGCCAGCGAAACCCGTTGAAGACAATGCCGCCATTGCGCCAGATGAGAGCCCAGCTTCAGTGCCAGAAGAAATCAACCTCAACAAGCCCGAGATCAAACCTTTAATTTTTATAAAATAAATTTTTAACATTAAAAACAGTCTATTTCATTATTACCAACGACTAGAGGCCATAAGAAGACAGTAAGAGTCACGGTTACAAATATCTCGAGCCCAAATCCCTAGCTAAAATCTATAATGTATAAACACTCTGATATTAATAAGCCACAACAATATTATTATAATTATTTTATAGCATATTTTTCAAAACGCCTACATCTTTATTCTATATATAAAAAGTAATTGCCGTTCGTTAGTCTCGCCAAAACTCGAGACCAGTTGAACGGATTTATCTTGGTCTTGAAATGTTCGTGGAGGTCTAAGGAAAGTTTAAAAGGCGAGAAAAATTGGAATAAATGCCGGGGAAACCACAAAACAGCCCTTTTCTATACTTATTTGCTTACTCAAAGTGCATCCAAAACTAAAGAGCCTTTTTCTATTTTTGGAATTTATTACTGCTACATAAAGATTCGCGTTTAATCTCATTAATAGTTGGTTGTCAAATCTAATGACAAAAGTTATGATTGCGTTGGGAAATTTAAAATTCATCATTAATCAGACAGATTAAATTAAAAAACACTTTTCATGCTTTATTAAAAAAATGTTTTGTTTTTATTTATTTTAGATTCATTTTATACAAAAGTTTAAGTCGATTATTTAGAAGAATTATTTATCGATGAGGCAATGCGAAGTCTACCGGGTCAGCTAGTGACTGATAAGAATATCTCATACATATAATACTATAAGAAGGTTATTAATAGTTAAATATAAATAGAAATATAATACATCAATTAGATTTTAATTTCTCTCTTGCAGTCCTGCACAAACATTATGAAATTACATTAAAACTTCTTTCGAAGATTAAGGTAGGTATTATAAGTAAAGTAATTTAAAATAAATACTACAGACTTCTATAGATTTTATCGTTATTATTCTCAAAATGTTTAATCTGTTAAAAGAAATTAATAAATACGCAGAATGAAACCGTAGACAACACTTTTTGGCGCTCACACTAACTCTGTTATTACAAGGTTGCCGCTTGAAAAATATGTGATAGAAGATAATTTAGAAGTGGAAAAACATCATCTGATCCATAATGAATTTAAATACTGTCTATAGTTTACGCGAGTAGTACACATTTAAATAAAACACTTTAACGGTTTAAAACGCGATATATTAGTTAAACTTATTTGAAAATGATTTTTAACTTCGGCCCGACGTTTCGGATGCTTTGCAGCAGCCGTGGTCACGGGGAGACTAAAGATGGAGGATGTCTCAGACGTCAAAGTAAAGAATTGCTACGCTAGCGCCATCTGTTCCGTCGAAGTTGGTATTTGGCGAAACTGGCCGGGTCCTTACAGAATTGACTAACGGTGTCTTCGCGTTTGCTGGTATGCTGTTTATTGGGATCCAGAGTTTTTAATATGGGATCCCAGGTGTTTGATAGTTTGAGGCCGTCCTCCCTATTGAAATTTCGGTGTTTTTTGATTTCAATTGCTTCGCGTACCAATCTTGGAAAAAATCGACTCTCCTTTGCGAGGATTTTTGGTTGGTCAAAGCGAATGTAGTGATTGGGCCCTTCTGATGAGTGTTGGCATACCGCAGATTTGGAGAGACGTTTATGTTTTATATCCGCGACGTGTTCTTTAATTCTGTTTGAGATGCTACGCTTTGTTTGGCCGATGTAGGATAGGCCACAATCACAATCCAGTCTGTAAACGCCTGCATCTTGTAAAGGGATAGTACACTTGCTTGGTTTCAGGAATTGCTGAATCTTCTTGTGCGGCTTGAAAATTGTGTCAATAGAAGCTCGATTTAGGACTCTGCTAATTCTATCTGTAACTCCCTTCACATATGGTAGGTAGGCGGGCTGACGTTTGACTGTGGGTGGCTTGTTCCTGTTCCTGGGATGCTGCGGAGGGACTCTCAGCTTGTTCTTGCATAGGACCTGCTTGACATGCTGTAACTCCTCATTTAAGTGGGCAGCATCACAGAGACGGCGGGCTCTCTGAAACAAAGATACTCCGACAGAACTAAGTTGGCTGGGGTGGTGATGTGAGTCACCGTTCAAATACCTATCTGTATGGGTTGTTTTTCTAAAGACGGTATGCCCAATATTACCGTGTTCATCACGAATTACTAAAATGTCTAAGAAAGGTAGTGTGTTATTGTCCTTAGACATTTTAGTAATTCGTGATGAACACGGTAATATTGGGCATACCGTCTTTAGAAAAACAACCCATACAGATAGGTATTTGAACGGTGACTCACATCACCACCCCAGCCAACTTAGTTCTGTCGGAGTATCTTTGTTTCAGAGAGCCCGCCGTCTCTGTGATGCTGCCCACTTAAATGAGGAGTTACAGCATGTCAAGCAGGTCCTATGCAAGAACAAGCTGAGAGTCCCTCCGCAGCATCCCAGGAACAGGAACAAGCCACCCACAGTCAAACGTCAGCCCGCCTACCTACCATATGTGAAGGGAGTTACAGATAGAATTAGCAGAGTCCTAAATCGAGCTTCTATTGACACAATTTTCAAGCCGCACAAGAAGATTCAGCAATTCCTGAAACCAAGCAAGTGTACTATCCCTTTACAAGATGCAGGCGTTTACAGACTGGATTGTGATTGTGGCCTATCCTACATCGGCCAAACAAAGCGTAGCATCTCAAACAGAATTAAAGAACACGTCGCGGATATAAAACATAAACGTCTCTCCAAATCTGCGGTATGCCAACACTCATCAGAAGGGCCCAATCACTACATTCGCTTTGACCAACCAAAAATCCTCGCAAAGGAGAGTCGATTTTTTCCAAGATTGGTACGCGAAGCAATTGAAATCAAAAAACACCGAAATTTCAATAGGGAGGACGGCCTCAAACTATCAAACACCTGGGATCCCATATTAAAAACTCTGGATCCCAATAAACAGCATACCAGCAAACGCGAAGACACCGTTAGTCAATTCTGTAAGGACCCGGCCAGTTTCGCCAAATACCAACTTCGACGGAACAGATGGCGCTAGCGTAGCAATTCTTTACTTTGACGTCTGAGACATCCTCCATCTTTAGTCTCCCCGTGACCACGGCTGCTGCAAAGCATCCGAAACGTCGGGCCGAAGTTAAAAATCATTTTCAAATAAGTTTAACTAATATATCGCGTTTTAAACCGTTAAAGTGTTTTATTTAAACATAATGAATTTACCAAAAAACAAAGAGCACTAGGTGTGACTTTATTTACAAAATGCCTGATATTCCTAATATAAGGCATTTAGACATTGAAGAGACACATTCGTAAGAATGAAATTCTGTTAAAAACGCTTACCTAGTGCTCCTATAAGACAAGAAATATTGCAAACAACTTTTGCAGGAAATACATTTCATATTTATTTATTTTATGTGATGTACATGAGTATGATTTCAAACTAGTAAAAAATATATATTTGACTAAGTTGGCTGGTGAGTTACCGTTCCTGTCTCTTTGAGTTGTTTGCTCTAAAGACAGTGTAACTATATTACCAATTTCACTAATTAGTTTTCTGGTTTAAATGAACAAACGGGCAAATTTAAAGATAATTCAAGTATGGATTGTTAATGAAAATTATTATGAGAGCATTTTAGGTCATAAGACACGTCATTGTTTAATATTGTCGATTATATTACTACTTACTACTACGTAACATACTATGTAAATATATTATTGAATTTAATTGAACTTATTGTTCTTTATTCACTTATAGTGTATTTTGTAGTTTAACAATGTGGACTGTAATGATTTATTATTATGCTTAAATGTAGGGCATTTATGAAAACAGTCGCTGTCTTTTTCATGGGCGACCTTCGTATGGGTACAGTAAAATTTAAGTGAACTATATATATCTAAAATAAAATTATTATAAAAAAATATCTATCTTTGGCATAAAGAAATTAAAATACCTGTACCACTAACTAAAATTATATAAAAGCGAGCAAAATTTGGAAGAGTCTACCTCGTCTACTAAGGAAATGCACGGTTGAAAGTACTTTTAAAAAAAGTATCGCGATATATTAATGAAATTCCAAATTAGCTCGACTAAGTACGTATGACTTTAATAAAAAACCATTGATAATAATATCTTTTACTCTCTTTAGTTTTCTGCTGCCACTAATATATGTCAAAATTAAAATCTTTTAAGTTCGTTACAACTTTTCCACAATATTTACGTGCTTTGGTACTACTTGTTACCTGATAGGGACAGACTGAAAATCAGCGCTTAGCAAGCCTTGCCGAGCACATGCTGAGTCTTGATGCCTATTAGCACAAAGTTAAAATTGTACTTTTTTGTATTATTTTAATTGTAAGGTTTCTTTTTAATTACTTATTTTAGGTGTAAATTATGTACTTTGTGATAATAAACGGATTATTTATTTATTTTATTCAAACATTTAAGAAAGAGTAAAGAAGAAAGTAAAATCAAACAAGATGGTATGAAAAACTCAAATCAGATTGCTTCTAGTTGTAATCAATAAAAATTGTAACAATTAAATTCAAGACATTTTTATTTATAAAAAATGCTACTTAGACTTAAATTTCACCAAAGCCTTAGTTGAGGTTGTCAGTGAGGTCCAAAGCTGGGTCGCTGGGGAGAGTGGGTTTGCTGATGTCAGCGGGCTGAGGTTTGATCTCGGGCTTGATGTCGGGCTTGTTGACGTTGATTTCTTCTGGCACTAAAGCTGGGGTAATGTCAATGTCCTCTGGCACTGAAGCTGGGGTCTCCTCTGGCACAATGGCGGGGTTGTTGTCAATGGGTTGGGGTTTGCTGGCTGGCTTGGATGACTTGATGTTCACAATAACTTGAACGAGAGCGGAACCGGCAGCAGGTGGAGGGACAACTGCGGGGTCCACGATGTTTTCTGGGACGAGGGCGGGGTTGGTGTCAATTTCTTCGGGAACGACGGCTGGGTTGGTGTCAATTTCTTCTGGGACGATGGCTGGGTTGGTGTCAATTTCTTCTGGGACGATGGCGGGGTCAATATTGATGTTTTCATTACCGTCAATAATGGCGGGTCCAAAATCGATTTCAGGGGTGAGGGCACCCAGGATTTCCTTCAATTGCGCTTGGAGAAGAGCTGCAGTGGCCGGGTCAGTGTGTGGGCTGTTGATGGCAGCAAGGATGGCTTCGACTTGAGCAGAATCGTTGTTGATGGGTTTGTTATTAACTGCTGCGGCTACAGCAACGAGCGCCAGGAATGCAACGAAGTACTTCATATTTGCCTGAAATTACATGAATTGGAAATATGTAAAAAACCAAAAAAAATATTCAAAAATGGACAAAATTCGATGAAATTTTGTTTGTGAATATGTTTTTATCGGTTCAAAAAGATAATTAATCCCATCGTATTTCTTTCATATCGTGTTTTAAACCGTTAGATCTGTTTTATATAAATTGGTGCTTAGTGATGTCTGTTACACTACTAATTAGCGAAAAAAGTAATAAATGTAAAAAGGCTAAATTGTTCTAACCAACAGACTGAGAGCTGATGTATATGTAAGATGGCAATAATATACGATACCGAAGGTATGAAATACTTATTTAGGAACGGATGTTATACTTACAATTTTGATTCAAACAATACAAAAAGAACTCATAAACAATGGTTTTTATACAAAATTGTCGTATACAGGGAAAATAAATTCATAAAACCATAAAGCAATATATGAATAATATGATAAATCTTTCGATAAAAGGGCTTTAGGCTTATCTTTTCCTGAACGCTCTATTGCCACTGCTGAGCCATCTAACCTAATTGGTAAGGCCAAGATAATGTAAAGCAAGGGCTGGGTTCAGATTATAGAAGAAAATAACCTATAGCATAGAATTTTAATAACCTAACTTTAAAATGAACGGACACAGAAAAGTGTCTACCTTACCTTTACCATGCTGAAAGCACAGGAAAAACGAGATAAGCAGATTCGTGGTTTTTGAAGTTAACAAAAAAAATTAGTTATCGTAAACAGTTATTTCATATTCGTCACATTACAATATTTACAAAATACGAAAAATATTATATGGCTAAAAATACAATTTTTTCTAATCTAAACTTCACATCAGAGCATTTTTAATAGAGATTTGTTAGTTAGAATCGGTGAGTTATCCTAGATTCAAATGGTTTGGGGATTGAGTCTAGATGGCTTTGTCTTCTAGTCGCAGGACAATTTAATCGTTTGAACGAGTATAAATCTATACTAATATATAAAGCTGATGAGTTTGTTTGTTTGAACGCGCTAATCTCAGGAACTACGAGTTCGAATTAATTAATCTTTTGTATTGGTTAGATTATTAATCGATGAATGCTATAGGCGATATAACATTGCGCTGAGACTAATAGAAGCGAAGATACAGCAGGAAATGTGAACAAAACGGGGGATATTTTTTTTATCTCTGTGGGTTTCCGATGCGTACGCTTCGAAAACGGTTCAAGGTAACTAAGAAATGCATGTGTATGAAAGTATTATTCCTCTTTAAATCATTAAAAAAAAACAGTCCGCGAAGCTATATGTTTATCTTAAGATTAAATTAAGAACTAACAGCTAACAGTGTGGCTAACAGCTTAAGTTTATAAAGATGACGGGGTTTGTAAAACCTAATTTGGATGCCAAAAATAACGATTCTCGCGGACGAACTCGCTGGCACAGCTAGTATAATATGTAATAGAGAAGTGTGAATCAATTAAAAATTTGATCGATCCTCTTGTATGATAGCGGAGGCCAGACAAGCCCGGGATTCACTTGATAGAAGGTGAAATAGTCATGTAACATCTAAACAAGACGCGCTATCAACCTTCGGTATTCGGAAAACAGATTGGAACCGAAGCGCGAACTGGGCACTTTTTCATCTGTGGTTTGTCACCCGGATAAAATTTCGATATTCCTTCCATACATTCAATATCCAGATTGCCAGACGAAGGCTCATGTTTCAGATAAGTTATAATTGATTAGAGACATCATGGACCCGGTGGGGATCGAAGACACAACCGGTTGATTAGTCATAGATCGCTACATTTAAACTAATAAGGAACTAATAAGCAAGTAAGTCTTTTTGTGTACACATACAACATTTCTTGTAGTGTTGAAATATTCTGTGTGAGTAAATACAATTCAAAATATTTAGTATTTAATCGATATTTCAGATATGCTCACGTTCGATGTGTTTTATCTTTACATAACATAAATCATAATTAATTTATAGTGGTATTGTTTTGATAATCCTTACTAATATTATAAATGCGAAAGTAACTCTGTCTGTATGTCTGTTACTCTTTCACGCTAAAACTACTAAACGGATTTGAATTAAATTTGGTACACAGACGCTCTAGACCCTGAGAAAGAACATAGGCTAGACTTTTTATTGCGAAAAGGGGGTTAGAAGGGTGGGGGGGTAAAAGTTTGTCTGGTTATTCGTGGTTTTTGAAACTATAACAATGAAACTTTCTTCATTGACTTTTTAGGAATAGGAGTGGGAGTGGGAGTTAGAATAGGAGTGTAGTGAGGTGAGAGTGCTGCGGCAAAGTAGCACTTACAACATAGATTGGCCGCCTTAAATGCGTCCTTACATAAATTAATAAACAGCCTAAAAATTAAACATTCTACCCCAAGTCACTATTCTACGCGAACGAAGTCGCGGGCACAGCTAATAATAAATAAAGGCAAATTCAGTATGAATATTTCATTTAATAAAACAACTTTAACTGTTTAGAAGCCGACATTTATTCGTTTAATTTATTTTCAAATAAACCCGTCGCGTTTGATGGTTTATTAGAATGTTAATTATTAAAACATAATCTGTGGTTATGGGGATATGATAATTATTCTGGGTAGAAGCAAGTTAGGATCAAATCCCTAACCTGAACTTAACAAGATGCGCTGATCTATGCTGGATATTTGGAAGTCCACAGACAAACAGAAACACGATTAAACTTCACGGCTTTATCATCTGCGGACGTTCGTAGCCAGGACTCAATTTTTGATGTCCATGCGAAGTCAAATGTATTTAAAAAGTTTGTAAATTGGTTAGAAACACGATGGACCCGCTGGGCGTCGAACCTAAGACTCATACATTGCGACTATTAGACCGAAGAGCCAACTCAAAACGGATCTTTCAAACATAATCCCTGGATTAAGTAGATATTTGTTCTAAGTAGTCGATATAGATTAGCAAAACATTCTGATAAGAATGCTTTATTACGAAAATCCGGTACCATATTTTCTAAATTCTGATTATGTGATAGCTATGTTTTTAGTTTTTATTGTCTTATAGAGAGGTAAGCAAAGAACTCGTCACCATGATTGTTTAGTAAAATAAAAAAAAATACGGCCTTTTAAATTTAGTGACTAGGTATTCATTAAATTTAATAGACCATAGTAAGTTATTTGTTTGTTTATCTATTTGTTCTCGGTTCAAACATTAAGTGGTGGCGACTCGGAGGATGCATAAGCGGGAGTGGTCCAAAGTTCGAATCAAGAGTATATTTAAGGAAAAGTTTCATACATTTACAACATTGTTCTGTCTGTCTATATTTTTTATTTATTTTACACAATTTTGTGGGTCAGTAATTGTGATAAAATGTCGACAGTCTTTAATCGAATAAAAACAAATATAAATTTATATCGATCAGTCAATGCAGTTGCGTTTGTTCCACACTTTCTTTGGCACTTTAAAATGTAAACCGGTAGATTCAGTATTGTGTGTGAGTTTACTGGTGTAAACCTTAACTTTAAATGGTTTTAAATGTGAAATATATTAGTTATACTAGGCGCTAGATGGCGCTAGCATACCTGATTTGACATTTATGTTAGGGCCACCGTCCATTTTCAGTCTCCCGTGGTCACGGCTGCCGCTTGCAAAGCAACGCAACATCGGGTCGAATTTAAAATAAGTAGTAGATTTCGTAATTAGATTGAAACCTACCTGTTGTAGGTTTTTTATTTCGGTATGCTTTGGAAAGTTTTCGTAAGAATAACTTTGTATTACCATTGTTTAGTCTATACTTTACTAGATTTTTAGTTTAGACCTTACTTTTTTAGGTTATATTTCTCTTAAATATATATATATAGTGGTCGCCAAAATATTTGGTTTTAATAACGTTACTAAGCAGTTAAATCGATAAGTACTTGGGCGCCTCTTATCAGCTCCTTAAGTTCTTATCAGGACAAAGATCTTCAATCTTGCCCTTATCTCTAGGCCCATCATTCGATTTTAGGAAAAGCAGATGATTATAAAACAGTCATCGTAATCGTAAATAAATGCCTTGAGGTATTCATGTTTAATGTCTGCTAAATAAGAAAGTAATAATATTGGGAGAAATGCAAAGAAACATATTTAAAAAAAACATATTTTTCCGCATCTAAAATGTTGCTAGTGAAGAATTGTCGTATACATTAAAGTAAAGTTAAAATAAATTGTTAATTAGTTTAATTTCGCGTTTTAAACGGTTAGTAAGTAGTTAGAAGTAAATAAATGTCTTCTATTCTATAAGTGTTTTATTTAAATATGTACTACTCGCCTAAATTACAAAACGACTTAGCGGTGTAAAATGCGAAATATCGTAACCACGCCTGCAGAGCATTCGATAAATAATAATAAAATATAAGGTAACTAGTATATTTTGCGTTTCAAATCGTCAAGATGTTTAGTTAAGTGTTGTAAGTATATACATAACACAGGTATTTATGACACGAGCTCTATAGCGTAGTAGCTGTGTCGTTCCCCCAAAATAGTTATTTTGGGCAATACAATTAGTTTTTGTAAACCTCCTTTTCAACTCTGTAAATGTAAGCCACGACGTCGTCCGCTTCCCGTCGTTCTTGCAAGTCAACCTCAAAAGATAGGCATACAGTATCACGGACATGTTTTTAGTTCATGTAAAGACCCACAATGATGACGACTTGTGCCCGCTTTTTTTCACATTTTCCACTGTTTTCCATTAGTCACAGCGTGATGTTTTATAATTTTTAAATTCGAACCAGTCGTTTCTGAGATAAGCGCGTTCAAACACACAAACTCTTTAGCTTTATGTATTAGTAGAGATCGATAAAGCTCATATATTCTCTTTAGTCTATGTTATGACGTTTAAAGCATGGTTATGTAAATACATGGATAATAAACCGGAAGGTCGAAGATCTGATCCCACCATTCTAAACAGATAATGTTAAAATAGTCCTGACAAAGATGCAAGTAAAATCTTCTATTTTTATCCCCATGCGAGATTCTAATCCACGACAGTTAAGTATGTACCATGATATTAGGGATGGGCAGAGTAGAGTTTTAACCGAATGTTGACAGCTTGAACCGAACTACGGTTAAACCGTTCAGATTAACTTCAATGTAATACAACAGCGTATATTTGGAAGATATTGACGGGGTCGTTGGTATATGGGGTATGGTATGGTCAATGTATGGATAAAAATCAACGGGTCGCGGGTTTGATCCCCACCGGGTCCAACATGTTAATCAATTTAAAAAAATTCTGAGACATGTTGGCCTTCGTCTGGAAATCTCGATGTTAACTAACTCTCGATATGAACCAACGTTCACGAAAAAAAACGTGAAATTTGATCGCGTTTCGGTTTCTTGTTTACCTACATTTAATATGGCTGGGGTGTTTCGCTTATGATTAACCGAAGGCAATCCTAAATAGAAAAAGGAATATTTTCTGTAATTTACGCGAGTGAAATAAATAAAACAAACATGACGGCTTTAAACGCAATATATTTTAGTCAATCCGTGCCCACCCTTGCAAAGTATCCGAAACTTCGGACAATAAAAAAGATGAAATAGTAGATTTCACGTTTTAAAATGTTTTGTGTAACAAATTACTACACGGGCAGGACTTGAACCGACGTCCACGGCGTTCCGTGGTCTTTACGATGATTTTATTTATTTAATCATAAATAACTCTCTTTGACGTCCCGAGAGGTCGCACCTCTGCTCGCGCGTTTTCGCCGATACCACGAATTTTAACCTCACTCAACGCTCTCCTCAAGTTAAGACCCAAATGTGACCTTTTCCCAGATCAATGGTCCTCAATAGGTACTCAATTTTGTCCTAATGTAATTGATGCATACTCTATTTTTAAATGTAATTCTATTGTGTATTTCTATCCAATTAATGTAAGTGGCTATCGCCGTTTTAATTGTTTTACATAAATAAATAAATAAATCAAAATTACAAAGTCATAACAGGTGGGTGCCCAATTCAACACTGAACTAGAAAACTAACATAGAAATATACAATTCAATTAAACTATGTCTTATAACTATTAACTAATATTAAATATTACTTTACTATTAGTATTTATTAATTAGCTTCTTATTTCATTATCCATATGAAATCATACTAAATAATCACTTCACGAGCTCACTCCATGCATCATAGAAAATGTTTTTTGCCTATGACTACTATTACTACCTCTATTGCTTTCGTCCAGGAAGTTTTTCCTTACAAATTCGTTTTAGCAAAAGGTGCTTTTATAAGACTAGGGCGATGCCCTTATGTATGTACTGATCAGGTACTAAGAGACTAATTCTTTCCAGCATTTGCATATTGGTTTCTTTTCCCCGCAATAGCCTTGTAACATACGCTGCGACAGACAATTCCCTTCTCACTCTACCTCTCATCGTCTCTTCGCTATTATTAATACGTTAAGGATCGGTCCAAAAAGTATGTTAATTATTGTGTTACCTATAACTAGAATAATTGAAAAATTATACAGTTACTGTATTAATTTTATGGCAACTTACGGACTGTGTTCTTCTTTATATTGAAGCGTTAAAACCTAAATTGTTATCTTATTCAAATTATTTTTCTTTATTTCCTTAATAAGATATATAAAACGAGCTTAAGAATTATTATTGGGTATTGTTAAAGAGCTATTATTTAATTCTCAGTATCTATTAACTTAAACGGTTTAAATGATGTGTAAAGCGCTAGAGTTCCTGGCTTTGAAACCCGGGGAAAATATTTTCGGGTATGTCATATGATCGCTACTAGCTAAATGTATAAGGTGTTGCCTAGCATTCAGTGCGAGAGGTGCTGCGGTCGAATCAGGCGGAAACAATAGATTGTTTCGGTCGGGCAGGGCACACAACTTAGACCAACTACTTGCCTGCAATAAAAACCCCACGCCGCACAGAGGGAAACGGGATTTCGGTGGGTGATCTGCGTGGACCAACATCCTGGCTCAATGGTGAATGTTCCCCTATAGTAAAAGCAAGCCACGTTATATATTCTAAAAAGTATTATATGATAGAACCCCATCTACAGCCTATGTTGCCATAAAAACCCAATGAACTTGCACGTGTGGAAAGATGAATTTGGCGATTAGATCATTCATATCATCCCAGTGTAGATTGATCACCCGGCCTTGAAATTTTAGTGTCCTCAAAAGAAAACTTAATATGGAGGTCACGCACTGTAAGCATATCTTGTACCACAAAACTAAAACGCAAAGAAAATATATCGAATCGATTTTATATTCTCACTACACAAGTACTTCTACCATCCTCATTTTTATTGTTATGCAAATTATTTATTGTATGCAGATTTGTAAATCGCTTCGATCGCATTATTATGTAATGTGTCTACTGACACTTCCCTTTTATTATAAGTAAAAGCTATATTAAACTACCAATGACTCAGTTACTCAGTGTAAGTTACATTTGAAAGTCTACACTATTATTATAAAGCTAAACGGTTACTTTGTCTGTCTTTAAATGCGCGATTCTCAGAAGCTACTGGTTCTAATTGAAAATTATTTTTGTGTTTATAGATCTAAAAAAATTCGCCATGGGTATTTGTTAAGATTTCAACAAAATACCACAAGAACAACTTTATGGTAGTCAAATTTGGACAAAATTAACGAATTATTACCAATTATTTGATATATAAAATAATAGTGACAACTAATAATCAAACAAAAATAATTATTTACGGTAATACATAAAATCGTTTAGTCCATAAACGAAGTTATGTTTCATAATTGTCACGATTTTTTTGCGCCCTACATTAAAATTATTATAGAGCAAAATATCTACTTAATACTATGAAATTATTTTCCTAAGGTTATGCTATTATGTATTTATTTAGCTATTTTATTAGTCAAGTATCAACACAATGAATACAAAGCTAAGTAAAAAACAGGAGTTGTAATACTAGAAAATAAATTATATTATTGATACGGTCCTGGTCCAGCAATGCTGTTCAAAACTTGTTTAAGATCTAAGCAACAAAGGAGAGGTAAAAAATAACAAGCATTGTGTTGGAATAATTTAATTTGTTTAACAGTAAATATAATATTAATCGAACAACATAATAATATCATATTATAAAATAATGTTTATATATCATAATTGCCATTTTATTCAATACACAGTTGAATGTATTAATAATCATAATACTTTATTACAACGTTATAAACATATAACGTAATTGTTATACAAAATCCAGTCTCATTATAAATTGAAATCTTTCCAATCACCAAAATATGTTAACGTACATTTAAGAGAACAAAATTCATACTGTAGACAAAGTCATATGGTAATAATTAAAAAAAAACCCACCAAACAAAGAGGGAATAACAGTTTGTACCCAATAAAATAAATCAGACATAAATATACCCATGATCTCGCAAATAAATTATACTAAACCACATAAATCAATCTAAACTACATACAAGATAATTAACTGTTCAAATGTTGCATTTCTTATCTATAGCTTCCTGTCATATGTGCGTCGTCTTTGGTCATCTATTTTATTGAGGTAGTATGTACCGGGGAATAAAGTGTCAATTGGTCCGGAGGGCTCATAGGGAGCTGTGTGGTAATTTTCTGTCCTAACCTGCATCAAGTCTGAAAAGATTTGAGGCTCCACCTTCTTTCTTTTTTCTAATAACGACACACAATCATGGAGAGAGCTTATTAATTTAGATAACTTCGACCCGGCACTCATATCATTGCAAATGTTGATAGAATACATTGTTGATGCTAAACCAGAGCCATATGAAAACAAAGCAAATTTCTTCCCAATCAGCTGCTCTGGTGATTTGCTTATAAGGTATGATACTAGGCCACCATAAAGTGATGGTGTATACATGTTACCAACATTTCTAGCTAAATGCAACGATGGCTTTGTCTTTGACTCAAATAAATCTTTGCTGTATGTCATAAATGCCTTTTCAACATCTCTATCAAAATATGTGTTTTCTCTCTTATGGTCATTAAACTGGGACAAACCAGGGAATTTTTTCTCCCTTTCAGTGATTGGTGTATTAAGGAAATCATTGAAACTCACTCTTGCCAGTGACTTTTGAACCAACTTACAGTACGGTGAGTGGAACAGCATACCATCTAAACTTAATAAGCCCTTAAAATTAGGATCATCAGTTCTCATTTTTTTACAGAACAAGTTATAGCAATTGTCTAAAGCACTGAGGTAGCATTGAATTGACAGCTTTCCATCTACATAAGGGAACTCGGATGCAAGGTCAGGTTTGTAGAAGTCATACGCATGGCACATATATGAAGCTCGAACTCCACAATCAAATACTAGGGGTGCATCAGGGGCAATGAGCATGGCAACAGCACCAGCCCCGCCTGTCGGTCTTGCAGGACCTTTCCCATACACGGCAATATCACCAGCAACAACAATAGCCTTTCTGCCATCCCACGATGAAGATTCCACCCAATTTATAGCATTAAATAAAGCTGCAGTGCCACCGTAGCAAGCATTAGTGGTGTCTATGCCCTCAATATCTGTGGCACCTTCTTTGGCAAATAGTGTCATAAGAAATGACTTCACACTTTTACTTTTGTCAATAATAGTTTCTGTACCGACCTCTAAGCGTCCTATATCGTGGAGATTAATGTTGTTCCTTTCAATTAACCGATGAAGAGCCGTGAGGCATATGGAGTTGATGTCTTCTCTGTCGGTACAGAATGCCATTTTGCTCTGACCGAGTCCAATAGTATATTTTCCGGCGGCGACATCGTCAAATTTCTCCAGGTCCACTTGGTCGACATACTGCGACGGGAAATATATCTCCATGGCGTGGATCCCCACATTCTCAACTTTACCTTTGCCCATTGCGATAAGGTTAAGTGATAAACCCGAGCGTCTTGTGACAAATTCTTCTCGGAAAATAACTGTTACTCGCGTCGCGGACTACTAACGATTGCCGCGTCTTGAATCAGACTCGCGATCGGTAACTCGTTTAACGACGTCAGACCGATCCACTGTACAGCGGCAACCGGCATGCGATCTTCATACCATTGACCTACTGCGGAACCGCTAACCTAACTTTCTTTTATGTAGTCTTACGCGACTGACCGATAACGACAATTACGTGGCGTAAACCTGTCTTATTCTTTTAGTTAATACTTCAGTAGGTGAATAAATAAATCTTGCTGTGAAAAAGTTAACTATTTACTTTCATAAACTTATACTATTCATGACCTGTCAGTTCAACGTTGAATTTGACGTCGCATGACAGTGAACTCCGAATTACCAAACGCAGCGAAGACATTGACATAATAGTACCTACTTTAATTTTTACACTAGGTAAGCAATTTTTGTAATTTTTAATTAAATTTTTGCTACGTGTTTAACCTTCCGTGAAGTGTTAAAATCTGTAGCCATTGTTTAAAGAATATTTAAAATTTTACTGCAATTGAGGAGCTGTAATAAAATTTTAATATTAATTCGTAGAAAAATATTATAGCTCTATTTTATTTCTGTAAAGACAGGAACTAGGCGTATGTCGAGTCACGCATTTTATAGCTATCGTACACAAATTCCTATAACGTACGACTCATTTACTTTCACTTTGCCTAGTAACGGTCATCTTTTTAAGGTCACTGTCGTTTCATGTCTTTACATACCACGGACTATTTAACCTGTTTTTTATTTAGCTACTTGCTTCTATAGATATTTGGGGATGTTAAGAAGCGACTACTAGCTGTAAATGTGTATTGCTTATAAAAGAAACAATATATTTCGAAAATTATAAAAAGTTTAATTAATTACATCACATTTTAAACAATTCTTAAGTAACTTAACTTATTGCCTATTAATAACTCCAGTAATTTTTACTTCATTAGATTGCATCGGTGTAAACTTATAGAACTTGACACCTGTAAAAAAACATTATATAATGTAGTATAATCCCGTTTTCCCTGTATGGTAGGCCAGTCACACCTATGTGTTATCTAAATTTATTCTGCGCAATAAATTTATTTTGCTAACCTGAAGGATTAATGCGTGATTCAAATTTTCCAGCCTCTGCACTAAAGGTACGAGATTCCTCTTGATCAAATAACTCCTGTGAAGTAATAATATACATATTTATGAAAATGTAGATATAAATTGCGTAAATAGTTTATATTTCATAAAACGCTGTAAGAATATACAGATGTACTCCAAAAATCTACGTAATTTTTTTAAAACTTATTTTAGTACGTATGTACAATTTATTTAACTACAATCCAGAAATTTCAGATCCTTTGGAGAAGCCGTGGTCCCCTCTCCCCGTGTCAACGCGTTTATTTTATTATTTATTTTTTTATCCAGATTGTAGAATGAATTAAAGGTTTCTGTTATTAATTATCTGTATATTATTTACTCACTTCTACTAGGTAGTTCTGTGCTGGTATTTTAATGTTATCAAACGTTACTGCTACTGTATAGGGTGCACCATCGTCGCGTCTACTGACGAATGCAACAGCATAACCATTCGATACTTCTCTAGTCCAAATCTAGGAAAAAATAAGAAACAATCTAACAAGCAAGAACTTATTATTTAACTAGAAAACTGTTTTATAGAAAATCATGTGATACGTTGTATCAAGAGGAAACTAAAGCAATAAAAAATGAAATAAGGAAAATCATAGTATTTTTTACACTGAATCTTTTAAAAGATTTCTTTGAAAGATGCTAAAGTTAAAACAGTTTGTACCTACGTAAACTGCCAATGTAAAAATTAGAATCTACAATTACATTTGTAACAGCGACATCTGTTGAATAAAATTTACAATGTTTGTTATTTTGAAACTGCTTTGAAAATTTGGATAAGAGAGGCAACGCTGTCAGGTATGGTGGGTAAAATAAAATCCCGTGTAGCATTATCTGCGTCTCTTTCACAAGGAAAGTAATTGATCAGACTTCTATGCCCTGCCGGATCGAAACAATCTATTGTTTGTCCTTGATTCGAACCCAGGTTCTCTCGCGCTTAACACAATGCTAGTACGTTTAACCATTCGGCTACAACGGCGTTCAGATGTCTCGATTAAAAAAGGTGTCTTGTGTCTGTTTCATTATATTGATATTAACACTTAAAAGAATTGTCCGTCCATTTCTTACCTCACATTTGGACTTATTCCATACACGCACACCTTGTTTACCCAACTCATCTTGATCGATCTCTATCACTCTAGAATTTAGTAAGATATCTTTGAATTCATCTCGTATGGTATCAAGATCTACGCTCATCATCAAAGGTGCCGCCATAATAGACCACACTGCCATCTGGACTTTGGCTTGATCCACAGATAAGCCGAAATTACCAATTAATAACTGAAAAGTGAGTTAAACGTTTATTACTAACTTTAGACCTATCGTGCTTCTATTCGTACTATCTATACTAATATATAAAGCTGAAGAGTTTATTTGTTTGTTTGAACGCGCGTATTTTGTGTTGGTTAAAACAGCTTTAGACTATAAAACTTCACGCAGCGACCAAAATGAACGAAGAAACACTGGGTAATGTGGAAAAAACGGCGAAAACGACATGTATGAAATAATGTAATATATTTCGTTTTTAAATAATCTAACATAATGTCCGCGACAATATATGTCTTTTAAGATTACCTTGCTAGAAAGACGGGACGCTGACGACGTCGTGGATTACAGATATAATTTATGAAGATAAGGAGGAGGTTTGTAAAAACAAATTTTGATGCCCAAAATAACCAGTTTGAGCAGACAATGTCGCGGGCACAGCCAATATAATATAAATTAATCTTGTTCTAGTTCTTTGCAAGAGCGATAAGATATTTCCTTGTTTTCATCTGGACATGGTGTAATACCTAGTAATACCAGTAATACTAAGTGAATACTACTAGCGCAACAATAAGATAATAGGAATACTAATAATATTATTAATGTTTTCAGAAAAATCATATAGAAAAAAATTACTAAACTAACTATGTAATATCAAATAGGAGACAAACCATGTCAGGATCGTTCCAATGTCCAGGACCTGCGTATTTGACAAGTTCAGGTCGTTCGGCGAACCAATCCATGATGCTGGTAAGTGATGCCCAGGAATCTTGAATGTCATCGGTGTTTCGCCATAAATTACAATACTCCATGATAGATTTGTAATCGGGCTAGAAAAACGCTAAATTAAATACTGTCACTGTGTACGCGAGTAGTACACATTAAAAAAAAACACTTTAACGGTGTAAAACGCGATATATATTAGTTAAAATTATAAGATAATTATTTTAATTATGGCCCGACGCTTCGAATGCGCCCCATTACGGAAACATCGGACCGTAGCTAATAATAAGTTTAACCAAATCGCGTTTTAAACCGTTACAGTGTTTTATTTCAAAACGCGTAATAAAAAATCGACGGTAACGTGTAGGACACCGTAGCTCAATTGGTTAGAGCAACAGCGCGGAATGCTGTGGGTGCCGGGTCAAGTCCTGACCGTGTCGTAAATTCTTTCAATTTCTAATTTACATAATTATAAAAAAATAAACTGTCATTACGACGCATTACTCGCGCTTGTAAGTTTAGTTTTTGTTCCTTTTACTAAACTTAAAAAAATAGAAAACTCGATTAAAATAACAATGTAACAACTTTTCTGTTTAACTCCTGGTGGTAATTTATGAACACAAAGCCTGGTTTTCGATACCCCAGGATGTGGGTCTATTTACTATCCCATTAGATTAGTAAATAGTCTAGATCAGTTGTATTAATGACCATAAATGAAAGTGTAAAAATAATGGATATATCAGATTATCGGAACATTTGCTAAAGTCATTGATACATCGGTGTAATGGTAGCAACGTATGGTTTATAATCAACGGGTCGATCCCCACCGGGTCCAAAGTTTATAATTTTTCCAAGACACGTTGGACATCGTCTGGAAATGTGGAATATTAAATGTGGTAGGACTATCGAAACTGCGTTCGGTTAACGAACCACCGTTCACAGATGAAAAAGATGGCAAGGTTTCTGTGGATTTCCGAATATCCAAAGCCAAAATAGGTCGACCGCGCATCTTGTTTAGATGTTATATGGCTGGGGTATTTCACCTCCCATCAATGAATCCCATGCTTGCTTGTCCTACCCTATCATAAAAAAAAACAAACGGTAAGTAACTTACCTCGTCCTGATAAGCGGGCCAACTACAGGAATAGACCATCGGTCGGCCACTCTCATTCATTACTTTACCGAATTCAGGATAACCTAAAAAGGTGTTTTAATATATAACTAAGCTACCCTTAACAAATAAGAACGCGAAATATATAAGTTACTTTATTTAAATGACGACACATCCCCCCTTCTAATTTAAATAAAACACTATAACGGTTTAAAACGCGATATATTAGTTAAACTTATTTGCCAATGCAGCAGCCGTGGTCGCGGGGAGAGCCCTTCACCGTGACAACGGCTTCTACAAAGCACCCCGAGTTAAAATAAATCTAACTAATATATTTCGCGTTTTAAACCGTTAAAGTGTTTTATTTAAATGGCGACGCATCGTTTCGAGTTTTAACAGCAGCGGTAGTCAAGGTGGGTGCGTATTTCGCGTTCTTAACCGTTAAATTTTTTATTACTGAATGTAATAAAATTTTAATTCATTAAGTTTTTTTTTGCGAATAATCTAAAAAAAGGAAATATTATCTTATTAAGAATATGGATAGACTAAGTCTCGCTAAAGTTCCTAAGACCAATTGATTTACATTCATAATAATAAAATACTTTTTTAATCCTTGAGTAATATTTAAGATTACCTAGCTATTTAAATTTTAAATCATTATCTCTAAATGAGACGATAAAGATATCTCTTGTCTGAATCGGGACGAAAAATTCTCACGTATCTCCACAACTTAACTCGATGATTATTTTTAATTTTTGAGTCGTATCATCCAAAATTTGCAATACATTTATAGGTCATAGGTCTCATGGTGAGTGCTCCTATCTGTAGCGAGGTCCCGGGTTCGAATCTTGGAACGGGGAAAGTTTTAAAGCAGTATTTAAATATGTTAGTGTCAGCCAAGAGTTTGTCAGCCATCCCCATACCTTTACTCAGCACTGGTACATCATTGCGTTAAAACGAAGTCTTACCTGTATCCATTTTGGACAGTTCCACATTACATCCATCTAATTTGATGTAGTCTACCCCCCAGCTGACAAACGACTCCACATCGGTCTTTTCGTGCCCAAGTACACCAGGGTAGCCCGCGCAGGTCGCATTTCCATAGTCTTGGTATAGGAAGAACTTTAAACCCTTCGAGTGAAGCTGTAATTTTGTAATACATAAGATATACACAAGCGGCGTGTATTGACTACTCTACGAAGTACGCTTTAATTTCAATTTATAATTAGTAAAAGCCCGTTTTCGTTACGTGGAACAACGAATTTACTCAATACTCAATCCCAACTTAACGAATCAATTATTTGAAAGCGTTAAGTCAAGATTCAAATACAAATGTTCTGATATATAACGCATTTTAATTCAACCCTGGTGGGACAAAGAACAGCATATGTGGGACTAGTTAGCGGATTCAAATATTGCTTGTGCGCGATTTGTTTTTGTTTTCGGCAAGCACGTTTGCAGTTTTAATACATTTTGGATTAGATAAGAATCTTAAGGTAAACTATAATGGTTTTTTATAACGTAGTATAAATACCTCGCCATCAGTTGTTTGTTCAATCAATTTAATAGATTTTCCTCTTAAATAAATTGCATACAGTCTTGTGTAACGTGAAACAAAAGAATGGAATCAATTACGACATTTCTTTATAAACAATTAATATTCACGAGTTATTAAAAATAATATCTTTAATTATCTGTAATAAAAATTTGCTTAACATGCGAATATTAAATTTAATTACAGGCTAGATACGATGTTATCTGTATTACATCATACAGACATACCTAATAATATGCTACGAAATAGGGACTGGGGGTGTGCTAGGTATTTTTGGCTTTTGTTAGGTGCAATGCTGATACTAAATACAATCAAAATACCTTCCTCTTGAATCGCTCTATGTATTAAAAAAAACGCGTCAAGTTCGTTGCTTAGTTTCAAAGGACAGAAAGAGCGACTTTATACTATGTAGTGACGATTGTTAAAATAATAAATATAATTCAACGTTATTTCAATAACGTCTCTAAAATCTATTTTATTTTTTTTATTTTGAATTTAGAATAAAATGTATATCCACTCAAGTGCCCAAGTAGAAATTACTAAGGGTGAATTTAAATGTAGGTTATAATTAGTATTAATCTTATCTTAGACGGAGAGGACCCGTAATAGCCTACCGACAAAACAATCTTACGTAATCTCCGATCCCCTTCATGCCATTAGGGAAGCGTGTCCCATCAGGAACCAGTCTGCCGTTCTTGTCACGATTTCGTTCCATCCAACAATCATCTATGCCAACGTAATCATAGCCTGCGGCCAAGTACCCTTCGCTTACCATCTTATCCGCAGTTCTATGTATTAGTGCTTCGCTGTAATCAACATTCTAATATGTTATAATCGCCTGGTAGTTTTGTACCCCCTTCTAGTTCCCACAGAATGCAAAACAAGTAGTAAATTGATATAGTAATAATTTTGATAGCGCAAATGGTCCATTTCAAGAACTAGTTGACTCTGATTGTTTGTCTCGTCTGTGAAAATTTAGACAAAGCGAGCACTAACAGTAACAGAAATACAAACAAACAAAAAATTTACAACTAGTAATGTCAAAATTTTAAATTTTACTTATTTTGCCATTGTTGTAGTAATAATAAAAAATATTTAAATAAAACACCCAGAGACTAGACCACCGTTCCCAAGCATGTTTCGAATTCTGGGCATAGTTAAAGACTAGACATATTATAAATACGGTTTAAACCGTAATAATTGTTTTATTTATAAACAATAGTAATATGTACTTATTTATTTATTAAGCAAACATCACTATGTTTCATTACTAAATAAATAATATAATAATCACATATTCTTATGAAATGAATACACAATCTATGTATATAAAGTTTTAATGAATTATAACTTCCTAAATATGTCATAAATTAATGATTTATGATAGTTATGTTAATGAGTTGCATTTCAATGATTTCCTCATCAGAAATGGAATCTTACAAAACAAGATTAACACTGTATTGTCCTGTTCAGAGATTGAAAACAATTTTTAGCGCCTTGATAAATTATGAAAGCAAAGTTTATGTATTTAAGTTTTTCTATTATTAAATTGACTTTCAATTACATATAAAAAAATAAATAATAAATGTACATGAAGATTTTAAAATAATATATTTAAAACCCAACTACAGAAAAGAAATGGATGCAATATAGAAGATATATCTAGTAATTTTATGTTTAGCTGTCCAGAATAACAAAATATAATTAAAAAAATAATAGATACTATGAGCAAGTAATCCGTTACATCACGCGTTACGGGCCTTTTTAGGCACCTCAAGACAGACATCAAAACTTCTATAATACTGGGTATATTTAAACATAAACAAAATTAAGTATTAAACTAATTATGTACTGTCTGTGTGTAGTTTACGCGAGTAGTAGACATTAAAATAAAACACTTTTAACGCTTCAAAACGCGAAATGTATTACAAGTACGTATTTACAAATTATTTTAATATCACCACATATTGTCTAGCTGTTGCAAAACATCCGAAACGTCAGGACGTAGTTACAATAATTTGTAAATAGGCTTAACTAATACACTTTTCGTTTCAACCCGTTCAAAGTGTAGTAAAACTTATTATTAAAGTTTAATTATGGGTAAGGTTAAATTATAAGTCACAGATAATAAACACATCTATAAAACAAAGTGGACAACCTTATCAGTTATTGATAAAGACAAATCAAACCTACCTAATGCACTCGTCGGGGTATTTCTTGCAGTCGGTGATACATCTGAATCGTTGCCATGTCAACCAGCCCATGGGCGGGGTCATGGCCAGTCCATTGTCTAGCCCCGAAATCGAACCGATCGTGGCACATAAAAACACGAGGACATACATCTGCACAGAGGTTAGAACACGAATAAATTAACGGTCAATCGATTCGACCGATCAAATGTATGTACTATTTTGGTCTTGTGATGTATTATTGTCTGACATACGTCAGTAATACGACGGATTCAACTCGAATATGATATTAATTGCTTTTGATATAATTTGTGGTTTCAAGATTAAGCTATTGGTTCATTGACCTTTTTCTTCTTAATCTTTACAAATGACCCGATGAAGACGAGAGTGAAATAAATCATTTTTAAAAATCATTGTCACAGTTTACTTATATATTTTGAGGTTTAAACTGTAAATTATGTTTTAATGACAGCTCTAAATGACTTAACTTTTTATATATGTATTTGTTTATCTTTTTATATTATCTTTACTATCATACTTAGGGACTGTAGTTGAATAGATCTTTTGTTGACACAGACTTTATAGATCTGTATCATAATCTATAAAGCCTCTAAACGTTGGTTCGTAGTAATTTAATTAAACAATATTTTACGTTTTAAACCGTTCAAAGTTTAAAACTTAGTTTTACAATCATTTGTATTCAAGTGATCACTTCTTTTCAAGTGACTTTAAATGTTGTTGCTTAAATTTGTTTCTTTATTTAAGATTTTATTATTATCATAGAATTTTAATTATAAGAAACAGATTTAATATTCCAAATATTTCACCATTCACTATGTTTTTCTATGAAAGTTACCAACAAGAGAACAGTGTAAGCGCACTGTATTTTTAAATCGAACTTTAGAGGTCAAAATACGAAGTTATTTTAATCCGAACGGGTACAATTATGTTATGGATACACGGGCCATAATATTATGGTCTCTATTAAGTAATACCTTGTTTTTAAACTTGGCACTTTAAAGTTTTGAAAATGAATCTTATCTATATAACAAACGATTACAAAGAAATTTAAATGAGTTTTATACGTCTCTATTTATAACTGTTTTAAACGCGACATAATCAAAAAAAAATTCTTTAATCTATGTTTTGAAGTTGGCTTCTAAGTTAAAAGAAATATATCGCGTTTAAAACAGTTAAAAGTTTCTTATTTAAATTGTACTACATCCGTAAACAACACATCCGATAATTCATAGCTTCATTAATCTACCTAGCTATAAAACAAAGGTCTATATATGAAAGGCATGGCAAATGCTTAAAATCGATCGCTTTAACGTCACCCACCATCAAGAGAACCTAAGGCTTGTCTGTCGTCCTCTATTATTAAAAAAAATCTAATACATTTTAAGTAAGTAAGTATTAATATCTTTCGAAATCTGAATGTATCGTACATATTTGTATCTTATAATGATTACCTACAATAAAAATACACGTATATGTACTTGTACACAAATAAATTCATTAAACAAAGCAAGATTACAAATTCAGTTACTAAAAAATAACTAAGAAAGATCGAATGTCTATAGTTTACGCGAGTAGTACACATTTAAATAAAACACTTTAACGGTTTAAAACGCGATATATTAGTTAAACTTATTTAAAAATGATTTTCAAAGCATCCGAAACGTCGGGCCGAAGTTAAAAATCATTTTTAAATAAGTTTAACTAATATATCGCGTTTTAAACCGTTAAAGTGTTTTATTTAAATAAGAAAGATCTATCAAACTACATGTAACAAAACATCAAAACCTGGTAGATAAAATTGAAAATGGGACAAAGTGCAATCAAAAATGCTTTGATATCTGTCGTAAGACTTTATAGACAACCCACACATAACCCTAATACTTGTAAGCTTCCTACGCCTACTATTTCATTACGTTACATTTCATCATATGAAAAACTTATTTATCTTATGCAATACAACAAAGTGTTGAATCATAATGGTATCAGTTATCTTCAAAGGATGAACTTTTTTATTCAGTTATCCTCCTTGCATTTTCCTTATATTTTGTAAATTTATGCAACAGGATATATCAGGCTGCATATGATGTTAATACTGTCTGATCGAGATCTGACATGTCTTTTCTTTTCGAAGTTATGGTTATTTAAGTTATCGAAAGAAAACACTCTTCAGAACAGCCGAGGACAGAAGCATGACTAGGCAAGTGAAGCCCTGGGAGGGAAGGTGAAATTTCCTAACTATATGTACAAGTCTACACAATATATCTACGTTCAGACGTAATATTCCAGTAATAATATATAAGTTGTAATTTAAACAACAGAATATTAGAATATAATTCTTTTAATTACACCTTGGTTTTTTCTACCGAAGTTTTATTAACTCTTTATTTCAAACTACCTTCTATCTTAAATTAACCTTCGTTCCTACTTTTAAAAGTACAATAGGTAAACTGTTAATGTGTACTTACCTTTTAAAACGACACTTCAAAGACAGCTACTGTGCGTACGATGTTGCAATATTTATGTGTTTAGAAATGCGATAACACGAGAATGTTTTAGGAACGCAGCATGTTTTTAGTTATCTCTGAGTGCCTATTAAAGAGCTAAATAGAGTAAACGTTAAATAATTTTATATAGGGGCTCTCACTTAACAAAAACTTGAAGCAAAATCATCATGTTGCAGGCAAAAAGAACCTCGTTGATTTGACCGGTACTTTAAACTGAAAATAAGTACGTAAGAATAACACTAGGACACTTAAGTGTAAAATGTTATGCTCTAGTTAACAGATGGCATTGATATTACTTGTTACGTAAACGTAGGTATTCAATTATTTCGGCCAAATTTTTGTCTACTTTTTGCCTTTTTAAGTTATTTTGTTTAACAATTATTATCTGTGTAACGTTTCTCATGATTCCACATTACTGTCAACTGTCATTTTTTCCTATTGTCTATACGCCAGTGGTACACATCAAATGAAACACTTTGAACGGTTTAATATGAAATAGAATAGTTAATTTTATTAAATAATTAGTTCTTAAAATAAAATTAATCGTTTGAGATGCTGTACGTTGCTCGGTGGGTACTTTTGCTAAATAGATAGATTCTAAATATTTTTTTTATTTAAATAGATAATAAATATATTTACAGGTCTATCTCCTAAATTTTTTTAAATAAAATTTTCAAGCCTCAAGCCAGGCATGTCGGGTAAATAAGGTATGATTTGGTATGAATTTGGCAACGGCCCTTCACAGTTTGAACTCTTGGTCTCTTATTAAGGTAAACGCAAATAAGTTAGTTTTTAAAAACTGTCTATAGCTTACGCGAGTAGTACACAATTAAATAAAATACTTTAACGGTTTAAAACGCGATATATTAGTTAAACGTATTTCAAAATTATTTTTAACTTCGGCCCGACATTTCGGATGCTTTCAGCAGCCTAGCCAGTTCGCATAGTTACACATTTGAGTCTCCTTAAATCTAAATACTGAACTTGAACGGTTCAAATCGCGATATAAAAAATAAAAATTGTTTAACTAGGCCCGCTGTTTCGGATGCTTTGACCCCGTGACCACGGCTGCTGCAAAGCATCCAAAACGTCGGGCCGAAATTAAAAATCATTTTCAAAAAAAAGTTTAACTAATATATCGCGTTTTAAACTGTTAAAGTGTTTTATTTAAAAAAGTTAGTTATTCATCAATTTCGTAGCCTCGCGAAATCTTCTAAAACCGGCGAGGATGAACTAACTAGCCCTATAAAAGCAGTTACAACCATCGATCAAGTAGAATTATGATCATGCATGACACCAATAGCCGAAGTCACAATACCACGCTAGTTTGAAGTAAATCGCTCTACTACGCATAATCACGAGCTCTCTTTCTGTCCATTGTTCTAATGGCTTATGGCCAGGCCATTGAACCTTAGATATATCTCTGGAGGTAGCTAGTAACTACCTAAGCATGTAATAAAAATTTAGGGTTTTTTCTACCGCTTTTATCTATCTAGCAGATAGATACAATGAGAAAACAAATGAAAAAAAATTCAGCCGTTCAAAGCCCAAACTATCTGACGTTTATAAAATGCATATTATTATAATATAAACAAAACATTTTAACGGTTTGAAACGCGATATAGTCTCCCCGTGACCACGGCTGCTGCAAAGCGTGCCGTGGTCGGGCAGTAGTTAAAATAAGTTTAAGTTATATAAATCGCGTTATAAACCGTTAGTGCTTTATTTAAATGTGTACTACTCGCGTAAACTACAAACAGTATGTTATTATAAAGTCAATTACACGTAAAATCTGATCGTTCCATTATCACAAAAAACCTTTACCTTGTTCAAAATAAGAGATGAGTAACTAACTGAATACCATATCATTATTGTTCTATGCAGGTGTAAGCACTTGGTTTGTTACTTGGTTCTACATAATTCTCCATCAAAATGTAGATTGGTTAGACCTATTTCATATTGTGTGGGAGGACAGGTCCGTTCACGTAATTGTTTATGTGAATACTTGATAGGAAAATTTGGGCGGCTGATTATCAATAAAGATAGCAGTATGGCCCATAAAAGTGATTTAATATTTTCTTTACAAATAGGAAGACAACACAAAAGTGCCTACTTCGAAGCAACATGTCAAAATAAATTTTTAATAAGCACGACAAAACAAATCTTTTTTTAATTCAATGTTTTGAAATATGTAAAAATATTAAATTTAATAATAAACTATAACAGTATATGCAAGTTAAAACCTAATTAGTATAATAATATTACAATTTATTATTCATTGGTAGAATAAGGTTTTCGTTATAAACTACGGAACACTAACAGTTGTAAACAAAGAAACAATATGACGCACCGCAAGTCAGTGTTGCCGTTTAAGTATTTGCTCCATTTCGCCACAGAGACCGCAATTTTGCGTTCACAAAATACACATGATATATGTTGTGCCTATTTACATGATAATATATCATTAATTGAAATTATGTTTTTATGCTGTGGATGTAAAAAAATACTTTACTTTTTTTATTGTGTCAGTCAAAAGTATTACCACATTTAGAAAGGTTTTAATGAGTTTCATTTAAAATTAATATATTAATAACACAGGATAAATTAAAAAATGAGTAAATAAATTAGAGTTTGATTGGTGATAACAAAATACAGAGCCTGGCAACACTTGCCGCTTTAAGCCGCCGGCCGCCAGTGACGTAAGACGTTATTTTGAAAATTACAAAAACAATCGAGCGTGCGGCTTGTTCGAACGTGCCTGGAGCCTTCCCTTCATTGTTTTCGATTTTCAAATAAGGCACTTGCTACGTGCGGTGTGCGATGTTGATACGAAAGTGTGCCCACGAGTGAAATAAAATTGGCAATCTATAAATAAAAGTGATATCGGCTGCAGGAAATGAAGACATACAAGTCGCGAGTTCGCAGACTTTTAACTTAGTTTCCTCTCGCGAAAACCATGGGCACAACGTTTAGAGATCTTTTTAAATTATACGACTTGATTCAATGCGGTGAATCGAGGTAATTTATATTATTTGATAAATCGTGTAATGATTACTAACTCTTTGAAACTTACCCTCTCCTTTATTTACTAATTTGTTACAGATCAGTTGAAAAATTCCTAAATGAAACCATTGTTGACTTAAATATTATTCTACCATGCAAGGGTATTGGAGTGCTACATTTAGCGGTGGGCATAGAACCACTAGAAAAATCAATAAAGTGCACAGAAATTATTTTAAAACATGGAGGTGATCCAAATATAGTGTAAGTAGTTTACAAAATTTAGATTTTATATTGTTCGCTGAAATTAAGGATCTTGTGTAAAATATTTTCTTGATACACTTACAAAGGGGCTCACTCTTAGAAAATATGTTGCAACATATTATTATTAGATTATTAGAATTACTTATAATTATATATAATATAATTCTAATTTTTTTTAATTGATCATATTCCGACACAAGAACAATAAAATAATTGTGAATGGAAATGTTTAACATGCTATATTTCCATTCTATGTTGAATATTGAAAATATTTCTCTATGTTATATTAAAATAATTATTATCTTGTTATACAACAACATGATATCAAATTTTTAGTAATGACGATGGACTATCCCCTGTCCACATAGCTGCAATATGGGGACGAGTAGAAAACATCAAGCTATTGATTGGTTGCGGTGGTGACCCGTCAAAGAGAGATATTGATGGTATCTCTGCGTTTGACTATGCAGCTCAGGAACAACAATGGGAGGTGTATGACTATCTACGGAATGTAGTTGATCTTACAGATGACTCGTTTGGATCTCAATGTGCCTTTACTTTAGATTTGGGTGAGTGTAATTTATTATACAACTATTTCCACTTTTAGTTCTGTGTGGAATCTTATGAATATTTAAATATTTCTTATTTTTATGTACACATTCTACCGTAACGCAACAGAACTATTCCTATGTACTAGCAAATTATTTATTTAATGCTATTTTTGTGAAATTTTCATTTTTGATGTTTTTTGCCTGCCTGTAATGTGAGCTATACAGGCATAAGCACAGATTCTTATCTAGATATACATGTAGAATACCCTCTTCTTTTATTTGATAATAAGACAGAAAAGCATAGTAAAATTATTCAGAAATAAAAAAAAAACATGACTTCTCTCCCTAAAACCATAGGGTAAAGCACAATAAAGTATAAACAATTACAATTTAAAAAATGCAAAGGCCCCCACGAAGGTAATATTATAAATTTGCATTTATAATTTTTTTAACTGTTCCTTTTGTGTTTCACTTAAAAATTGCTACTTAGGCAGGATTGGATGCAATTATATAATTAAGTGAAATGGTGAAAATTAACCTTTGATCCAATTGAAGAGATTAATCCAATTAACTCTAAATTTCTCCATTTATTCCACTTTATACTAAGATGAGATGAGTCAGGAACAGGTGCCCGATCAAGTTCTTAATGCATGCAGCTTGTGCCATGAGAATGTAATTGGCCAGCTGTTGCGAACTTACACCTGCTAAGTTTTTATGCATACCTGGTACAAATATATATTTAGTTTGTTGTTAAGGGCATTACGCAAGAGTATACGTAAAACAAAAGCACGAAACGCTGTTGTCGCGGGTTCAAATCCAGCCAGGGTCAAACTTTTAAATTTATTACGTTGCGTATTATAAATCTATTTTTATTCTTCGTGAGATTCTTGTCTTAGTGACCATGGCAGCCTCATTACAAACTATCCAAGTAATGTAAATCATAGTAAAAAAATATAATTCGTAGATTAAAAATCTAGAATAATAAATATTATCTTGTTATTTATTTTAATTACATATAATTTATAACTACTTTCCCCTTTAAACAATGAAGTGATGCTATTACAGAACATACAAAACTAAACCCGATTGCGTAACATTACGTACGGACGTGACTCACAAAGTATAAGTTTCACGACAAACTTCCTTTGATACCGATAAACAAGTTATTACGGGAAAGATCTCGCGTTGCATTCTAAAGCTTATTATAGAGTGGCGGTATTTTGCGAAAGTTCATTTCCCACGCGCGGATAAAATTGCCCAATAGATAATAATTCTAGACCGATCGCAGATAAGATTGCTGTTCGAACATGTTTCTTTCATGTGGTAAAATGAAACGTGGGTGAGGGAACGTTGAACCTCGGCTTACGCCCTTCGGTCACGGCTCGATTACTTCAAAAGCAAAAAGTGTAGGAACTAGATAGCTACCTTAAATTACTTCGTCCGTAGAGAATTTTAATCGACGTAACAAAAACAGCTTACGATTATAGAGTGTAGAGTATTTTATTTAATGTCTGATCGAATATTTCATACGACACCAACGGGACTCGAACCCTGATCGTGCTGTTGCTCTAAAAATTAAGCCATTACTACTACTTTGGCATTTTTTGTTTCCAATTTCACATTTTTAATTTCCAAGCGATTACGTGCCCCAAACATGTAAAAAATAATGATACAACACATTTTTGTTAGAATGTTAGCATTAAATAAATAAATCCACGAAAATGTTTGCTCGTCTCTTAAACGTTAAAAGCGTGTAATGTTAAGATGTCAGCCCTATACAAACTTCCTCAAAAGCTGTTTAACATATTTTTGTCAGTACGCTTACTTAAAGTCTAAAGGGTCATAATATATATCAGGCGTTAATGATATATTAAACAACCAAAATTAAACTTAAATAATTTTAAACTGGAACAACTAACTGAACACCATAGAATTTTTTTTTAAATATAGAAATATCTCGATATAAATTTTCAAGTATAACAGCAAGATATGTCAATTGAAATCTGATTAAAAGTTTGTCTCTCCAGATAAAATCCTTGTCACAACAGACCAAATTGTGGCGGAATATGAACCTGTAACCAATGACCAGTTAAGTCGAATGAGCGTGCGAAAGTCGGAAATGGTTCGCGACTGGTGCGATAAAAACACCATCACTATGAACAAACTGTACCCCACTATCCTGGGGGAGACGTATCTTCTGGACAACGAATCTGAACCGTGGCTAGACGAAATAACGAAAGACTTAAACGACACCACTCTATCATATAAGACGTGCAAATCCAAAAATGTTGAAATCAGTGGAATTCAACCTTTAGAACAAACGGTCAACAAAAGTTCAGAAAAGCAAAGAGTCAGCGTTTACGAAAACTTCTCGTTACCAGGATCGCCGAACTGCGTGACACATGTTAATTATAACAACAAAAGCAGTTTGAAGAAGAAGAGTATAAAGAAATTCTCCTTTGACGACGATGCTAAGGAATATGACAAGGCCCTCATCATGGTTCAGAATAAAACTAATGAATGGCTTTCTTCGTGTGAGGAGAAGAAAGTTTTTAATACTAGGAGATCATCAGCTAGCAGCGGTGTTAGTAGTAACTTCTCGGGGAGTATAATGCTTGCCAACGTGCATGAAGACTACAAATATGAGGACAAAGAAGAGAATGTTGTGCTGATTGAGAGGAGGCTGCGGGTATCATCTATCATGTAAGCATATAGAGATCTGCTACATATTTGTGTTGCCCTAGTAAGGTTTTGATGTTTGTCTTCCTTTTTAATAGATTGCCAGTAGATGAAGGAGCAAATGATCCATCACCAGACCAAACTATTCTCTCTGTGGCGTCATCACTACCACCATCTATGGAATATGATACCGAGACCTTGAGAAAAGAGCTGATGAAACTGGGTTTCAAGCCTGGTCCCATACAAGAAAACACTAAGACGTTGTATTTGAAGAAGCTGCACGCGTTGAAGAAAAATCCGATTGTTGTGAAAAGTAATGAAGGGAAGAGTAAGTAACGCATTTTATGATAAAATATTTATTAACCAGTAAAATTGATAGTTGCTAACAAAATGAGTAAAACCTTTTTTGTGTTATACTTAGAACTATAAAAAATCGTCATTAAAAATCAACGTCATTTTTTGTTTATTTTTATTTAGAGATAGCTTTTTATTTGGTGTTTTTTACAAAATAATCTGTGACAATGACGATAAAATCCATTAAATTAACGAGTAAATCCATTAAGTTATTCCAAGGTAATTTTTTATTTATTTAAAAACATAATCTCGTAATGTATTTAAAAATAAATGTCCTTTACAGCATACAGTATAGAACTAGAGAGATCTTTAAGAAACAGCGATTGGATGAACAACTTAGCCCCGTACGTGGAACTGGAGAACAAAGCTAGAGCTGACTTCTTGAACCCCAACAAGAAGTGGAGGGAAGGAACAGCGAAAACGTCGTTCACGTATTTGTTATTGGACCCGCGCATGACAAATAATTTGCCCGGACGAGCGGGACAACAGGACCCACACGTGTCATGGGTCACCTTCGTCAATTCAATATTCTATGTTGGTAAAGGTCAGTGCTATCCTACAATGTTATAAATGCGTTAGATATCCATCGACCACTTTATTGGTGCCAACCAATATTTTTTGTGGGGAAGGAAGCACCCAAATATAATAAAACTAAAAAAAATACACATGTAATATTATTAGTAGCTAAACCATTAAACATATTTCCACGGGGTTCACAAGCTAATGATGAATTGAGTTCTTATCAAAAAGTAAATGTTTGCCATTACATTTGCTAACTTATCATTTTGATTTAAAAAACATTGTCAACAAATTGATAAATCCAATCAGCTGTGTTGATTAATGTTTGTGTACTTGAATCAAAAATATTGGCTTTATTGATAAAATAATGCGTTTTAAAACACTTAACAGTTTAATCAACAAAATGTATTAGTTAACTTATTTACATTTTTTTTACAATGGCTTGACGTTTAGGACGCTTTGCAGCAGCCATTTAGTGAAAATAAATATGTCGCGTTTTAAACCGTTAAAAGTGTTTTAAGTTCTACTAACGCAAAAATAAGGTATCTCTAGTTTACTCGAGGACACATTGAATAATACTTATGTAACAGTTGAATACGCGAATTATTCAATGTTAATGAAATTTTGAGAAACTTTTCGGTCTTTACAAAACTAACTCACGGTGTCTAATACCTTATTTGACAGCTCCTGTAAAGAATGCTAAACTGCTGGTCCATGTTAGAAATTAATACGATAGTAATTTTCGCGTTTTAACCCGTTAAATGTTTCCATTTAATGTCGGTAGAATAATTTCAAGTATTTGCAGCTAAAAGTCTCGTTTGTATTTTTTTCTGTATTTTGTGCAATTAAGTGTAAATAAAATAGGTCGGTAGCGGATAAGATGATATACGGCTGGGATATTTCACATTTTGCTTGTCTAGCCTCCACTACTATATAAATTTGTATCAACCATATGTGTTAAGTATTGTTTATTTTTGTTGTACAGGCAAGCGTTCTCGTCCTTACTCACATCTGTACCAAGCCCTCACTCTGTGGAAGCGCGACTTCAGACAATCGAAAGACAAAAAGGTACAACACATCCTCGACATATGGTCCGACCAAGTGGGCGTTATATGTCTGCATATATTCCAAAACGTGATCCCGGCTGAAGCGTACACATACGAAGCGTCCATGATCGATGTACTAGGGTTGCAGAATTTGAAGAATCTAAAATCTGGTAATTATTATGGCGTGGCTTCGTCCTGGCCTCTCAAGGAGCGCCGGATGTTCGGCTTGTATTTGTTGTACAAGGCGATGAATATCTTCTTGAGCGAGGGTGAGCGACAGTTGCGACCCGACGATATAGACTGATTTAGGCACAATATTCATTTTTTTGATAACATTATTCGGTAGACTATGTGAGTTATCAATTCGTTCGTCCAATGATAAATATTAGTAATTTGCACTCCTACATTTGTAGATGACTGTGCAAAAAGTTAGTCTATTTACCAAGTGGTTTTAAAAATATGTAACAGAGGTGGTTGCATTTGGCTTAACGGTAAAGCTTTGTGCACAATGACCTAACCATTCGTATAAAAATAATGTATTGAAATACATAATAAACATAGCTTTACAGAGATATGGATCTAAAAGTTGTCACAAATGTGTACTTTAACCTTATCTGCTAATCTTGCCTGGTAACTTATTTTTAAGATAAATACATTCTTGTACCTTTATAACAATCTTACAAATAAATCGCCAAAGAATCAATTTTAGACGACTGAAAACACCTGAGACGGTGTACGTATATTTGAAGATATTTTTGTAATTTATTGCTTGTGATGTCATTTTAAAGCACTAACAGTTATAATATTTCCAAAAACTGTATTTTAACTGTAACTATGTACTTTTTAACTGTCTTTGTATTTGTTTAGTATCTTGTTTTTAATTTAGACATTAAGTTTATATTTTATTCTTATACTACCAATGAAAAATATGGAAACACTCAGTATTTTTAAGTTTAACATTAGCTTTAACATTTGGATGTATTTTTATATTAAGTTACCCTTTTGGATTCTCGTTAGACCTGGTTGTGATAGCTCCTACTGCACTAGTATTAACTTATCTAATTTCCTTTTACCTTATCAATCAGTATCGTGTTACCTTCAAACTAATCAGTCTAATAAGAATCCGTCTTCCTAGTCAATTTATATCCATTAATTTTACAAGACAATGTAAAATAAGAAAGTAAATAAAACACTTTGTAAGAAATAATTTATTTTTATTCCTTTTTAACGTCTCGAATTTCTTTTCTAAGAAAATCAAACTTTGCTTTAGTTACATCAAAAAAATACACAAATGTATATATTCGATACTATGATACAACGCTCTCTGTGCATACTAAGCACTGGTACTCGATATGCGATGGAAAATCAACGAATTACACGATCGTCTCTTACGTACACGCTTACCTTAGGTAGGTTAGACAGAGATAACTATATCCGTTTATTTTCCATTTACAAATCAATATCAACATAATGAAAGCATAGACATCGTGTCCAATTATTTAAAATATTTCAGTCTATAACGATCAATGCACCGCGTTGTACGAGATCATATTAGTTGCGTACGATTCGAAATCGGCTTGTAATTTCACATTATTAAAATCGATAAAATAATTACAATTATTGAACGAACATAATCATGTTATCACATAATTAAATCACTGGTTAACGTGAACAAAAACATTTAGGCCCCTAAAATACAATTTTGTTTAATTTCAGAAACAGGTACACGCGTACATCGACTAAGTTGAAATAGCGAATAGAGTTTTGGACCGGTCACGGCAAAAATTGCCAGCTGTAACTGTTGCCGAGAACGGTCTAGCTCCTAAACTACCCGCAAAGTGTTATACTACTTATTGAAATGCATACCGACGTGTCGCAATCGTCGTTTCATTCGCTTAACATTAATTCAGTAACACTTAGGTGCCAACGAGACAACAGGTTCCTATAGTTTGCAAGTTCCTAGGAAGAGTTTAACGAACGCAGGCTGGGCCCAGGAAAAGTCGACCATAGACATCCAGAGAGCATAGAATTTTATCTCTATAGGCAGTTATATATATGAAGATTTATACTTTAGGTATCTGTATATGACTATGCCCATTTTACTAATCACAGTATACAATAAGTAATCATGTATCTGTGGCTGTAAATACTAGAACATAGTATCGCTCTGCTTTGACTAAGGCTAGCTCGATTGAGGACATTGAAAGATGATCGAATGGAAGACTGTTTGAAACGAATTAAATTATTAAAGGTATACCAAAACTGTTGCAGAAAAATACAGTCCTTAACTATGGTGCACGGAAGTCCTAGAAACGTCTAGTCCCTTGTATGAGAATATCGAACTATGATTAAAAGCCAGACATACATACGCACAGCGATAGTCACTCCATCTATAGGATGCTCTACGTAATACATTATAAATAGATCATACTCCTCACCGAGTAAGATTTGTGCAACTACTCATCACAATGACGGCTTAACAACTAACTATAATTATACATCTAGGTATGTTTGCATTTTTTTGTGGAATGCTCATAAATAAAGATCTTACTTCGGGGACTACAAATTTCAGTACTATTCCCGGTACAATTCGATGTTTTTACAAAAGGGAATACTAAATTTACATGTAACGCTAATATTTACAGAACTAGTTTGTGCATTCACTAGTTAGAGAGTCCGGAGTCTCGATTCACACACATGGAGTCAACACTACTGTTTCTTCAGTCCAAACATTCAGCGCACAACACTTTCACACGCGAGATCACAGTATTTATTATGGCTACTGGCATAGATAGTTCACTTGTCCATTGACTTCACTATGATTAGTCCACTTTCTACCGTACGAGGGTAATTGTATAAAGTTGAGTCCGGTTAATCGTGCGACTACCCTCATTTGGGTGGAGTCGGGAATGAGTTGACGACCGCCTGGGTGCTGGCCAGCACGGCCGCCGCTGCAACACACAATCTTCTATTAAAGTGCGGTCCTACGCATCTCTTTCCCGAATGCTATCTTTAGCGTATCGCTATACTTGAGCGGGACTGGGCCGCTTTTCGGCCTGATGCTATCGAGCCCCTGCAACCAATCACACGGAATTAGGAGCGACCGCAACATCGACGATACGAAAAAGAACGCATTCGAGAAATAAATAAAAATCATGGCAAAGCAATCATGCAACACACAAAAGCAAGTAAAAACGGTTTAAAACGCTATTTTAATAACAGTTATCGTAAGTTTTTCGAATTATTACATACGTAATATGTAACAATCACAAAACACTAATGTTAGTGGTTAATGACTGACTTTCGATAACTTATATTCTCCTGGTGCTTAAAACGAATTTACAAACGTCTACTTACCAGGATAAGGCGGCGGATAAAGCGGGTATCCGAGCCCCACATGTGTGTGGTGGTGGGTGTGCACATGCCGCTGTGGTGGGGGAGATCTCGGCGATTCCTTGGGGGGTTCCGGTCTGGGAGGTTTGCCCTGTGGAGACTTCGCGTGCTCCTGCAGCTCATGTATCTTATGAGGGGCGGTGTGTGGCGGTCCGTAGTACTGGGCACCGTGTCCGGGGGGTAACAAGTCTAGTTTCGAGGGAGCTCCCGGTCGTGATAAGTCCTCGGGCGCGTGATACCGCGGGACCGTCCAACCACCCCCGAAACCGGGGACCAGCATGGGGCTGAGTGGAGCACGGTACACGGGATCAAAGGGCAGAGCGCCGTAGTGCGGAGCCTGCATATATGGCGGGAGGTAGTACTGGGAGGTCGGCGGGGGTGGTGGACCTTGAGTTTCTGTTGTTGGCTTCTGTCCTTCTTGCTTCACCTGGAAACATTTAAAGGTATTACTTCAGTAACATTATACGTGCCTGTTCTTGAAAATCATTTTATTAGACAATGTACAATAAAATGATTTATCAAAATTGGTTAAGCAATTTAGACAAGAGTTTAACAATAAACAAATACTTTCAATAAAAAAATATAATGTTTTATTATTTAAATAAAGTAGGTTTATATCTTTATTATTATAACTGTTTACAATTAGAAGAAAAACCTTCTTAAGCTATCCTTATAAATCGTTTACCTTAACCTCCTCCTTGGGCTTGTCGTCCTTGTCCTTGGGCTTGTGAGCGGGTTGAGGGGGACGGGACGGCGGCCCACCTCCCGCCACCCCGGGACCACCTCCACCCGACTTCATATCACCACTGTCCTTTCGTCGTTGTTCTAAGCTCATGTAATACCTGAAAAAAACAATTAACACGTTAAATAAACTTTACATATTATTTTTATTTACTTAAAACATTTTTATAGCTAACCATATATCATATTATCATCTATACTAAAAACTAAGAGTGTTTCTTTGTTTGTTTGAACGCGCCAATCTCAGGAATTACTGGTTCGAATTGAAAAGTTCAAGATAACTAAGAGATATGTAATAAAGAATGATTCCTCTTTAAATAATAATTTGCAAGAACGATGGGATACGTCCGACCTCGTGGGTAGGCGTAAATTTATAAAGATGAAAAGAGGAGGTGTGCAAAAACAAATTTGGATGCCCAAAATTACTTGTCTACGCGGAATAAGTTGCTGACACAGCTAGTCATTCATATAATATCTAAAACGTTTTATTCTTGTTAAAACATCGCTCAGAAAAGAGGTCGACATTGACCAAAAAATGTTAATACATTTTCTCGACATCGTAAACAACGCTATCTTATTTATTCCGATATCTATGGATACAATCATTAATTGACCTTTAACTTGTTTATAAAGCAAATAGACGTTTATCTCGAAAACAAAACACATCTGCTTAAATTAACATAACTTTATGGTAGGTTATAAATGACGTCCACATGTTCCGATAAGATGGTAATTTATCATTTACATGTTAATTTCTTTCACAATTTAATTCAATTACGGTAATTGTTTGTGCAATATTTAAATGATTATAAATGTCTTAAATTTTATATATAATTAAAAAAAAATAAAGATAAATTAAGTTGAAAAGAATACAAGTCTTGGTTTTAATTTGTTTATGGAACCGGAAACTAGTGAGCCAGTTTTATCGACAAACGATAACATTGATTAAATTTTGAGTAAAATACTTTCTCTTTGGAAATTATTTCAACTATGTGGTTACGGCAAACGTCTCCTGCAAAGCATGCTAAACGTCGGGCTGCAGTGAAATTTATATAAATATTTAACAATGATTAAAGTCAACTGATTATTTGTAACAGGGAATTTCAAATTGATATATATTTCTCGAAAAAACCGGCCTAAACAGTGAATGAAGCTCATTAATATAAATTGATAACCATACCTTCTTAATTCCTCTTCTCTTGCATGTGGTGGTCGCTGGAAGGCATATGGTCCCATCTGACTTTTCATCTCAATACTCTCTTTCAGGATCTGATGAGTATCATTAGGCCTCGGCGGATCTTTACCATCGGATGCTCTCGGCTGTTTACTCTTATCTAGAGGACTAGGTGTTGTTTTCGACCGGTCGATATCTTTTCCCTTGTCCTCTAGAGGGGGTCCTGGTGGCGGGCCCGTTTCAACGTTGTACGGAAAATTCGGTACGTAGTTGTACGGATAGAAGTGCTGTGGGAGGACTTTTTGAGGACCGCTCTCTGGTTTTCCATCCTGGAAAGGAAATTTAAATTAATGTTTAAACAGGATTATTTTTATTAAATAATAGAGGAGAACAGAGAAGCACGGGGTTCATTCAATGGTAGGTGTATTTCATCCCTATTTCATCATCCCCAGCCATTTAAACAAGATATTCGGACAATGGAAATGTATGGACTATATAAGTTTAGGTTTATAATGAAACAATATATTTACCTTGAGGTCTGCCTTAGGGTCTCCCTTACTAAGATCTTCCTTGCCTTTATCTGAGTTGGGAGGTGGAGGTGCTGAAGCCGGGTGAGTCGGTGGAAGATAAGGTGGTTGACCATAGAACTGGAAAATCAAACAAAAAAGACATTATCTCCGAATTATTTAAAAGTGCATTTTTAGTTTTTTACAACTTTTTTTTAAGAATACGAAATATGAATAAGAAAGAAGTATGTTATACCTGGTGGAAGACTGGGAAAGGTCGATGCGCAGGGTCCGTGTCTGGTGCACCTTCTGTTGGTGCCGCGTCATCTGATATGTCTGAATACGCCGGTGACCGCACTCCAGGCGTCGGAGACCTTCGGGCTCTTCTTTTACCAGGGGATTCGTCTGGCGGTGACTCTGTTGACTTTCGCTCCTCCGACGGCATTAACGCTGAACGCGGTTTGACCTGAAAACATTATAGTGCTGGTGTAAGTTTTATATTAATACAAACTCACGGTAATTACTACGGCGCACTAGTTACTAATTACGGTACGCTACCTACCAATTCTTATTTTCAATGTTTTAAACAAATTGGAAATGGACGTACCTTGAACTGAGTTGGTTGCAATGGCAGCGGTTCAGGTGGGGGTGTAGCTGGAGCCGGCGGCGTCTGCGGGGGCTCAACAGGCGGTGTAGGTTCAGGTGTCGCTGCAAACTCTTCAAAACGTGGTTGCGGCGGTGACTCCACTGGTTCTGCTTTCTCCGGAGATTTTTCCTCACTCTTATCACTCTTATCTTCTGGAGATTTAGTCGGTGTCGGAGATTTTACTGGTGTAGCGGGTGTCGCAGGTTCTGAAGGCGGTCGTGCAGGCGATGCCGGTTCTACAGTGGTTTCCTCTTGCTCAGAACTAGACCCGTCCTTTTCGTCATCATCTGGAGACCCGTGAGCATGCGACCGGTGGTATTTGAGACCGTTCGCGTGTTTGTACTTCTTGGAGCAGTTAGGTTCAGGACATTCAAGGAGGACGGGATCCGGTGGGGGCGATGTCGGTGTAGGCGGTGGTCGTTTTGCTTTCGGCGTGGGAGGCCGTTCCTCTGCCTCTGAATTTCGTTTTCTCTTGGAGTCCGGCCGCGGGGGGTGAAAGGAGTGGGGGAAGGCAACGCCCGTCGACCCTTTGCACCGCCATTTCGGAGTTTGCTGTGGACCGATGATCGGGTCTCTGTGAAGTTTGTCATGTCAGTGGGGTTCGCGCCGCGGCCACGTTTCGCGCGGCCTTTCGGCGTTCGCGCATCTAACTCTTCGGTCGGTGAGTCGCAGAATCTGAAGAAATAAATTACTATTAGTCTACATACTCTAGCGTAAATGTCAGTGATAAATGGCTTTGGAATAGTGAATTACCTCGGCGGTGCCCAGTCGTGCCTCGTGCAGTCGAGTAGCGTGCCCACGTACGTTTTCCCTCGCCACGTCACGTTCACCACCAGCACGCCTGATGCAAATATATAGGATTACTCATTTGATATTTTACAATCTGTAAATAGCAGGTAAAAAAAAAAGGAGTGGTTACCGTGAAATATCGATTATTTTAATGAAGGTCTAAATGTTTTGATGATTTTATTAAGTGTAATTACGAGAATTATAATTAGTAACACTAATGAATGAATATTTACCAAAATAAAGCGTCTGTTTTTGATAAAGATTATTGTTAGCGTTACGTATTAATGCAAGAAATGTATTACAGACGTTAAAAGAAGCATGGAGACGGAGTTAAGTTTGAAACCGTTAAAAGTGTGCTATTCAGTTCCACAGATACGTTGGGGCTTATCTTTAAAAACATGACGATAACTTATAAATAAATATAATAATGCATGCTAACTAATTACACAGTGTAAAACAATGTAAATCTAAACACTGGTATAACATTACTTATTCTACAAACAATGACTATAAAAAGGTATTAAATGCACGCTACGTACGATGTTATCTTGTCTGACAATTCCAAGATCAAATTGTCAATAGACCGCAAATGGTGGAAGAGATTCCGATTTGCCAAAGGATCTACCAGGACAAAATGGTCGCAGTGGAGTTAGAAGCTATTGGTGCACGACTCTGATCCAATTTGTCACGAGGCTCATTTGCATAGACGGAGGGGGGGCTCACCCCACTCGCCTCAGAACGTGACTTCAGGCGCATATTTAGAAAGGCTCGCTTACCCCCGACCCACCCCAGCTTATCGCTAGCGTGCTAACTTATGCAAATTTAATTAATCAATTTAACCCGCCTTGGTTCGCATTTTTTAAATTACTTGTGGGATATGTTTAATAACTTATTTCAATACTAGCGACCCGCCCCGGCTTCGCTCGGGTGCTAATACTAGATACACTACAGAAAAACTGTAGACGTTGTATATATAATACCTACGCTTGATTTACCTATCAATAAAAAATCCCATCAAAATTCGTTGCGCAGTTTTAAAGATGTAAGCGCACATAGGGGCAGAAAAAACGACGTTATACTATGTAGTGATTAGAATTACAAAGCGATACCAAAATACTGTGTGAAATAAAATTTATAAAAACGCTGGTGTCGGTTGACGGCCTTAATCTTTGTAATCCGAAGGGACGTTTATAATGTAAAGCTTTACGTATATTTTTTTGGGATTATTAAAAATGTTTAATAACATCGCGTTAAATAAATGTAGAGAGAAAATATTAAATTAACGTTCGAGGTCGAAAGTACTTTTAAAGGTCAAACTCGAGTGAACTTAAAAAGAATTTAATGAACTGACTGCTTCGTTGGTCTAGTGGTTAGTACACTTGATTGAAGATCACGAAGTTTAGGAATCTATTTCCGGACGACATGTTAGTTCAGTATTTGATTAATAAGAAAATTTCTAGAAGGAAAATAACAAATTTAGACGAAAATTAATTTGTCCTATTATTTGTGTAAGAATTATGTTAACAAATTTCGGTCACTGTGTTCTTGTAGATTAACATTTTTAGACTATGCAGTTAGGCTACTCTGCCTCCAGCGGCCTCAAATGTAGTTGCAAAAAGGATTTAAAGAGTTAGTAAACACTACAGATACAAAGTATATAGGTTTAGATACAAAGTATTGCTAATATCTACTTTAACGACAAATTAGCTACGGGCGTTGCGTGGAAAAATATAGCTGAACCGTCAAAACCGGAGATGGCTTCGTTTAGTAGCGCTTCGCGTGCAACGTCTCAATAATTCTCAACCGTCGTTTATTGTTCCACGAACAATGGACATATAAAGCATTTCTACCGGCCATTAGCATAAAATGAGCGAGTTATTGTACAAGCTAAGCCAATGGACAAGATCATGATAGATGAATTAAATTGTCAGCCACATTCAATGCTCACAAATATAAGTGCCTATAATAGCTCGTTAGTTCTTGAATTTTAGTTGTTTTTTTTTAAATGCAGACAAATATGTAGAATACTTGGTGGACCGTGAATTACTACTACATAAACCGTCTAATGATAGTTGTCAACATTCGGAAATCCATAAATTTAATCGTAACGCGGAATTTTTGGAATTTAAATCTTACGTGTGGAAATTAAATAATACTATAGCCATTTAACGTCCAGTTTTTCCAGTCGAGATTGGATCTGGTGGGATTCGAACCTATGACCTACAGATATATGATCGACAGATAGAAATCGAATCACAACAATCAAACAGAACAATCGAAACAGATAGAAAATGTTGATCTCAGAATCTGTATATTGGTGGTAGGAAATATTGGAAATTCCACCTCCATTGAACCACCGCCCACAGATGAAAAACTGTAAAGTTTAATCGCGTTTCGGTTTCAGTCGGTGAATTTTCCATACGCAACGCCAAAAAAAGGCCGGCAGCGCATCTTATTGAGATATTATTAGGCTGTGGTATTTCACCTTCAATCAAGTGACACTCATTCTTGTCTATCCTACTCTATTATAAAAAGGTCAATATTATGTTAAATATTTTAATTTAATGTAAAAATAGTAATAGTTAAAACATAGTCTACTAAAAATCACAACATAGAACCGACTTGTAACGTGAAACTGAAACGGGGTCGCGCACGAAAAAGTTAAATTAAAGGCAGCCCTATTCTTTTGTTTCGTATATGTCCGTTTGCACCCTTGTCACTACCCTGTAAAACTTTTAGGTTAGTTAAATTAGATTTGCGAAGAGAAAATGCGTATAATGGGGAAAAACTTTCCTCTGTTTTCCTAATGAAATTTTCACCCGTGATATTTATATCACTAGTCACAATTATTACCAGGAGATTAGAACTCGGAGGAGCGTAGCCGCAACGTGGCTGAAGGCTCATTAAGGTGTTAATTACTTGCCCGTAATCAAGTGGCTAATGCCGGAGACTAATGGCGGTAAAGTTCATTTTCAGTTTTTACTGTTCGTCCGTTATATTGTAGTATAGCGTGTATTGTATTTATTTATATATTATTTCTTACCAAAGTGTTAGAGTCAACTGATTCTTATTTATAAAAATCTTTTAATTCTCGTGAATTTGAAGATGGGCAAGAGAAGACCCGTTTCCCATATTGGGGCATGGAACAAACACATTTCTGTGTCTTGCCGGTTTTATTAACAGGCCAAACTTCTGTGACCAAGTTAACCATTTAGCTACAGTGGCAGGTCATGGGCAAACAATACTTAAATTATTTAACAGACAAGATCAATGTTTCCGGGACTCGAATCAAGGGGAACTCTGGCTTAACGCTATGCATCGAGCATAAGTATTAAGCCAAAAAGGACACTAACTGACCGTTCAATTAAGTATTCCTAAAACCCATTTGGAGTATATTTAAGGCCGAGAGGCAGAGTAGCCTAACTGAAATTTTATGACTTGACTGATTTATATTTTTATAGTCCAAACACAATTAATAGTACAAATTCATTTTCGCCTAAGTTAACTACTATTTTTTTATGTTATTAGGCCACTGTGCCTCCTCTTAATATTGTTATTGATTTTTGAAACTACAAAAATTCATATACACTTGTGTACAAAAGGGAACAAATGTTTTATTGGAATAACACAGCAGGAAGACTCGTTGTAGGAACTAAGTGGGCGGCGGCCACGTCTCTAATCAGACCTGCCCATTATTTCCCACACAGAACAAACAAACTTCCGACCATTTCATTTACATCCATTCAGCGCTAGAGCAAACTTTACACTCTTAAAAGCTCGTCCACAAAGTTAATTAAAATGGCCGCTCGGGGCATAGCTAGACAACTTAACGGGTTTACACTAACAACTGGGATAATATCTTTCCTACTCATTTGCATTTTATTTCCTTAATAGCATCTGGAGTCTATCCTAACGTAAGACTAGCCGTCTAACGCCACTACACCTGATTTTTTATACTTTTTTTTTATTACATAAGAAACGAATTTTTCCTTTTCATAGACTAAAAAACATAAAGTGTCGTTTAATCGATTCCTTTTGAAATCGTTAAATAAAGAAAAACAAGTTTTTAATCATTTTATTTTCCTTTAAAAGGAAGCATGGTATCATTTACTAATAACACCATTCACTGTGCTCTTAAATTAATTTACTACAATATCACATACATAAACATTATCAAAATCGATTATGAAATTAATTAGAATAAACGGTCGATTATGTTGACATTGGGTCAATCTCTAGCTTAGATCTCCGTCCCGCGCACCTCGCTCTTACCACCGTTAACATCTTACGGAACATTTCTGCGCAGCGTTTCGCGCTAAGATCAGGCTGGCCAAGTTACGTCGGCCGTATTGTAGTACAAATAAACTTAACAAGTTATCTTAATTACGGCCTGACGTAATGCTTTGCAGCAATAGGGACAGCCTCCATCTGCAATCCCCCCGGACCATGACTGCTGTAACGGGAAACGCCGGGCCGTAGTATATAATTGTTGACAAATCAAAATACATTTCGCGTTTTAAACCGTTTAAAGTGTTTCATTTTAACACATTAAGTGTCAATAATAAAGTTTTAAGAAGAAAAAAAAATGCAAAGATTAGTTAAACATATTTTTCTGTATATATTTACTTGTTCCTTAGTACAGACACACAGTTTTTGATAATTTTATTACGCGAACAGACAAACGGCTCCCATTAAGGACCGTTTAAGGCATTAATAGATGGGTTAATAAACTTCTATAGGTCGGTTAATTGTTATCGGGATGGCATCTGATGTTCTTGTTGTAATTAGGGGGAGACGTGAGTTGTCTTAATGGCTACTCTCAGCGTAGGGCTGTAAAGCTGTCGTGGTGTTTTTGATGTCTCACAGATGCCGCTCGGATCAAACGAGCCGCCAATATGTCTCAATATTGAGTCAATAGACGTAATAAAACGTTTTCAAGAAAGCTAAGGAAGGTAACGTTCATACTTAAATTACCTTCGCAAATAAATTTATTTATTATGTTTACGCGATGGAAAGTTAGATTTGTTTCACGATAGAGACAAACAAAGGCGATTAAACTTCACGATGACTTTATATCATACATATAGTTAGAACGATATTTATTTTTGGATACTCATCGATAAATGAAAAAAAATATATATTTTGTCTCTATCGACTATTATTAGTAGTTAGTTAGCTTTATTATATAACTTTTGGTGTATGTCATAGATCAATTCTGCAGCCAAACGTTTAAACGTATGTATTTCCTTGCATTGCGTTAAGCGAGAGAGGTCCTGGTTTCGAATCTCAGGGAAACAAAAGAATTTTCGGTCGGGCAGGGCACAGTAGTCTGATCAACTACTTGCCTGTCAAAGAAGGGATCAGTGATATAAACACAGAAATGTGTTCGCCCCATACCCCACGTGGGGCAAAAGGATTTCACTTAACATAGATCTATTACTAAATTTAACAATTTTCTTTTTGAAGATACGGATATAAATAGAATTACATATCTCGAAATATAAGACGAGGAGAATAATAAATTGGGCAAACCCTCTGGATGCTGTGCTAGGGTTGTAGACTGTACTTTAATATAGTGACGTACTTATTTGGGACTTTGTACAGTTGTGAAAAAAACAAATCAAACGAAAAACAAATATCGTCATAATTTATAACCGCAATTTGACCTTTTAGTGTTATTTATTTTTTATCAATATTTTTTAGTTAAGTATATTTTTATACATAAAATGTAAATTTAGCGCGTGAAATGTTGACAACCCTAGCGGAATCCCCCTTTCATATAAGCACGTAAGCAATGCCGTCTACAGTCGACCAACTGTATGTAGTTCTCAAGTCCACTATAAATGCACAAAGCGTGCAGGCTGTATTAGAATTTATGCATTGAAAGTTACAACCTTATAAGCTGAGGTGGCCAGCCTACATTTCTACTTTTAATTCAGATTAATTGAGTCAATGCACTTTGTCTAAGCTGATTAATTAAGAAAATCTCTTTTCAAGTGTCATTTGTTACTGATTCATAATGACATTACTACTACTAGCTGACTCGTCATAAGTTGCCTAATTTATGTAGATATATTAATAATATATTTAAGTAAAGATAATTAATTCTGTATATAATAATACTATTTAAAATTTAGATATAAGAACCACTAGGCAAGCAGAAGTTAAATTGTTGTTTGTTTATACAAACGATCAGTACGTAATTAAAAACTTTTTTTTGCTTTTTTTTCTATATACATAATTGTTTAAACGACGTCTAAATAAATTCATGTTTTTGAACTAAAGTCTAGTCATAGAGAACGTTGATTTTTATCTTCCGTCCTTGTCACACTTATTTGATATAACCTTTGAGTGACATAGACGAAAACAAAAGAAAACGCGATTGAATATATATTTTTTTAAAGTACAAACTAACTTTCCCTGAACATTACCTTGGTAACAGGGCGTAAGGAAATAAAGGAAGTTTCACCATCAAACAGTATTACAATAAAAAGGGTGTGTAATTTCAAAAGCGAACATACTTTAACATCCTCTTTGTTCGTATTTCCTTAACAAATGCTTATTGCTTTGCGAAGCATCGCATTTTTCACTGCTCTCCAACTGAATGATAGCTACAAGAATGCTTTAAACGAATTGAACCAACTTACTTTGTCTACAACTGACTTTTACAATAATAATATGATCGCTTTATGAATAAACAACAAATTTGTAAATTATTTCATTTTTTTTTAAATAATGATTCTTAAAATGTTATATAAGCTACTATGAATGCTTAAGACAAGTATTTTAAGAATACAACGCTGAAGAAATTCCATTATCAAATCTCTGGGCAAATAAACTTAAGAAGTAGTGCGAAAGACACGATTTAATTAAAGTAATTCCCTCCCCTGGCGTTGTAAATACGGCGCCTCCCCCCCTCCTCTGGCGCGGCTAAATTTGGAAAGTGGCAAGAGAAGCAGATGGTGATTTATTGTAGCTTTCATAATTATACCGAGAGAGGCATTGTTTGCCGGCGATCCCTAATGGCTACCATACACAACAATTTTCATAAATCGTTCACACTAAAAGCGACCGTATTGTGATTTGTGAAGCACGAAAATTGAAAGACTGTTTTTTTGTGAAATTAAACGGGCCGCCGTCTATTGTACGAGTGATGTATTGTTGCCGTGATGGGTATTAATTTGTGATAAAGTAGCGTTTATTGATAGATATTTAGTGCTTGGTATTTCCTTTATGCGAGATCTATACATATCTACGTATATTATACAAACCTAGTACAAACAATACAATCGATATACAATGTATTACGCGTCATTGTCCCGTTCTAGGATTTATTCACGTTTAATTTAATACTGGTTTAAAACGAAAATATAACACCCGACCCAACGTTTCGATTACTGGCAAAGTATGTAGCCGTTAAAAGGGTTTTATTGACGTTATTTTAAATATAATATTTCTCTCTCAATTCGCAGTTTATATTCCAGTCAAAGCGCTTTAGTTTTAAGCCTTAATTCACTTTACTTCGTGGAATGAAAATATGAAGGTAAATAAACATAGAGCCTTTAAAAACTGTATAAAAAGCCGTTATATCGCGCTACAAGAAGTTTGCCAGGCAACAAAGAGAAGACGTCAAAGTGTTGACCTGATTATTTGTGAGAGTCTTATGCAGTTTAAAAGCACGCTTTAATTTTCCTTGAAGAAAATGTTGTTACTTTTCTTTTCACGGTATAAGATGTTAAACAATAATACAATACTTTTTATTCAATATTTTACATATTGTAGTACGCGTGTAAAATAAACTTCTTTGAGTACTTTGCTTTTTTAATTACTCGATTGAAAGTAACTAAAGCAAATTGGGATGTGCTGTGTGTGTGATCTATTAAGGAAATCCACAGAATATCACAATTCATGAATTTTCCATTTGTAAATAACATCTTAGTCTCTTCGTGTTGATAAACTTGTAACCTTTTTAGATCTGTGTTTTTAATTTTGTTTTCTTTTTATTATTTATAAATAATTATTTATTGTTTGTAATATTGTTTTGTCTATCTTGTACATTTTATTTTCTCATTTTTTTTAAAACTTTAGGTTTCCTGGAAGCCTAATAAATAAATAAATATCTTTAGGCAATGCGTTTAATATGCTACAATTGGTTTAACACCATTATTGACTAAAATCATCATCATCTTCAACTAATCTGGCAGTGATAACGAGAGTCGGCAAAGAGGGCGTGTCCCTCTTTTTATTTATCAATCCTAGTTATCACGAAAAACCTACCAGAGCAACATAAAGGTGAAAGAGGTATGTACGAGTTAATAGGTTTATTAATTCACCGACGTTATCTGGCGCCCGTGAGCATCGGGTAATTATATTATATGGATATACTCTGTTTTGTCTCTCGTGAATACATTAATACTATACCTCGATATCAGATGAAAGATACGAAAGGCCTACTGGTGTACGCGCCATTTATTTATTTGTAAATTTTCACTTATTTTAAGGGGATTAAAGTGGTAAAATTAATAATAATAACAAAATTAATTGTAAGTTTAGCTGCAATACATTTTAACATTTTTAACCCTTCTAAATACTTATATGAAGTATCCTAGCACTTCAAAAACGCAAAAAGGCCAGGTATGGGCTATTAATATTTATAACACGTAATTGTTACTCGCAAATTAAGGGTTCGAAAGGGTTAAGGCCGAGCCCTTCATTATCATAATCTCAAAGACATCGATGGACAGATTATTGAATATTTTCGCTCGGCTGATAATAATTATTTGTAGTCATTCAATTCAATTACTTATTTCATGGTTAATTTGAGTGTTCATAGTAAGACGGAACATTAACATTTGACTTTTTGGTCCGGTTGTACGCATGGTTGAATAATAAAGTCTAAGTAAAACACTTTAACGGTTTGAAACGTGATAGATCTTAATTGTTTTTACAACCGACGGTTCGGATGCTTTCACGTAGGAATAAAGATGGTTGAACCTAAAGTTATAATTAAATCTGAGCCAAGTTTTGTCGGAATTTATATTTGCCGGCATTAATTTGGTCTTTGTTGCGTCTTTTATGCGTGTGCTCGCGTAAGAAATTAGAGGCATTTTTATTTGTTTCAAGTAAGCCATGTTTGTCTGTACTTTTCTGCCACGAAGAAAGTCTGTATAAGCTAGGATTGTAGTATTCGCGTTAAAAATCGCGCGCGCATAAATTTACGCTCACTTGCGTTATTTCTATTTAGCGTTTTTCACCCGAGACGTTTTTAAAAGGCTCTAGTTTTTAATTACTAATTACTGTGGCCTTTCAGACATTTTAACTTTTCACTTCTGCTTCGTATTACACGTAGTTTTTTTTATATATCTTGCATCTAGCGATACTTCGTTAAGAATTAATTAACGAGGTGGGACTCGCAGTAATGAGAAACACCGGGCTGTTCCGAGCATGATTTGTTTATTTAATGATGCCGAGATGCGGGAATTTTAAAAGAGAAAATTAAATTATATTATCTTTTGTAGCAATGCACAAACACCACTTTGTTTCATTATAAATTGATCACACTATATAGGAATCGCCTGTATAGATAAATGGTTAAACGTCTTGCCTAACATTGCGTTAAGCGCGGTCTTGGGTTCGAATCCCAGTAATACATAAGTATGATTAGACTTGCCTCTAAAATAATTGATTCGTGAAATGGACACAGAAAAGTGTTCGTCCCATGCCCTAAAAGAGCAAAGGGGCTTTTCCTTTCTTACTATATGTGTAAAATATTCAATGTGCATACATCATGGCTGTACTTTTTTGTGAGTAGGAGAAAATGAAGGAAATTTTGGATTGGCATAAAGCGGGTACAAGTACTAGGCGTGCAGAAGCGTGCTGGAAGTAATGAGGCGCTACGGTGCGTTCGTGCGCTAGTAACAAACTCACCACCTTCCGTTTCGTGCCACACGATGCCCTCCAGCGTGACCGAAGTACCAGGCTCGCATGGTCCCAGGCAGTCTGGCTCGGTGATCGTCCCCACAGATGTGCCGACGCACACTTCAGCGGTTTCCTGAAAAATAAACATCTTCAATTAATTACTGGAAAATTTGTTTACGTATTCTTACAAATTAAATGTTAAAAAAACCTTTCATTACGCGACAAGCTTCGTACGTTATCCCATATCTAAATACTAGCTGTGTGAGCGACTTCGTCCGCATAGAATAGTTATACTGGAGAACCAAATTTTTTTTTGCAAACATCGTCCTTATCTTTTATGGATTTAAGCTGTTATTTACGACGTCGGTCGCATCCTGTCGTTCTTGCAATTTAATCTTAAAAAGATAGACATAGTGTCGCGAACATTTTCTTAGATTCTATGAAGAGGAATAATTCTTTTAAACTTTAAAAAATTTCCACGTTTTTTCCCACATTTTCCGCTGTTCCTTCGCTCCTATTAGTCACATTGTGATGTGTGCTTTCCTCGATAAATGTTCTAACCAACACAGAAAGATTTTTCTAATCGTACGACTATTTCCTAAGATAGCGCGTTCAAACATAAAAACAAACAAACTCTTCAACTTTATATATAAGTATAGATTAATATCAAATGTTCTACGAAAAGATTTCAAAGCCAAGCCGGGAACATAAACCTAACACGTAATTCATACACATTATCCGCGACATAAAATCGTACTATTTCGCCATTTATAGTCCAAACATGAAGAGTGAGTTTAACCTTTCTGGAAAAATAAATTCTATTTTATAGTTGGAATGTTTGCACGAGCATAATGAAACAGGAACAGAGAGACCTTTTAATGGCGGAGGGTTAAGAGCTCTTCCGGATTAATATGGGAGTCGTAACTCCAACTTTGAATCAATTAAAAGTGAAATTCTAAACTTAATCAAAAAGCCCCTTTTCAAAGTACATACTTCTTAAAACACTAATCAATTTTGTTTTTGAAGAGATATATATTTATTTTTTTGTTTTTCCCTTCACTTCAGGTTGCCTGGAAGAGATCGCTGTTTAGCGATAAGGCCGCCTTTTAGTTATAACCTAGTACATAAGAATTTATTGTTGTAAACCATTTCTGTGGTGTTTGTAATTAATAAAGTTGAAAAATAAATATATATAGTAGTTAAACTTTTGTACATAAAGTATATCTGCATTCATTTTTTTTCCGTTTTACAAAATTTACAAAGCTTATTTTTCTCTCGCACATCTTACGCTGTCTTGAAGGGATCGCTTTAATTAGATTTATACCTACTCTTTAAAATCTTTTTACGTCCTACTAGTATTATTGTATCTATTCCATATTACATTTATGAAGCATAATATACAGGATTCGCAAAATAAATAAAAAACAATTACATATATTTAAATAAAACGTTCAATAATGTCTTTGACGGTTTAAAACGCGATATATATCAGTTGAACTTATTTGAAAATGTTTGAGACGCTTTGCAGCAGCCGAGGTCACGGGGAAAGTATTTTCAAATAAGTTTAAGTATCATATATCGCGTTTTAAGCCGTTAAAGTGTTTTATATAAATTTAGTAGACAGTATTTAAATAAATCTATGTTTTGTGATCCAGCGGCAAAATTTTTTTTTTCTCGCAAATAAAGTAATCTAATTACCTCAGAAAATGTTACGAACTTCAGCTCTAGGCTTCATTTCAATGTAGGATTTGCATAATATAATTATTGCGTTAAGAACATGGCCGGCCGAACCGAAGAATGAAAAGTCGAGTGAACGATAATTATTCCAATTACTTTGAGCTTTCGTTCAGTTCGTTCAATTCATTCCGTGTCTCGTTCATTAACATGTTAATTCAGTTAAGTAGAGCGAGCGTGAGCATCTTGGCGTTTTAATACGCTTTGATTGTACATTAAAGAAAAACTCTACACGAAGCCTGTAGTTAAGACGAGTACAGTTTGAAACACTGGTAACGGTTATAACGCATAGTATATTATAGTGTATTTTTTCTAACTTGACGTTTTTGGTAAACAATCACAAAATTAACATGAAAACGCGCTTTTCTCACAAGGTATATACTAATCTAATGAAACTACCTCAAATTCCATTAAAAACATAATTTCAAGCTAAAATTAATAAAAATCCTAAAAATGGATTTACGTAAATGGACAGATTATTTTTTTTAGTTTGACATTTACTTAAGGATGGGATGTACGCAAAATCAACGACAATAGAAGGAAGAAGTCCCACTCATGCAAGATCGATGAAAAGTGTTAAAACGTCGACTTAAACAGTAATGACATTAAAAAAAATGTCGTAAAAAAGTTATTTTGTATAGAGATCCTTCGATCGAGAAACTTCGATTATTATACAATCGATGTTTCTTTATCCCTGTACCATCTGTGGCATCAACTTCACTCTATAAAAAATCATCACTAGTTAGTTCTCTATGGTTTAAAACCGGCCATATTTGTTGTGATCTATTCTAAAATTAAAAAAATATATATATTTAACTAACCCGGCATTTTGAATGCTTTTTAGCAGCTGTGGTCTCCGAGGGGTGTCAAGTTAAAAAAACATAATTAATGAATTTACCGTTTCAAACAGTTAAAAATGTTTTATTAAACATGTACTACTCGCGTAAACTACTCGATAGATAGTCTTTGAACTATGAATTGATTACCATCACCATTGTTTAAATCTAAAACAATTGATAGATATGAAACAGACAAAGTCACCAATCGATCAAACCCACGTACAAATAAAGTAAACGGTTCATTGTTAGATGGGTGACAAACGGTCGTCTTACGCCCACCGAGCGTTACGAGAGACAATGCCCTGTTTGTATGTTCAGTTAAGCCGCAAACATATTAATATTTCGACACGCCATGTCGCTATTAAATCCTTTATGGCTGCAAACGAGGGGAGCAGTGAGGGTCGAGTTGTGTTCACTCGAAATAATAGCAACGCATTTTATATATGCGCGTACTACGGTGTTAAGTTTGTATGTTACATCTGCTAACATACTAGATACGAAATATATTTCATAAAAATGTATGTGTTTACAATTAAGTACTATCTGTTCTTTATGCGAGAAGTACTATTTAAATAAAACACTTTTAACTGTTTAAAACGCGACAACTAATACAATTATTTCCAATTTCTTTTAACTACGGACGATACGTCGGGCTGTACTTATAATAATTTGCAGTATTCATTTAAATGAAACGCTTGTAACTCTAAATATATTTAGTTATTTACAATTAAATTTAATTACGGTTGTAATGTTAATTAATTTCGCGTTTTAAACTACAAAAAATGTTTTTAGTAACTTTTAAAAGATTTTAACGTAATTAGTACTAGAAAAGTAGAAATTTGGGTACTAAAAGTGATTAAACAAAACGCGACGCGCGAAATCACATATTTATATTTGTCAATAAATAAGTAATGTTTCGCGTTTTATTCCGTTAACAACAATCAATGTGCGTGAACCGTTGATTTCCACAAGCAATGAATGATGAGCAGTTCATCTTCAAAATGTAACATGGCTAGATGTTCTCGCATTCTCCCAGCCAGGGGTGGCCAGCAGCTGCCGCTTTATATACAACGCACCCGAGCGTCGGCAAAAAAATACCCATTCCCATTTACATTTCAATAAAGCTGCGCTGGCGCAACGCAAATAGACAATAGCTAAATCAATTCGCGACACGAACAAAGGGATTCACGAGCCGCCGATTAAGATGCTGCAGATACTGTCTGTAATTTACGCGAGTAGTACATACACATTTGAATAAAACACTTTAACGGTTTCAAACGCGTTATATATTAGATGCACTTATTTTTAACTACAGCCCGGCGTTTTGCAGCCGGACGGATGCTTTGCAGCTGAGTTACTCAGTCTTCAAAGTTAGGTTCAGTCACATTAAACTCTAATCGCAGTCAGAAATATCGGGCCGTAGTTAATAATAATTCTCAAATAACTAATATATAATCGCGTTTAAAACCGTTAAAGTGTTTAATTTAAATGCTGCAGATTCTTAGATATAGAGCAGCCAATTTGCAGTCGCCGCTGCCGAATGCTGCAAATGGAAAGCGTCGGGCACCTACATGGCTAATGACTCGAAACGTCTCTGCCCGACCCCTGTGACTCACAATACGAATTCCAGCGGACCACGACAAATTGCGGTTATGGGACTTTCGGAACAGTATTACAATCCAACTCGTTCACTTGATGGGAGGTGATATCCCCCACCTATATAATATATACACATGATGCTGTCCTATTTTGGCTTTGGTTTTTCGGAAATGCACAGACTGAAATCGTAACGCGATTAAACCTCACGGCTTTTCATCTGTAAGCGATGGGTGGTGACTTTGGACATTTGGATATTCCTACGACCCATTTAACATCCAGATGTCCAGACGAAGAAAAATTACAAATTGAAAATTTTGAAACATTGTTTTACGTGACCCCGTGACCACGGCTGCAATGCAAAGCATCTGAAACGTCGGCTAGTTAAAATAATTTCCAAATAAGTTTAATTAATAAATATCGCGTTTTAAGCTGTTAAAGTGTTTAATTTAAATTGGAAACACGTTGGTCCCGGTAGGGTTCGAACTTACAGCCCGTTGATTATTAGGTACCATTGAACCAACGAGCTAGTCGGAAAAGATTAGCATTAAAATAATTAAGGGGACGCGTTTATGGTGGACCGGCGTGCCAAGGCAATAAATATCAGCGCGAAGTTCTTGTTTATGTTACACAATTGAAGTCGGACGTGCGAGACGACAAGGAGCGTTCTGGATAATGCCAGAACAATATCCAGAACGCGGTAACATGGGGTGAGCGCTGCCAAGGAGCAAATTGGAGCGGCTCCATTACGAATATTCTTTATGTAAAATTCAAGCCACAAACAAATTTAATATGAAAGCATAGAAGAGCTGAACAGAAAGAACTGGACTTGCGTTTTCATCTAAAAGAATTAGTGTTGCCCAAACGCAAGAACAAGACGAGACTTAGCCAGTCTTGGTCTTGGTCTTGCGCCAATACACCTGGTCTTGGTCTTGGTCTTGCAGCAAGAGTCTTGCAAGTCTTGCAATTACCTATTAGTCTATTACTATTTATTAAAGTTTACTTTAAATCCTAGAAAAACGTATTAGAATTGGAACATTGTGAGCTTGAATGAATATAGCCATCGCATGAATAGCTACGCGGAGTTAAAATTCTTTTAACTGTTAAATAAATATTCTTACCTGTCCACTTCTTCCAGCGGTTACTAAAAAGCTTGTGATATCTCCACTGAATTTTGGTTTAACAGGAAGAAATATTTCTGATTCCTTTTTATGAAAAGATATAAGATGTTTCCTTAAGCCTGAAGTGTTTCTGTTTTTCATTTTTATTTCAATCTTTTTATGTTGGCACAATTTACAGAAGGCAGTTTGGGATGCATGAATTATTTCGAAAAATTCCTCAAATTTGCTTTTGGGTCTTTTAGATCTGTGACTCAAACTCTCGTTACTCGGACTAGAATAATTTGAATCTTCGTCACTCATATTAACAACGAGAATTAGTAAAAACAATTATTAAGTTAGACTCGAAGCACAGCTCAATTAGAAATGACTGGAATTAAAATAATTCCTTTGTTTATAGTACGTTTCCTTGCTTTCTACCGCGCCGCCTCGCCACGTGCCGGCTCTATGATAAGGATGCCGCCGCATATCAAACAATAATATAAAGCGTGTAAAAAAATTCGAAATTATTTTGAATGAGTATACCTACGCCCTATGGCGGCAATCAAATAGTGTCAAATGTTATGATTTCGGCGTGGCGGCAACGATTGTTTTAGATTTCAAAAGAAGCCGCCGGCGCGTGTATCATAACCATGTACTTCCGAAAAGCGGCAAATTTCTTTGAGAAGTAAGTACAAAACCTTTGATGCCGCATTATCAAAGTGCCGATGGTTAAAGCATAACTATGCATGCACTCAGTTTGATTTTAATATTTTTTTTATTCGTTATGTTTATGGTATTAGTCGTAATGCGCATAGGTCCAGTTTTTCATATTCTTTAATACAGTTTTTTGCGTCTCATAGAATTCCTAAGCGTACCTACCTATACACCGAACTGTTACACCTAACTACTCAGTGAACTAGCGCTAAGTCCTAGCTGCAAGACGCAAGAGTCTTGCAGGCTATGTCTTGTTCTTGCTCAAGTCTTGCACGGTCAGTCTTGGTCTTGGTCTTGCTAAAAATACGCGATCTTGTTCTTGGTCTTGGTCTTGCAAAAACGCAAGAACAAGACCAAGACTGAATTTGGGCAACACTAAAAAGAATGGCATGGAAATTTCTGTTCCTGGGGGGAGGGGGGTGAAGAAGTGGCTGTGAAAAACCAGTTTATATTAAACATAATATATACATTTTCTACATTTTCCGTGGCTCGATGGTTAAATACAGTGAGCAAACGTAACGTATACTCAGGACTTAAGAGTTTGAATCCCAGGAAATAAAATATCATCGATCGGAAAGTTCTAGGTAGCTGATAAGGTTGCCTGGCGTACAATCTGGAAACTAGTCAACAGCAGTATACAATGAGTCATTGAGCAGAATGTACAAGGATTACATAAATCGTCAATAGTACTATCACAAACTCCGTACAGACTCATAATATCGTGTAATTCGGATAAAATTTCGTTATTCCTTCGTAAGTCGTCTCTAGGGATCCAGTATACTTGCGAGTGGAGTTAAAATTTGCTACGCCATTAAACTCGTGCGTGAGCGAGACGGTAATGTTATCGCTGTGCTTTTCACGCATCGCCGCCGAATGGGAATGGCTTCATTTTGTTATGTACAAACTTTTTTTGCATTTATGCAACCCTGGCACGTGTGGCCAAGTTACTATTTGAATAAAGGAAGGATTGAAAGGAACTTAAAGGACAGCCTCTCATTTCATTCGTCTCTTATCATCTTCTCGTCTCTTTTTATCATTAAAAGGTCTAATTAGCCAACGCTTCTAACTCACAAAGCTAAATAAAGAAAAACTAAGATTTTCTAAAGAAAGAACAACACAAGTATTAGGGTTCACTTCATGGAACGTTAAATAACCGTGAACAAGCGCAATCGACCTAAACATTTGGATATTCCGAAATCCACAGACTGTAATCAAAATTGCGATTAACTTCACGGCTTTTTCATCTGTGACGTGGTGACCCGGACAAAAACATCAACTAATTGCTTTTAATTAAATCAATCAATAAAACGGTTTTGCGTTACAAATGACAGTTATTGTTGGGGGGGGGGTTTTGGTTGTGGTGTGAAAAGGTTATTATTTATTGTGTACAAGCTTTATATAGAAAACCTGTTTACTCGTCCCGCGTTGTTTCGCCATTGCGATATATAAAACTCATACTCGTAAAAGCGAACGGTCCATAGAGGATTTTACACAAACGTTTCACTCCGCCATAGCCGTAGTCCCATTCCGCGGAGTTTCGCACATTTACACTTTACTATTAGCACGAAAGCCTTGTCTGATATGGAGCTCACGTTTTAAGCACTAGGTCTGGCACGACATTCTACGGCCTATAAGGTTCTTACCAAATTGCTGTAGTTTTCAACTTCGTTTTAAGTCGTAAACGGCTTACTGTTTGTGTTATAGATAGATGTACTGTGTTCTTTAAGGTAAATGGTTTCTTTTTGTAACAAAATAAAATGTACAGTGCTTATTTTGTAGCGAGAAAAGACATTGTTTTTGATTGTATATAATTTGTTAAAAAATGTCTATAATCCGTCATTTTACACACATATCTTTGCATCTGTTTAACAGATCAACTTTAAATATTGTCTGTAGTTTACGCGAGTAATACCCAGTTAAATAAAACGCTTTTAACGGGTTGAAACGCGAAATATATTAGTTAACATATTAATAATATAGTACAACTACGTTCCGACGGGACTAAAAAATTGCAGAAAAGTCAATTATCAAATATATTTTGCATTCAAAACCGTTAAAAAAGTTTTATTTAAATGATCGATGTTGTTTTCAATTTCCAAATGGGATCTTTACCTGACACTTTTTCATGTTTTCGCAGAATTCGAACATGAAACCTCTAGGTATTTACGAAATAATACTTACATTCGTTCATACAAGATATGGCAAAATTAACTTAAATAAAATAAATGAGTGCATATTGGGGAACTGAACTCTTCACTTCACAATCGAATTCTAGGTCCAACCTCTAACCTTAGGTACACGTTACAATTATTCAAAATGGCATATCAAACAGTAATACAATCAGGCACTGATTGGCCTAAGTACCTCTAATCATAGCAACTGATTTATACGTCTGTAATTATATCAAACCAATTATTGTGGTGATTAGGCATACGTTATACGTATAACAATAATTGTATAGGTAAACTTATTTTAAACATCAATAATAGTATATTTATATAATTAAGATTCTCAGTCTGATCTCAGGAACTACTAGTTCGTTCTATAAAAATCTTTTAGCGTGGGTTAGAATTTTAACCTACAACGCCATCTTTAAGAGATTCCGTAAAAATAAGTGGCATATAAAAGTGAAATCTCTTTACCCCCGTGAGGCAAGGGACTAACACATTTCTGTGTCAGATTCCTGTGGAAGTGCGAGAGGAAGAACTGTATAAGAACAATCGGTCGGACAGGGCACAGATGTCTAGCTTGCCAATAAAGGAAGCGATCACTGAAAAGTACACAGAAATGTGTTCGCCCCATACCCCAGGCTTAAATATAATTTCTATTTTAAAACTGAACAATAAATTATAATCTATACCGTCAGTTAAATAACCTGAATATTATTACTAACACATAAACTGAACCACAAATGGGATTCGTATTGTGTTACTCAAACGCTGTTTCAATATTGGTATCGATAACATTTAATTTACTTAGAATATAAATTATATTCGCTTACTATGTAGATTATATTGTTTATTCAATCAATATATATAGTTTTAATAGATATAAGATAATTTTTAAATAAAACACTTTGAACAGTTTAAAACGCGATATCGAAATAGATACTATGCCACACCACGGTGTTTAATATGTAATATATAAATAAATATATGTTCGACGTTGTACATAAAATAATTAAATAGTTTAAGAGAGAGTTCGGGGTTCGAACTCTCGTGGATAAAACATATAAATATAGTTTTGGTTAAGGACTGAAAGGTGCTTCACATATTGGAAAATTTTCTTGTGAGATAATACTTAGAATAAAAAAAAAACATTAAAATATATTATAAAAAAGTTAACTGATATTTTTCACGTTTTAAACCATTTGTTTTATTTAAATGTGCTCTAATCGCATAAAAAACAGATAAAAACCATACTTAACATAACATAATACTTATTCAAAACTGACGGTTATCCAAAATACGTTTTTTTAAAGCTATAAACCATAGTAGAGATACTACTATTATTATATTCGAGTCGGATTTATCTTTGTTAACAAGTAAAACAAATGAAAGCTCGAAATAATTCTCGCATTACGTGTTATGTTGAACGTAAATACAGTTTACGCTTCGAGAGAATTCGACGCGAAGTTTGAAGCAAATATTTTTAATATAGAGCGCGTCTTTTCAAAGAGCGTTCAGAGGGACGGCTCCAATAAGAAGAGCGGATAGCTATTGTATAGTTCCCTTTCAAAGAAGATAATTAAAAGAGATTGTTTTGTCTCGTATTGTTTGATACCGCGGTATACAAATGTTCCACTGCTTTTTATTCACGTGTCGTTGATTGCTTTTGCGGTTTTTTGTTTAAATATAAAATAAAATTCCTAAATAGAGTGGAAATTTATCATCACTTGAAGTACACAACTGTAATATTAACTATATACACAAATAAGAAAAATCAGATTTAATATTAAATTAAAAACAGTCTTTTTTTAATATCACGACGCGAGCGGGACTTGAACGGGCATCCGAAGCGTTCCGTGCTGTTGCTCTAACCAAATAAGTGACTGTGTCATTTATTTTTACGATTTTTAATGCATAGAATGCCATCATGTGCATATAAAATAGGCCCAACACAATTTACGATCAAGAGCCGAGTTTGTGTTTCTGTCGTGAGGTCGAGCGTTTGATTACCGGGTATGCAATAAAATGATTAGCTTTGTGTGATGATGTTAGTGGTAGATTATGGTGATAGTGGTATGTAAATGGTCCTAGTACCTCTTAAAAAACTATTAGAGGAGAGATGATGGGAAGTATAGTATATCACTAATCACTCCTATTTTATTAAACCAACAATCTTAGGGGGAATTTTACATAGATAATGAAAATAATACAAACTTAACTTAGAAAGTAAAGTTAAAAAATAAACGTATACAAATGGAAGTAAACATACCTATTTTTACTTACGATGCTTCCAAGATAAAAACCAATAAACCGGCTGAATAGTGGATATCAAAGAGATAACCAGAAAAATGATTCGTTATCAAAACTCTTAGGGTTAGAAACAAAGAGTTCCTTTCAAAGGAGGAGTGTTGCCCTATTCGGCCTGCCTTTTAAAGAACGCTACTTTATTTTGCCGCTCTCTGTACGCTTTGAACGAAATAACGGAAGCTTGACATAGTGTACCACACTGAAACAGTAACAACGTGGCCCTGGACAACTGCTTTTTGACGACCAGAAAAGGTAATGTGATTCTCGTTTGCTACAATATTGTTCTTTCAATGTGGAGATAAAATTATTTATCTATACTAATGTATGAAGCCGAAGAGTTTGTTTGTTTGTTGAACGCGCTAATCTCAGAAACTATTTGTTCGAATTGAAAAATTATTTTTGCGTTGGTTTGAACATTTATCGAGGAAGGCTATAAAAGCGCGCTGTGATCTAATACGAGCGAAGAAACAGCGGGAACTGTGAAAAAACGGGGAAAATTATTCATACGTTACGTGCGCTGCTAAACCGGTTGGAGATAACCAAAAAACATGCAGGAAAGAATGTTTCCTCTTTGATCTTAAAAATATCTGTATATGTTTTACTTTTTAAGATTACCTTGAAAGAACGACTGTTAAATAACTATTCTACGCGGACGAAGTCGCTGACACAGCTATATCTCTCATCGTTAACACCAATATTAAGCATAATTATTAAATATTTGCACCAAAACTTCGAATTTTTATTGAGAACCGAAAATATAAAAAGCTTTTTCTACAAATTCGTTTGAATTCACTTTATTCGTGGAATACGGAAATTATTCGAAAAATATCGTCACAGTAATTTCTCTTTTAATTACCAGGTCGGCAAGAGGTGGAAAGAGGTTTTATTTTTAATTAATATTGTTCGAGACTCCGCGGAGGGCGATTGTTTTACGTCGAAACAGCTTTCAATTTTATTTCCGATGTTTGTCGATGCTAGTTAATTAGAGCTCGTAATAATTACGGACATTTCCTCGGCTTTCTGCTATTCTAGTATTCATAAGCTAATTTGAATTTCAAATTTATGTTTAGGCTCTTGTTTCATTTTAATTCATTGGCGCTCTTTTTAATAAATGAAATAAATTAAATGAAATAGTAATTTGATAGGACCGTTGGCCTGCAAATTACTATTTCATAACAGCGATGTATGGCTTATAATTAACAGGTAGTGGTTTTGATTCCCACTAGTTTCCACATTTTTCTAATCAATTTATATTTTTTCTGAAACCCGTTTGGATATCTGGATATAAAATGAATTTCGTTCGGGTCACGTCTTCGCTTAATCGCGTTTCATTAACATTTAAGTCTAAGTTGTAAGCTTTGTTTTAATTTTAAAAACTAGAAACCTTTAAGTATATACACGGTAAATGTAAAAAAGTACACACATACATATTAATGCAATCGTGTAATAATAATAACGTATTATAAAAACTCGCTGATGTAGAGATAGGTCGATTAATTTTATCTGATCCGAGCGGCAACCGGACCGTGAAGTTACATTTTTTATTACATGTTTTGAAGGGTTACAAAGTTTTAATGGGATTAAAATTGAATTCTTAAGACCCCTGTTACCCTAGTAGGTATTTATTTTATAACTAGGATGCCAGATTCCATAGGTTTTAGAACATTTGAGATAAGTATGTAGATTAGAGATTATAAGTGTGGTTAAGGTTAAAAAACTCTACTTTTAATAAGTTAACGCGACATAATATGATGTTTTTTGTTTGTCTAATATTAGCTTAATTTAATAGTAAAGGCATTGGCTCAACATCAAAGCTTCGCCATTTATGAGTAACCGTTTTTATAATAGAGGATACATGAATACGTGCTCAACGATGACAGATAAATCGAATAAAACAGCCAATAAAAGCAGTATCACAGAGTATTCAAACATTTATACGGATAAAAAATTCAATACATTATTTGTGAGGTAGAAAAAATCTCGTCGGGTATAGAAATAATATTGCGTGCGGAAAAAACCGTGTTTTTTTTTCGGGGGCGTGTGTACCCGGGCTGTTTAAAAGTGTTGGGAACGGCCCCCCCCCCCCCCCCCCCCCCCTTCCCCCCCCCCTTTTTCCCCGGGGGGGGGGGGGGGTTGCCCCCTTTTTTTTTTTCCCTGTTTTTTTTTTTCCCAAAAAAATTTTTTCCCCCCCCCCCCCTTTCCCCCCCCCCCCTTTTTTTTTTTTTTTTTTTTTTAAACCCCCCCCCCCCCCCCACCCCCCCCCCCCCCCCCCCCCCCCCCCCCCCCCCCCCCCCCCCCCCTATTTTTTTTTATAAAAAACACCCCCACAAAAAAAACCCCCCCCCCCCCCAAAAAAACCCCCCCCCCCACATTAATATTTTTTTTTTCCCCCCCCCCCCCTCCTTTTTTTTCCCCCCCTTTTTTTTTGGGGGGGGGGGCCCCCCCCCCCCCCCCCCCCCCCCCCCCCCCCCCCCCCCCCCCCCCCCCCCCCCCCCCCCCCCCCCCCCCCCCCCTTTTTCTCCTCCCCCCCCCCCCCCCCCCCCCCCCCCCCCCCCCCCCCCCCCCCCCCCAAAAACCCCCCCCCCCCCCCCCCCCCCCCCCCCAGAAAGAAAAGGGGGGGGGGGGGGGGGGGGGGCCCCCCCCCCCCCCCCCCCCCCCCCCCCCCCCCCCCCCCCCCCCCCCCCCCCCCCCCCCCCCCTCCCCCCCCCCCCCCCCCCCCCCCCCCCCCCCCCCCCCCCCCCCCCCCCCCCCCCCCCCCCCCCCCCCCCCCCCCCCCCCCCCCCCCCCCCCCCCCCCCCCCCCCCCCCCCCCCCCCCCCCCCCCCCCCCCCCCCCCCCCCCCCCCCCCCCCCCCCCCCCCCCCCCCCCCCCCCCCCCCCCCCCCCCCCCCCCCCCCCCCCCCCCCCCCCCCCCCCCCCCCCCCCCCCCCCCCCCCCCCCCCCCCCCCCCCCCCCCCCCCCCCCCCCCCCCCCCCCCCCCCCCCCCCCCCCCCCCCCCCCCCCCCCCCCCCCCCCCCCCCCCCCCCCCCCCCCCCCCCCCCCCCCCCCCCCCCCCCCCCCCCCCCCCCCCCCCCCCCCCCCCCCCCCCCCCCCCCCCCCCCCCCCCCCCCCCCCCCCCCCCCCCCCCCCCCCCCCCCCCCCCCCCCCCCCCCCCCCCCCCCCCCCCCCCCCCCCCCCCCCCCCCCCCCCCCCCCCCCCCCCCCCCCCCCCCCCCCCCCCCCCCCCCCCCCCCCCCCCCCCCCCCCCCCCCCCCCCCCCCCCCCCCGGGTTTTTTTGTTTGTTTGGGGGGGGGGGGTGGTTTTTTTTTTTTTTTTTTCCCCAGTAAACGCCACTTTTATGGAAAAGTGCCCCGTTTAGCCGACAGCGCGGATCGTCGCACCACCCAGCTTCCGCTGCCTATCTCGGACCGTCTCCCCGCCGAACTAGCATGCCCTTTGGGGCTTGTTAGCAAGGACCGGACTCGGAATGAGTAGGTGGCTAGGGCAGTGAGTGTAGGCCCTCTCAGCGCTCTCATCTAAACGATGGAGCCCGACCGCCCCCGTCCCCCGCTACCTCAGCGTGAAGTCCGCTCTCGCCCTCGCGATCGAGCGTCGACCCCGCTCAGTGCAAGTGCAGTGACCAGTGAACCGTGCCGCGATGACGAACATTCCGCGCGCGGTGACTTCAGCACCGATGTGTGTGCAGATGATTCTGGCAGGGCGCTGCATGATGCTGCGCCCGCCGAATCAACGCAGACCTCCAAGCTGAGTGCCTCGACTGCATCGTCGTCATATGACGAGTCGTCTATGACCACGACGGCCGAGTCCGCCGACTCCCTGACCTCTTCGCCGACTGCGCCTCCTCTCCGGTCTCCGAGCCTACTCGAGATGCTGTCGGCAGAACAGCAGCCGTGTCCCGCCTTGTCTCCAAAGGCGGAACACAACTCGGACACAGTGTCCGCCGCACTGGTGGCAAGCTGTGGCGCCTTCTCCCCGTTCATACAGGGGGCCATTCGCTCTGCGCTCGAGGAGCGCGAGCGTGCCCTCAAACAACGGGGAATCCTGGACGAGTCAGCCGTGATCACGGCCGAAGAAGAAAATCGGGCGTACGAGGCCCTACAGCGCCTCGTCCCCCTCCGCCGCCCTCGCTCGAGCACCGACGATGAGGCCGCCGGGCGCGAGGCGAAGCGCCTATGCGCTATGCCCGCGCACGCTGCGCGCGACCCGCGCCTCCAACGCCGTGCCGCCACCACCGAGGCTGCAGCCGATGCCGCCGCCGCGCTGCCTGTTGCCGCGCCGCCCGCTGCCGCGCCGCCTGTTGCCGCGCCGCCTGGCGCCGCGCTGTCTGCCGTCGCAGTCGCGCCGCCTGGCGCCGCGCTGTCTGCCGTCGCAGTCGCGCCGCCTGCCGCCACACAGTCTGCCGCCGTAGTCGCGCCTTCTATTGCGACTTACGCCGGCGCTGCCGCCGCCGTCGCCGCCGCACCTACCGTGCAGGCGCGCCCACCTCGCGCCCCTGCCGCGCAGCCAGCTGCAGCTAAGCCGAGATACCCGCCGATCGTCGTCGAGTACCTACCAGACTGGGTACATCACCTCGGCGAGATTCGGCGGCTACTCGGCCGCACCGCCAACACACGCTCCTATGGGCGTGGCCACCGCATCACGCCGGAGACCGAGGAGGAGTACCGTGTGGTGCAGCGGTACCTCTCCGACCTACAGCAGCGGGACCAGAGGGTGACCTGGTTCTCCTACTCCATCCCGGCCGAGCGCGAGCTGAAGGTGGCAATCCGCGGCATCCCGGTAGGGACAGATCCGGAGGCCATCAAGGAGGCTCTTCGCGGCCTAAACTACGAGCCCGAGCACATCCAGCCCATCCGAGCGTCGAAGGGGAGACCCGGGTGCCTTTACCTGGCTATCCTCCGCCGCACCCCCGGCATCACCCCGGGCATCTACGCAGTGAACGAGCTTATGTTCATGACCGGGGTCACCATCGAGGCGTGGCGCGGGAAGCGAGGCCCCGCGCAGTGCCACCGGTGCCAACAGTTCCGGCATTCGTCGCACAACTGCCACCGCCCTATAGCGTGTGTGCGATGCGGCGAACCCCACCGAGCTGCCGACTGCCCGCGGCCCAAGGCGGAGCCTGCCACGTGCGCCAACTGTCGGGGACCGCACCCGGCAAACCATTCGACGTGCCCGGTGCGCAAGACGGAGGCGCGAAACAAACGCGCCGGCACCGTCGCCCGCACTGGCCAATCGCGTCCCACTACGCGTGCCGCCACAACGACACAAACTGCGTCGCGCCGCGCGCAAAGTGCGCCGCGCCGCGCGCGCAGTGCGCCGCGTCCTGCGCAGAGCGCCGCGCCTGCTGTCGCCACTGCGGCCCCTGCCGCCGCTGCAACATCCCGCCCTGTCGGCGGAAGAAAAGGAGGCAAGGGTCGCTACAAGAAAGTGTCTCTTGCGGCCGCTGAGGCCGCGAGCCGCAGGGGCACCGCCGATTCTTCTGGCGCCGCTACCACCGCCACCACTGCCGCTGCCACCCCTACCACTGGTGCGGCAACCTGCGCCGCTGAGCCGTGCGCCGCTTCGTGCACCGAGCCGCGCGCTGCCCAGCCTGACTTCAACCGCGCTATCGCCGCGATCCTGCAAATTTTGCAGGCCATGCAGGCCGGCAGTGACCCCGCGCCGCTCTTCGAGCGTGCTGCGCGGGATCTCCGCAACAGCAGCGCCCCAGCCCGAGACCCGCGCCGATAATGGGGAGCCTCCGGCTCCTATACTGGAACGTGCGCGGTCTCAAGGGCAAGACCGCATTCCTGCGACAGCTTTTATCGTCGCAGGACATCGACATCGCGCTGCTCAATGAAACGTTGCTCCTGCCGGGACAGCGGTGTAGCGTCCCCGGCTACTTCATTTACCGCCAGGACCATGTGTCGCCGGCTGGCGTGGTCTATCGCGGCCTAGCGGTCCTCGTCCGCCGCCGCCTCCCGCATCGCCTCCTGCCTGACGTGACGGACCTAGCCGGAATGCACGCGCTCGGCGTAGAGGTCGAGTTCGCCGGTCGCCCCACAGGGGTGTTCGCCGTCTACGGGCCGCCGCAAAATCCGCTGCGCACTGCGGACGTTCGGCGGTTACTCCGCGCCGCTCATCCCATCGTCGCCGCCGGGGATTGGAATGCCAAGCATACCGATTGGCATTCCCAAACATGCAACCCGCGCGGCCGCCGTCTGCTCGCTGACTCCGTGGCGCTGGGGTACTCCATCTCCGCGCCCGACTCGCCCACGCACTACCCGGATGGCAGGGGAGTGCCCGACATTCTCGACCTCGCCGTGCACAAGGGGATCGACGCGTTGATCTCGCAAGAGGTGGTCGTCGACGAGTTTGGGTCCGACCACCTCCCAGTAGTGATGCACCTGATCGACGCCGCTCCCGCGCCCCCGATTCCCCGTGAAGTACGGAGGGTCGATTGGCGGGCATTCCAGTCTGCGCTAAGCAGCGCACCCCAGCTCCGCACGCCCGAAACCCCCGCCGCTGTGGACGAGGCGGCGGGACTCTTCACGGCGCAACTACAGCGCGCCCTCGCCGACGCCACCAGTGTGCGGCCGGCCCCGGCGGTCTACCCAGCGCTGCCGAACCGCTTGCTGGCTCTCATTCGCCGCAAGCGGTCTCTCCGCCGCCAGTGGCAGCAGACGCGCTGCCCCCGCCTCAAAGCGGAACTCCGCCGCCTCGCCGAGATCGTCAAGGCCGGGCTCGAGGTCCACGCCGCCGAGTCGTGGGAGTTCGACATCGGCGACGCCACGGCCGACTGGGCCGCCCTCCATCGCCTCTGCAGGCGGTTTACTAATACCGCCCCGCCAGTGCACCCGCTCCGGGACGACGCTGGCGTTCTGCTATACGCCGCTGCAGACCGCGCCGAGCTGCTTGCCACACATTTGGCAACGCAGTTCTCGCCGCATCCCGCGGCAAATCCGGCCCGCGTCGCTGAGGTCGAGCGCGCTGTCGCCGAGTACATCGCTGCACCCATTCCGCCAGGCGAGGACGCCATCTTCTTCTCGCCGGCGCTGGTGCGCAAGTCGGCGCAGCGCCTCAAACCGAGGAAGGCCCCCGGTGCAGACGGCATTTCAAATGCGGTCCTTCGCCGCCTGCCGTTGCGCGCGTTGGTTTCACTGACGCGCCTTTTCAACGGCGCCGCCCGCACCGCTCACTTTCCCGCGCCGTGGAAGGAGGCGCGGGTTATAACCATACTGAAGCCGGGGAAGGACGTCCTGAGGGCGGCGAGTTATCGTCCAATCTCGCTGCTCTCCACGCAGTCCAAGCTATTCGAGTCGCTCCTGCTGCCGCGGCTCAACAGGTGCGCCGAGCCCCGACCCGAACAGTTTGGGTTTCGCCCCGGCCACTCCACGACCCTGCAGCTGGCGAGGGTGCTGCACGCCGCCGCGACCGCTGTAAACAAGAAGGAGGTGCTTGCAGCGGTCTTCCTCGACATGGAAAAAGCCTTCGACCGGGTCTGGCATGCAGGCCTAGTGTCGAGGCTAATTGAGCTGCGCTTCCCTCGCCGATTGGTGGCACTCGTGCATTCGTTCCTCCTCGACCGGCGCTTCCATGTCGCCGTCGGGGGGGCCTACTCCAGCCCACGAGCCATCACTGCGGGCGTGCCCCAAGGTGGGGTCCTCTCGCCCGCCCTGTACACCATCTTCACGGACGACGTGCCTGCGGCGCCGGGCAGCATGGTGGCACTGTACGCCGATGACACGGCGTACCTCGCGTCATCTATTAGAGCCGCCCACGCCGCCGCCAAGTTGCAACGGTCGCTCGACCTCCTCCCCGCCTGGCTTGAGGAGAGGCGACTAGTTGCAAACGCCGCCAAATCACAAGCAATCGTGTTCGGGGTGGGCAGACCGCCCCCCGCACTCCGCCTACAAGGAATTGACATCCCATGGCGCCCAGAGGTAACATACCTGGGCGTCGTGCTCGACCGCCGGTTGAAGCTGCGACACCACGCTGTCCGCGCTGCGGGACGCGCCGCGGCCGCCGCCAGCAAGCTGCGGCCCCTTCTCTCGTCCCGACTGCCGACGCGTGCGAAGCTCGCGCTCTACCGGCAGTACATCCGGCCCCATCTCACATACGCGGCGCCCGCTTGGTACGGCCTCACCGCCGAATATGTTCGGCAGCGACTGAGAGCCGTACAAAACAAGACCCTTCGACGCATCGTCGACGCGCCGCGCTTCGTGAGAAACGCGACCATCGCCCGGGACCTCCGTCAGGAGAGCCTCGACGACTTCATCCGAAGACTGGCGACGCAGATGTTCGCCCGTGCCGACGCCTCTAGCTTCGCGCACCTCCGGGACATCGCGCCGCACCACTCGAGGCCTCCCGACCACCGACGGGCGTTCCCACGCGAGCTCGTTCGCCAGGGGCCGCCACCGGATTGACTCCATACCGAAACAGACATCCTGGGGCGCGGCGCAATATGCACGCGTTTCAATTGGCGAACGTCCGCTGGCTATGTCTCGCTGGGCCTCCCTCGGGGCTACCGGGGGTCTCACCCGGCGGGACTGTGCCGCGCGCCTTGAAACGCGTTGCACCCCCCGCGCCCCAACACTGAATTGACACTTTAATTGATTTCGACACCAAATCTGCCCCGGCAGACCTGATGATCGGCCCGTATTAACGGGCCGCATACCCGCTACCTCCTGCAGGCGCAATTGCGCGAAATCTCCCCCCAAATGGGCCGATCAAGGAGATCGCAGTCGCGACCAGGAGAAACACACGGCAGTAAATGCAGTTTACAAGTTCCAACGCCCATCCCCACAGAATGGCAACCCTCGTTACCCTGGCGACATTAAACGTGTTATTTATCCCCGGGCATTTTTAAACAATATCGGGACTAGGTTTTTATCCCTCCAGGGTTAGGCGACATTCAAATTAGTGATTCCGTCATTTATAATAAAAATTCCTCTGTGTACACAAGCCAAATTATCTCTTTAAACTTGGCTGGAAGCGTAAATATTCATGAGCCTCATATAAATACAGTACAGCCGCGTTAATGGAACAAGATGCCAACTCCGGGCTCACTCGAAGCTTTTAAATAATTCCAGAGGCGGCTGCCTCTCCATATATTGTACTGTGCTATGTGTTCAATTATACGTCAATCTCATGCGGAAATTTAATTAGTATTAGACCCTGCGTCTAGACGAGCTGTGGGTTCGAGTCCCGCCTTATCGTAAATTTTTTATAGCATGTATGAGAATTCTGACAAATCGTATTTTGACTTTTTTTCGCTCAATTGGTTGGTTGGTAAAAGAGCAACGGTACGGAACGCTGACGATGCCGGTTCAAGTCCTGCCCTTGTCGATTTTTTTCAGTTTATTATTTCTATTTTGAAGTATATCGTTTTGTAGTTTTAGTTAGCGAGTGTTTAACCACAGTAGTATAGCACAGCACGTTACACTTGTGATCGTAGATTCTAAAACAATTTTAAATTCAAATTAAGATTTATATACACTGTAGGTACAATTTTGCGAGTGGAAGCATGTGTATTGCCAGTACTTATCATTCTTTACTACGTACTTAGGTTATTTTGTATACTAATAACTACTTTTTTTAGAATTTCCTTATACTTCGTTGTATTTTTAAATGAGACGCTGCGAGACTAGCGCAAACATTAAAGCGTAACCTCTCCACTCGAACAATACTTGAAAAGAAAATGGACCGTGAAAATCGTAACACAACAACGCGTCGCAATGAAATCTCCTTTTTACGGCCGCGCACTGAACAATTGCTGCCTCGTTTCCATTGAAATCCGTCGACAAAGGGTCTGGGATCAGTCCGTCGTGAAAAGGGTTCTAGTGGACATCGGACAGTGGACAGTGGGTCGACGACACTGCATACAATATTTATACGGCACCGCACCTACCCGCTGCTGCTTGAATTATGCATGAGCGCCGACGAATGTTTTAAAAAGTTAACAAGCTTTTCCGAGCTTCCCTTTGTTCTCCACTTACGGAGAAAAACAAATTACGTCCGCGCGAACAACAACACTAAAACACCTAACTAGCCGTATCGAGAGTCAAGATGTCTGTGAATTTAAAAACGTTTTCAACGGTTTTAAACGCGAAATATATGAAGTAAGTTATTTAAAAATCGAAAATAAATTGAAAAAATTCTCAACTCGGGCAGGACTTGAACCAGCATCGTCAGCGTTCAAGAGAACAACAGCACGGTACGTTGACGATGCCGTAAAAAAATAATAAAGTTTTGAAGTAAATTATGTTTAATTTTTAATTTAATTTATCGCCTATACTTTATGAAAGTTGTACACGATAGATAAAACATTCGACTGTTCAAAACGCCAAATTCGACCCGACGTGGTGTAAGGCAATCTAAAAACGTAATTAAAATATATGAAAATAATTTAACTAATATACCTATTTGGCCTTTTGAATGTACTACTCGTCTACGAATGATTAAAGTGGCGAAGCGAAATATTATTTCATGAAGTCCGAGGAAAATGTGAGTCGTAAACATACTTCAAATCTGCAGCTGCCATTTACCGCCCACGCCAAATTGCGTTGTTTATTCGCTCGCTCGAGCCAATATTTTTTTATTGGTTCTTTTATTTGTCACGCGTTATGCTTCATATTATAATGGCCTATTTGACGATAATAAAATATTCCATTCTAATGTCAAGTCAAACGTTATAGCTGTAATTGTATCTTTAATAATATCTTACGTTTAATAAGAGGACTTCAATAATA